CCCTCCACAGCACCTTCATCAAAGGCAACAGCGTCATGCTAAACCTAGCTGACGACTCACGTTCTCCCGTGGGTGCTCGCAATGGCGACTTTATCTTTGAACATCGCGTGTATTCAGGCGACGGTTGGACCGACTTGGTAAGCCTTCGAACTCTTCGTGACTTGATCTAACGTTTTTCCCCCTAGAATATCATTGTAAAACAGTATCACACAGAAGCCGAAATTGAGCGAGAGCATGCCGCTCTATTGCAGACCGGCCACACCCCGTACAACGCTGAAAGTCTCGCGAGGTATGTTTTTTGACTTATGTATTCATTGCTAGCTGACGCATATAACAAGTCCTTTCAATTACAGATTCGCTGTCGCCGACCAGCTCACCTATCTCCTCCCGGAGCCGCGCAACATCAGGATGCTTCGAGAGTGCTATCCTACTCGCCTTTTCTGCATCAAGCCTCGGGTTGTAATCCCGCCTAGGTTCTTACGACGTGGTTCTCCCCCGATCATCAATAACCACGAGCCGATGGTCAATGACGAAGTAGACGTCGAACCGCGGGCTACCTCTCCTCTATGTGCCGAACCAACTCTGGTGGAGAACAACATCGAGGACGAGGATGACATCGAGTATGTGCGTTCCAGCAGCGCCGATCTCCCTCCTCTCGCCGTACTCATTGACCGCATCATGTGCGAGAGGAGGGAGCAGAACACAATTATCATCGACGACTCGGACGACTCGGACGCGCCTGATGCACATCCTGTGAAGCGCCTCCGGGGATCAACTTCTGATGATGCCGAAGATCGTCGGGGCATGGTGGATGCCCATCTGTTTGACGTTTTGTATGTTTTCTTTTTCTTTTTCAGATGTATTTCTTATGTTTTTTTTCAGCGCCTCGGCTCCACCTCGCCATGTGTCGCTACCACCCCACAACCAGCTTGTCATTGCCGCTCAAAACATATTGCGGACCGAATTTGGTGATCTCGAGCCCATCGAGGAGACGTCTGACGTCAATGTCTCCGATGCCTGATAGTGCATTTGCCCATTGTCTTGTGATCCTTGTGCTACCAGTCGTCGAGTAGTACACGCTGTTATGTTTTTGCTATGTCGAATTGAATGTTTCTTTTATTGTATTTTCCGCTGCAATCGGATGTGTCCAAAACAAGGTGTACCCCTAATACCGGGATTTCTAATAGCGTGATCAAATTAATTGATGCGGTGCTATATTTATTCCCCCGATGAGATCTGATTTGGACTAATAGAGAGGAGGTTGTATTTTTAGCTCTCCAAAATGTCCCGAATCTATCCGAGGTGATCCGACAGAGGGTGGCGGACCAGTGACGGATATCACCGGGCTCGCTGTAAGTAGTAATTAAACTAAACCTGTTTGGGCTGCGAGCTCAGCCGTAGGTCTTTATAAGGTAATTTATGTGTACTGTTTCGGGATGAGAGGAGCTATAGACCAATGCCATGAGACGTATACCAATGTATGCAATGGCTAGTAGGTTGATCTTTTGCAGACTATCCATAACATACTAGCCGGTGGTCCGTGTATATATATACACATTTTTTTCGGCTTGTACGTTGATTTTTTTTACATAAAAATCAACGTAGTCGCGGCTGATTTTAATGTCGAAAGTCCGGTGGACGGCCGACGCGTTTTGGAACTTGCAGGTAAGCATTCAATTATCTGCCTACATCTTATTAACTTGAGTACAGGATCAAATTCCCGAGGACAGGAAACCGTTGACGTATATTCTCTACGCAGACAAGGCAAAACTATCGTCATTTGGACGAGCAAAAGGATATCCAGTCGTCGCCCGCATAGCAAACCTCCCGACCTCAATTCGCAACGGGGAAGGATTTGGCGGCGGCCGAGTCGTCGGTTGGCTACCAATCGTAAGTGCTCACACGTTCTCATAAACGCGATCAGGTTTTAATGCAATAAAAGGTCAAGGAAGATAAGCGACAGCGCAACAAGCCGCCTTGGGCGGCCTTCAAGAACGTCGTGTGGCATAAGTCTTTCGAGAGGATCCTCGAAGACATTGCCGCACACTCCAAGTCCGGGTGCTGGATTCGATGCTGGGACGATATAGAACGCAAGTTTTATCCCCGCGTCCTCGTCCTTTCTGCGGACTATGAGGGGCAGTAAGTCTCTATTGATATCTCGCCAAGTTGTTCTAAGTTTTGTTACTACTAGGTGCGTTATGGCCCTCACTCGCGGTGTCAGCTCCAAGTACCCATGTCCCATTTGCATTATCCCGCGGGAGGAGCTCTCAAACGTCGCCAACCGGCCCGTTTACCCACTTCGAACACGAGACGGCGTCATCGCCACTCTGCACAAGGCCCGGAATGAGTCCCGAACGGAAGGCGAGGAGACGTTGATGGCTGAGGGGCTGCGGGACATCGACGTATGTTTCTGTAGACCAGTCACTATGCTTATCATACCTTTGTAGCTAACAATCTACGTATCGCTAGAACGCGTTCAACGCTGTCGAGAGCGCCGACGTACACCGTGCCCTCCCCTTCTCCAACTTGGCTCTCTTGCTCTTTCACCCTCCTTCCCCATCTCCGCTTCTTCCTCCATCTCCTTTGCTTTCCTCTTCCCCTTCCCCTGCGCAGAATTATCCAGCTCAGACGCCGCCTCCAACAACGCCGTGAGCCACTCCCTCAACGGCGGGCTAGAGCTCCCTCAGGTCGTCCAGCGCTAGATCACGTCCCTCGTCGTCGGGTGCATTGCACCGAACATCCCGCCAAAACCAATGCTGAAGCCGTTTGCAACCGCACCCGCACAGAGTCCACCGCCGTTACCAGCACCGCCAGCATGGCATTGGCGCCGCCAACGTCGTCGTCCAGACTCGGGAATCCGGCGCGCAGGGATGGAAAGGATGGTGTCGTGCAGTTCCGCGCGGATGCGGTGGACGTCGAGAGCGCGGTACGGATCTGATGGCGTAGGAGCGCTTGAGGTTGTGGAAGAGGAAGATGACAGGGACAGGGACGATAGTGTCGCTAAACGAAGGGGCGCCAATACGGCAGGCTGAGTATCCCTCGCCCTCAACAGGTGGCTGTGCCCCTCGAGCGGCTCTTTAATCTTGTCGGTCCCGCAGCGTCGCACCTGCGCGGGTGGATCGCGAGCGCGGCGGAGTAGTTGTCCAAGCCGTTGGCGGCGACATCGGCGAGCACGGAGAGGGCGCTGCGCATCGCGCTGGGGTGGTTGTACCCCGCGCCGAAGTAGATTGCGTCGAACTTGGCGAGGAAAGGTGTGGTTTGAATATCACAATGCTTTCTTCGAGGACGGGGGTGACGGTGTTGTAGATGGGCATCCAGTGAAAACTATGACGAGCGCAGGTGCAGGTAGGCTTTTCCGCGGTGGGTGCAGAGGTAGAAACGTCGGGGTCGGACGAGGGAGAAGAGGAGGATGGGGACGGATAGAGTGGCATTGTACACGCGCTGGCGGGGTCAAGCTCAACGTCTCCATCGACGTACTCGATGTACTGTTTCTGTCAAAATATTAAGGCTTATATTGGCTACCTAGATATCGAACGCCGCCAACACACGCACCTTCGCTTTCGTCCTCCCCCCATCCAAGATCTTCCCCAAAGCCCGGGAGCCGAAATGTAATTGAATGTCTTCGAGCATAACGGGAGTCGATTCCGTAGCGCCTTCTTTCGCTTAGCGAGCATGGCGATGAAGATGTCGCACCATACCCAGAAGAGGACGGTCTTGAGGGCGCGAAGGTCGGCGACGGATCTGAGCCGGACTAGGATGACGATGTTGGTTTGAGCATATCTAAGCATTTCCATCTGAAACAGCACAGAAATTGTAGCCAAGCACTGGACAGCGAAAGGAGGAGGCCAGTGAGACAAGGTGATAGTACAGGTGAAAAGGCGCATACATACGTTGCATCAATGGTACCAATGAGGCCGATTACGTCTGCTGTGTACAATAGGCGTGTACGCGAAAGGCGGAAGCCGGTGCGTGTAGCGCAGACGGTACGCCACACATCTTGAACCCACGAGAAGAGCACCTCAACGCACTACCTGGAGAGGTTGTCGTGCGATGCCGAGTTGAGCATGGCTGGGTGGAGGGTCAGACGACCGAGGTCGTTGACGGACAGGGATGTTGGCGTTCATCTTTTTCATGTGGTACAATGCGCGATTAAATGTGTTTGGATGGGTTAGGACAGGGCGGCGAGGATGTTGAAGGAGTGAGCGGATGGGATGTCAGAGTAAATGCGGTGCTTCACGCACGACTATCCCCGTGGGAAATTTCCTAAAGTAGCCGACGCGCCCTCGCATATAAACCACTTGGTCACCATAGTCCTCCACTCTTTTTGCATTCCTTACATACCACAGATCTATATGCACGATTTGTTCCCTTGAATCTACCATGGTTCGGCTTGCTGCTGCATTAGGCTGCCTCCCGGTATTCCTACGCTCGTCGCACCTCCATGGCCCAAGCACCTCTGGTCCTCGTTTCCGGTACGTTCACGTTCTGCCGCTTAATAGTCAAGATATTGTCATGAACAAAAACGCCCCGGAAACGTCTCTATACTAGTACGCTCTCTCCCTGGATAAATGACCAATAGAAAAAGAACCAATGCATTGCTAGGCTGACAAGCACAATACATCCTATCGCACAGCCGTCTCAAGCTGCACCAACCTCAGTCAGTCAACCTCGTAAGTTCTCGACCCATACACACTCGCATCCATTTCCACAATCGAGCCTGCACCTGCTCCCACTTCTCAGTGTGCAGCCGTTCAACGGACTGGTCTAGAATGGGTGACTTGAATGTGATGTTCGAAGCTATAACCACTATAGCAATCGCACTACCCCTTGGTATCTGTATATTCGTCTGCGATGATAGCGAAGAAGGTTGCATTAAGAGACGAACATATAGCACAGTATCTAGTACGTAGCCATAGCCAATAAACTTTATGTTAAGCCCCATCTGGTCTCTATGCAGTTGGCTGTGGCTTGTCGCCTGCCTCGATGAGGTTCGGGCCCAGGTTATCCGGGAGCGCAAGCGTGGGGTCGGTGCTGCCCTGCATGCGGCCACCGAACATAACACCGCCGTGCTCGGCGCGGAATGCGTCGATGCGCTTCTCGACCTCAGGGCGGAAGTGCCGCATGAGACCCTGAATTGGCCATGCGGCGGCATCGCCCAGAGCACAGATCGTCCGGCCCTCAATTTGTTTCCTGCAAAGAGATGCAAACGTCAATCAACGCTAGGCGTAGTGTTGAAGATGACGTACGTGATCTCAAGGAGCATGTCAATCTCGCGCCGGTGGCCCCGACCCTCAACGAATCGGTTCATCATGTTCATCATCCAGGTCGTGCCCTCACGACAGGGAGTGCACTGACCACACGACTCGTGCTTGTAGAACTGAGGATATATATACGTCAGTGGAAAAGCCAAGGCTCAACCATCTATATGCTTACCGAAGCGAAACGGGCGATAGCGGAAACGATATCCGTGCTCTTGTCCATGACAATGACGGCACCCGTCCCGAGGCCAGATTGTGCGTCCTTGAGCGAGTCGTAGTCCATGAGCACCTCACCGCACTTGTCGATGGGGAGAACAGGAACAGAGCTTCCGCCAGGAATGATACCGAGCAGGTTATCCCAGCCGCCACGTACACCACCGCAGTGCTTCTCGATGAGCTCCTTCAGAGGAATACTCATCTCCTCCTCGACAACGCAGGGATTGTTGACGTGACCGCTGATGCAGAAGAGCTTTGTACCCTGGTTGCGCTCACGACCAAAACCGGCGAACCACGGGGCACCGCGTCGGCAGATGGTAGGGGCGACAGCGACAGTCTCAACGTTGGCGACAGTAGTGGGGCAACCGAAGAGACCGACGTCGGCGGGGAAGGGGGGCTTTAGGCGGGGCTTGCCTTGCTTACCCTCGAGGGACTCGATAAGCGCGGTCTCCTCGCCGCAGATGTACGCGCCAGCGCCACGATGGAGGTAGACGTCAAACCCGTAGCCGGAGCCACAGGCGTTCTTTCCGATGAGACCGGCAGCGTAGGCCTCGTTGATGGCCTGCTGAAGGTGGGCGGCTTCCTGGACGAACTCTCCACGCATATAGATGTAGGCGGCGGTCGCGTTCATGGCACGACCAGCAACGAGGCAGCCTTCGACGAGTTTGTGTGGATCACCACGGAGGATTTCTCTATCCTTACAGGTTCCAGGTTCTCCTTCATCGGCATTAACGACGAGGTACCGCGGGCTGCTCAAGTCAGCGGTCTTGCACGTCAAGGCTGACTAAGTGAAACTCACCGCTTGTCCTTTTCCCAGCCCGGCTTGTTCATGAAAGACCACTTGAGGCCACTGGGGAAACCTGCACCTCCACGGCCACGGAGACCAGAGTCCTTGATGGTCTGAATAATCCACGAGTCGCCCTTGAGGAGAATGTCCTTGGTTCGATGCCAGTCACCGCGAGTCTAGAATATCATAGAACGACGCGTTCGCAAAAGAAGGCATGCGTCAGTTATTCATTCAAGCAATAAGAAGCGCATATATGCACCTGAGCACCCTTGAGGCCATGGTCGTGTCTGCAGTATGCGTTCGTGAAGATACGGTCCTGGTCCTTGAGGCCACCATACCGCCGCACGGGAGGGTCAGCAACGGTGGCAAGGCCACGACGAAAAGAACGCGAGGCGTGCCGCGAGAGGGCAGCAGCAGACTTTTGGGCCTTCAGCATGGTGAGGAATGAGAAATGGTGTTTGGCGTCGTTGAAGCCAGCGGCGACGCTCGCCAGCCAGTTTCGTCGGAGTTTGTTTCCCGGACGTCCCCGACAGTATAGCCCCTATGTAACTCAGCACCCGTTCTCTCGCGCCTATTGTTCAAGTTGAACTTGTTTTCGCAGCAAGCCTTTGCGCTCTCCCGTTGGTTCCACAAAGCTTATGTCCACATCCATTTGGTTCGTCTGTAATCCCATTGCCCCTTTCTCTTCACCAGCCACCTACGTCTCTCCAAGTAAGTGAGCATTGCTCTCGACGGTAACACATACACAAGCATCACGGTAAGGTGGCAGAGCGACTCGATCCCTCGCTGGAAGGGACGTCATCGATGGCATTACCCATGAATGAGAAACCTGAAAACAACTGGCAAGTTTCTCGCCCCCGTCTTGGCTGAAAGTGCTAACATATGATTAAGAATGAAACAACCTCTGAAGTCATCTCGCCGAGTTTGGGTATATGCTTATGCATAGCCCAGCTTCCAGGCACCGACATGCCCCACATGCTTCTCATTTCAATCCCATAACTCCACGAGCCTTTGCGATGGAGCTCTCAATAAGTGAATGCCGCTCTCGTCTCGGAATAGTTAGCGTTAGAGCACCTCGTTTCGGGTCCCGGCGATCTCGGTACACGCAACCCTTGAAACTTGAAGAAGCGCAACCATCGCGACACGGTGACTCGGTGGTGGTAAGGAACGGCCCCCTCAATGAACAACGAAATAGTGTATTTGACGCCTCTGTTCTTGCTGATTGGAGTGTTTTCCAGGTAACCAAACCTGTGGTCTATGGGCCCTAGCCTCCTATTTAAGCTCTCAGAACGCAGCCCTCCCTTGCTATGACCTATCAGGAAAACATTTCGGAGAAGAGCCACCGTTTCTTCCATGTTTGCACCTTGAATGTCGTAGCGAGTTGGTGGTAACGCAAAGCGCCGAGTTCCGTGCAAGCCGGTGTCTCGGTAACTCACCAAATCGCCCTCAGGCACTCGGCGCTCTGGGGTCTTCCGATGAAATGAAGACGCTCGACGGAACGAATCGGCGAGTTTCATAAATACAGTAACCCGCATAAATTGCTGAGTCAAGCCAGACCACGCTGTCATCGGCCAGGCGCTAGGAGTTCAAGGTCCTCACCTCACATTTTATTTTTAGAATGCGCGAAATCCCCTGAGCGGCTCCAGGTGTAGTTCCACATGCGTTTCGAATTTTGCTCACTTCGACAGGCGCAGCGATCTCATGCACACTCAGGGGTTATGCACGGAAGGTGCATATTCAGCTAGATGGCCCCTCGACTCAGCTCGTCGCCTTATAAACGGCCCGCTCGTATACGCATTCTTGGGCATCAGCTTTGGTACATTTCCTCGCAGCGCCGGTAACTGAACACTTGCCGTCTCCGAGGATCCGCTCAAAGTCAGTTCGACCGTCAGATCAGGGTACGCATCCGTTCAAACAAATTGTCACCCAGGCAACATGAGCTCACTTTTACGTACCGCAGGCCTACATCTCCGTCCCTGTGCTTGATCTGCATACACTTCGAATTGTACCTGTGGTGGTCAACCACTCGGTCCCATCGCTCGCTCGTCCCCGCCGCCCATTTTTGCGGCGTCCACTAAAATCCTTCAGGAACATTTACGCGCAGGACTACTGCTTGCTGTAAGCGGCCATATCTCTTCCAATGGTCCGGCACATTGCTGACGAAACTCGCATTCGTACGCTGAGCAGACGAAATCGCACGTCTTGCACAGGTTCTTCCTGGCGACGCATAAAAGCTTTGGATCCGACCCTTCCATCTCTTCAGACACTCGACGTCTTCTACCTCTCTCAAAACCGCCTTTTCAAGATGTTCAAAGCCCTCGCTCTCACCTCGCTTCTCATCCTCGCCACCCAAGCTATGGGTGCCGCCGTCGAGCGGTCCGCCATCCTGGGCCCTGGCCCCGAGTGCATCCACGAGAACGGCTCGCTCTACTGCCCCGGCGGTAAACGCGCCGCCCCTACTCCCACCTACACTCCGTGCGGTACCGGTACTGGACAGTACAACTGTCCTATCCAAACCATCACTGCGCGTGCACCCGAGCAGACGTTCACGCCTTGCGGTACTGGCACTGGGCAATACAACTGCCCAAACCAGCCCATCACACAGCGCGATACTCCCATTACTTCCTACAACCCAGGAGGTCCTATCATCACCGCGACTCCTGAGAAGAGATCCAGCTTCAGCATCAACGGGGGCGTTGGACCTGTTTGTCACTCTGCTGGTCACTCCGGCCCAGGAATCATCTGTCCTTCTCGTGAGTGATGTGCTTGTCCTCCATCGCACTAAACTCATTGTAACCTTTCAGATTGGCCTTAAACGTCACTTCCTCGGCGGTGAAAACTTCGCGTTTACGAGAGTCGTTATCGTCTTAGTTTTCGTCTCAACTTTGTTCGTTCGTACTACTTGCCATGGGAATTTGGGCATTTTGGGTCCGTCACAGGGATTTGTACACTATGATACTGCCGAGATAACTATTGGCTTTGCTGATATAACCTTTTTTATGATTTCTTTTATTCCCGTTTTTCATCGTAATTATGACGGTTTTATCATGGTTAAACCAATGATAATGCTCCCTTAAGTTTTGAAGTAACTTGAATATTGTCGTCTTTTGGCATAGATGCGGATATTCGTATGCCGCGTGGTTGATTGGAATACTGGAGTCTATTGGTACATGGTTCAGGTCATAGACTACGTATTACATTAAACAAACCAGCGACCCGTACACTTAGAGCTGACGGCACCGCCCCTAGATTGCTGCCAATAAGCTCGCTGGTGCTTGCATCGTCCTGGACAAGTTGTACGCCGCCGAAATCAGCGTGACGTGCCTAGCAATCCAACAGATTGTCAGCGAACTTGTTCATCGCCCAAACCTGCGACATGTGACTTACGTAAAGCCCTGCACTGCATTGCCGAGTCTATAGGACATGTCCTAAGCAAATCGTGCGTGAAGGAGAGGAAGGAAGCATTACCCTTCACCCGCTTCGGATATCTCCTCTGTGCATAGTCCGACGTGGTTGGAGAAGAGGAGGAAGTCCTGTACAGTCCCGTTGAACACATATTCACGGCAAGTGGAATGAATGCAGACCTCAAACATAGACATGGCCCGCTTGAGCAACGCCGGCTCGTACACGCCGGCCCGGGCCAGCGCCTCCACGCACCTGCATGAACATAAGCGTAGTACACGCGCTGAATACTACAGCACACTCACCAAAGCGTGCACAAGCAGAATGTACCCTCACCGCCCCCGACACCATCATCTGATTTGGTGACGTCATATCGATATACAAGGTTCTGCTATATGTAAATCGTGATCATATCTTGGAGTCACTATTCGCTCACGTTTGACGTAAGACCTCCCCGCTGCGGCGTTTTGAGGATCTGCTTCAAAGTGCTGACGAAGCGCGGGTCGGACTGTTATCAATGCAAGATAAAACAGTGAAGATATGTCAGCAATTTCATAGTCGCTCCTGTTTCATCGGAGAATGCACGCACAGGTTGGATGAAGAATACCAGCGGCATGATGAGCACGGCTGAGTCAAGCACGTTCGTCTCCTCGTAGCACTGCCCGAAAGACTGTTGTACGGGGTCCCAGGACTTGTGCATTACTTGCTCGTAGATGTCGTCGCGGGCCTGGAACCACGCCAAACGGTTTGGGCATGGAAGCGAGCGCTTATCCGCGAGTCGCAATCCTACAATACAGTGGGATTTGAGGTTTGAGCCGTCTCGCGTGTCATAGGGGACTTACCTCTATCAATTGCAACCCTATTGCGCGCGTTAACAGTGACCAGAAAAATGTGTCCTAGGGGGCACTTACCACATCATGATCTAGGGTTTGTGAAGATGTCCATGTTACAGTATCGGTCATGAATGTCGTGGTCGCCGCCGCCTCAAAAGAATACATGCATACCTTTGAATACTGTGGGATATGGGTTAGCAAAAGAACATGCGACGTTAGAAGAAATGTTACAGTGAAGTGGCGTTTCTTTCCTCGAACTTCCCTAAAGCACTGCGTCACAATTTCAACCTGAGACCGCAATGGCCTATCACGGACTGACCAGATGGATCTACATGAATCATGTCAGCCCTTCAGTTACTTTCCAAAAGCGAAGGAACGTAGTTTACAGATCAGGCTCGTTGTATTGAGCAACCACATCTGTCAAAGTTTCAGCATCAGGTCGGCAATCGATTGGCGGGAGCGCATCTCACAATCTACACTACATCGAAGCATCAAATGAGGCTTTCACCAACACGGACGAGATGCTTACAGTTCTCTGACTTGCACCCTTGTCGTTTCAAAGTTAGGTCAGGGAAAGACAATGAGAGGAAGATGTCACCAGGTATCGTAGGACTAAGGTAATCAGTAATGTCCGGATGGAGGTTCAAACGTAACTTACCAAAGGGCGGCCATACTTAGTAGTAGCCGAGCAATCAGCGCGATCCTAGTAAACAACGCCAAGCGCACCTTTTGTCCCAAGTATATACAATCCATCCTGCGTTCACGGAGAGAAATCAGAAGAGTGTCGAGGATGGAATAGGAGCGCCTCACAGCTCGCCGTAGATGTCCTGGACGAGTAGATCAGCATACGACAGAAGATTTACGGATTTGACGGCACTTACTAACTGCAAGTGGTCGGCAGCGCCATTGCCGATCCTGTAATGCAATAAGGGGGAATCACCACTGGCAAATCGTGCTGCTTACCGCACAGGCTTAGAGCCCTTGTGCCCATCGAAATGATTTAGCTCAATCTCTTCGAGATCCTTACCTCCGTGGATAGTATACCTGATGTGATACAATATGTAACTTACCATACACCAAAGGGTACACTTACATTATCTGGAGCGATCCATCAGGATTTTTGTCTTTTAGCCGTTGGATTATGAACTCCGTGTACGCTGATAACGACATATGTGAGTGCGGGTTACGTTACGTAAGGAAGGGCTCACCATTGGCTTCTTCTGTGAAGCCCAAGCGTATGAGAGCATACAAAGTAAAGGATGAATCACGGATCCAAGATGCACTGTAGCGTACTAAGCATAGCTCATCCACTAGTCGGGGAAAGTATACCGGTAGTCCCTATTCATCTGATCAGCTTGAAGAACGTAGATGTTTTGTGAACAAACCTACCAGTTTCTACCCCCGCCAATGAACTCCGGTAAACTAAACGTCGGACTGGCGATGACAGCACCTGTCGGCTCGTATATGAGAAGTTTGAGAGCTAGGGCGCTTCGATGGACTGCCTCCTTCCAAGACCCTTGGTACGTTGACCGACGGATCCAAGAGTTCCAGTACGTGTTGGTGGACTGCGAAATGTTGATGTTAGCTGCAAATGACTGCGCCGGCCAAGGAAACCGGCCAACCAAGAAGAGTCTCTCGAGAAGTTCCTTCGTCAGTATCGGATCATCGAGAGCCCGCAACTTGGACGTCCCGATGGCAAGTGCTAAAAACCGCGTCGATGACATCCTATCCAGATAAACTATCAATATACTAACCTTCAAGCGATACTCCCAGCTCTTCCGCCTTCTCCTGTGTTGGAACAGCGTTGGGCTTAGTGGCCTTCGTTGGGGGTGTTCTCAGCACAAACGTGACCCTTTGCCCTTCCTCGAGAACGAGGTCGCACACCGCGCTAGGACCAAGGTGTCCTTGTCCAGTAAGGTCGAGCTTCTTCAACCGAACCTTGGGATCATCGACATTCTCCAACGTTGACTCAACGACGTATCGTAGGTCGAGATCGAGGTCGCGCGATTTGAAGAGGGCCTTCTCATGAGTGCCTCGCCCTTTGGATTGACTGTCGTCCGGGATGAACTCGAGCGTGTGCGGGTCGCGCGCATAATTGAATGCCGGGGCGCACTCCATGCGGATCGGGAATGCACCGCGGACTACCTACGGAAAGAAAAGTGGGATTGTGCGAGCCCCTTGGACAGGGACGTGACCCTATTGGCCACTCACCTCGACGCGACGGATCATCCAGAATAGCAAAGGCTTCTCCGAGGAACTGTCCTTCTGACGCGGCAGAAAGTCTCGCGCGGTATGAGCATTGACGGTTCTCGTATAGGATACCGGAAGGACGTACCCGTGACGCTAACCACGCCTTGTTCGTTAAGAAACCTAGATAGAATAAGGTTTACGATACTGGCAAGTTAGAGAACGAAGAAGACGAACTTTGTTTGAAGAACATTGGAGCTCGGGAGATAGTTCTGCTTGGTGGTAAAGGGCACAGTGGGTGTGATGGAGAAGTGGCCACCCTATAACGAGGGCGACAGGTTGCTACGATGGTGTGCCGAGGGGATGGAAACTTTACGTACCTTGTCCTTGTCGAGGATGCGAGCAAAGATCGACGGAGAGTCAAAGTTTGGGACACAATAGCTTTCCACTTTGGAGTCAGGGACAGAAGTTGCGTAGGTTCGTCGAGGCGGAGACAATCGTTGTCAGTTGACTGGTTACATCTTCGCGGATGCCCGTAAGACCCACCAGATCCGTCTATACTAATCTATGCATAACAGATAGCTGTCTTCACTTTCTGAAAAACCTTGAGCATCAATGTAATACGACTCACAAGGGCTGCCGTTCGCAGGTTCCCAATGCTGGGACACGCGTCGTCTGTAAGCCCCACCCATACTATGAACGCGAATCACCAGACGAAGAGACTCACAGGGCGTGATCAGAGATCGGGTTGTATCCACGGTCGCCCGAGGGGTCGCATACATTCATCTTGGCGCAGTTCATGTTGCTTTCTGTAGCTTGAAAGTGGAAACTATCGTCTGGCTGGAGTTGGCGTGGGGGAAGGGTTGGATAGGAGGTTTATTAGGCAAGCGAGCTAGACCGATGGCACGGGGTTAGAGCCATAAATAGGCACCGATGAGGACGCACTACTTCCGTCAGCATGCCTTCGTCGCAGACGTCGTCTCCCTGGATCTCGCACACACCGGCAGCAGCCGGAATCGATGAAAGCTGCGATTCATATCCTGCGCTTTAGTGAAGGCAAGTCAGCATCATACACCGAGTGAGACCGAGAAAACCGCAGTACGATTGGGGGTAGTAATACCAGTGGGACGTGCAAATGTAAACTTGCTGGATTAAGTAATTGGAAATAGATTTGGCCAAAGGCACGTGACAATATTGTGTCCAAGCGGGATGTTTTTCTTGACATATACAGACGATGATAATGATAGGACAGGGTGGGCGCAACGATCATTTGCACAGCCAGGCACCGTAACTTCATTTGTTGAGCTGGCCGCGTCGGTATCGACCGGGTCGGCCATTGTTTACCACACCACGGGCAAACTGCTATTTTTTGCTGGAGAAAAAAGAGAGAAAATGCGTGGAGGTGAAAACCCCCTTCCCCGAGTTTTCACCGCGAGAAAAGTCAAAGGAAAGATAAACATTGCACCCGAGGGAGCACCTTTTCCAGGCGAGAAAAGGTTAACAATTCCCCAGAGTCGGCAAAATTACCAAATTAGGCATCCATAATTGGACATTTATCCTTTTCTCACCCAGAAAAGGCGCTCTCTCGGGTTCAATGATAATCTTTCCTTTGACTTTTCTCGCGGTGAAAAATCAGCGAAAAAGGTTTTCGCCTACACGCCTTTTCTCTCTTTTTTCTCCGCCGAAAAATGGCAGTTTGCCCGTAGTGCCATGATCTGTCAGCTCCAGTTCACGAATCAGCGAGTGAACGTGCGTCGGCACTCCCGACGAATTTCCCCCGTTCGGCCCAGCCAGCACTGCGTAGGTTCAAGCGCTCAAAGTCATATGCTCTGCGACTGTGTGCAGATATGTGCAGATTGACGCGTTCAAGATGTAAATAGACCTTCGAGCATGGGCAGATGAGACAAGAGTGAACGCGATACTACCACTGTACAAGAGCTCCGATTTTGGATAGCGAGATGAGACGTCAGAAGACAACCTGTATCTGTTATAGATGACTGCGTTGATGATGATAAACAACCGGTATGAGGCCGTCATCTTCTAGGCTCTGATTCTCAACGTCGACGGCGACTTGGAAGATCCGCGAAAGATTTCCCTTGACAAGTAACGGGGCGTACGTGAAAGCTGCATGGCCGATCTATTTCAGGTTAGAAGTACATACCATGACCAAGGAAAATGAAAGTGATGTTCCGTAATGTGATCACAGTAGATCCCCCATGGTTTCATTGCGCTATTCCTGCTCCCTGCTCTTAGTATTGTGTGCTCGAGATAGAGAGGGATAGAGATGGGGTCGCAGTAGCTCTAACCTGGACAAAGAACTCTATCAGCGAGGGTCTGTTTCTCCGCCTCGGCGTGGGAAAAGCACCAACGAACGTGTGTGATGATTCAATAGGGGCCGTCTCCTCCGCTTGGGCGCGTACCACCTGCCCATCAGCTGTACCCGACCAGCCTTATAACATCCCCGTCCTGTACATTTCTCTCTTCTTCACTCTTCACGCCTTCTGTACGACGCTCGCGTCGCTGCTCTCAGTGTCTGTCAGTCAGCCTAGGAAATTTCGGTCGATCGGTTGAAAAGGTCCGTTCCTGGTTTAGCCTCATCTAGCCGTCTCGCCGCCGGCTCATTCATTTCCTCGTCCGGACAATCAAATACATCCTTCGTCCCGTCCAGCCAGATAAACACCCGTGTGCACCTACTCGGGTTCCTCTGTCCTTGACCACCTCCCTCACCTCCGCATCGCCGAACGACCATGTCGGACCACAAGCACACCGACTCTATTCCCTCTTCTGATGATACCCAACGCTATCGCTCTGGTCTGGAGGAGTTTGAGCGCGGAGGCGAAAACAGGCCTCCGTATGTCTTGACCTGGCCGGAAATGAAGCTCCTCGGTATCGCTGGTGTGAGTTGTTTCTTGAATTCATATACTTCCTAAGCTGACCCGGCCACCGGCTCTCAGGTTGGATTCTTCCTTGATGGTGCGTGCTAAAGACGCATTTGATAACGCATATATCGACTCAGGTTTCGTATATGCTAGCCTACGACCTGTTCATCATCAACGTAAGCTGAAAAAGAGTACCTCATCGTTGTATTGTTGCTTATTTAAAGCATCGTCAGCCCGTAGCTACCATGCTGCAGTACAGGCTCTATGGATCGGCACCCTTCCCCGCCAATCTGCAGGGTCTTTTGAAGGCATCTGCCAACATCGGCAGTGTTATTGGGCAATTCTCTTTTGGTACGTTTCTTCCTACTACATGATGCATTTCGCTGATTACGCCTAGGCTACATGGCTGATGCGCTTGGTCGTAAGGCTATCTGTAAGTCACCGTATAATCCATCTTTTTAAGCCGATCTCAGTACCGTTCGTCTAGACGGAAAAGAGCTGATGCTGATCATCTTTGCCACCATCATGAGCTTGACTGTTCCTACCGGTGAGTATATTCCAGTGAAGTGTCTACTCAACCGGCTGACTAACGTCAATAGGCACTCTATCTGCCAATAGCTGCATCATTTACCTCACGATCTGGCGTATCATCCTTGGTATTGGTGTGGGCGGTGACTACCCTATGTCTGCTTCCGTCACTTCGGACCGCGCCGTCCTCCGCAAGCGCGGCACTATGCTTGCCTATATCTTCGCGAACCAGGGCTGGGGCAGCTTCATTGGCGCTCTCGTCACTATCATAGTGCTGGCCATCTACAAGCATTCTATGAATGACTTGGGCGAGACCTCCAAGGTTGACGGAGGTGCGCTAATGTTCTCGAAAACGACTGCCCACTATATCTCAATTTCTTCTCATCAGTTTGGAGAATTGTCATTGGCCTATCGCTCATTCCCGCACTCGGAACCCTATATCAACGTTTGACGCTCCCAGAGTCCAAGCGCTTTGAGAACGCCAAGAACATGGAAGAGGAGCTCGACGAGATTAAGCAGGCTAAGGAGGCTAACACTACTGTTGGCCCCGCCTCGGCATCCAACACCAGCGTGCGCGACACTGTTCAGGCGACCGTCCACCAGAAGGCCCACTTCAGAGGTGAGAGCGGATTGGTCCTCGGGCCCGGAGCGTCCATGTTCACATGCATTTCTAGAATTCCTCACCTACATCTCGGAATGGCGCCATGCTAAGATTCTCATCGCTACATGTGGTTGCTGGTTCTTGCTCGACGTCGCGTGAGTACAGAAGCATTGCGCTATTTCGTGGCACACGACCATTAATTTATTCTCTTCCCGTCTAACAGATTCTATGGTATCAACCTCAACCAAAACGTCGTATTGGCCGAGATCGGCTTCGCAGGAAAGTCCGGCTCGGACTGGGAGAAGCTCTGGAAAATCTCGTTAGGCAATATCATTGTTACTGCTCTTGGATTTGTGCCAGGTTTGTTCCGCCACCTTCCTTCTCTGTGGAGTTGAAGCTTATCGCCGCCCACACGTAGGCTACTATGTGACCGTCCTAACTATCGAGAAGCTTGGTCGCAAGTGGATTCAGATCCAGGGTTTCCTCGTGACTGCTCTCTTCCGTGAGTGGCAGCCCTCTTCCTCGGAATTCTGGGTCCTAATATTTAATCCGCGCAGTGGGTATCCTCGCTGGCCGCTTCACTGAATTGAGCACCGCCGCCTTCATCGTCAACTTCTCGCTTCTTCAATTCTTCTTTAACTGGGGTGCAAATGCCACTACCTACGTGAGTTCGCCTTCGCCCATCTTATTCGCATATTCTACATTAGGCTGATCGATCGATCGCTATCCACAGTGCTATCCCGCGGAGGTCTTCCCCACCCGCTATAAGGCCTTTGCCCACGGCGTGTCGGCCGCCTGCGGTAAGGCCGGCGCTATCATATCAGCGCTCGTGTTCAACACGTTAACGGCCTCGATCGGCACGCCCGCTGTCCTCTGGAGTATGTTGCGCTCGTGATTGAACATTAAGCGCTCAGCTGACGTGATGTGTTTCTTTAGTCTTCTTCGCCTGCTCTATCCTCGGTGCCGCCCTTACACTTCTCCTTCCCGAGGTCCGCGGCCGTGATGCGGATGAGGTCCTCGCTCAGGAGCTTAAGGAAAAGCGGTCATAGAGGTTTCTCGCTCAGCGAGAAGTTGAGAGGATACTTTCGTATTTTTAGGATGGATCTAAGTTTGGGCTTGGCATGTACCTCCCCACTTTACCCATATTGCTTCGAACCTATGGACCCATCGATACACCTCGTTCTTCTAAAAAGCTGCGCATTGCACCGAGCCATTACCGGTATAATAGGATGACTTATAATCTATTCTCCGCCATACCTGTTGTCCTCTAAATGTGTACGATCAATTCCATTTCGCAATGCATTACGGCTCGTTCGACAGTGACGACGATGTAAGCAACCAGGTATAGGGATCGCAAGAGTGTTTGTTGAGAAACCGGGTCGATCATCGTGGCAAAACTGCATCATAGGTGTAAGGTGTCCGAGCGACTATCATCCTTCAGTAGTTGGATTTCTCTCGATCATTTCTATGTCAGCGCCCAGACATCCCTGTCATCCGCTTTCATACGCTGGTAATCTCTGAGAGCGAGTCTGTGCAGGCTGCGCTCTCGGGAAGCGCGCAAAGCTAGACGAGTCGAAGGCCTGAGGGTGACCGGCGTTGGCCATGAAGCTGAATTCGGCCTCCAGCGCTTCCTACATGTGAATCGTAGTCCAGTGCCTTGCACTCGCCGAAATGTACAACGGATGGACAGAGTACTGAGACCTCCGGGACAGGAATGGCGCCGGCAGAACCCGATTCCTCCATTGTCGACCCACTGACTATGCCGTTGGCAACAGGCTCCGTTTTTCGAGCGTCCTCAACTGCTCCAACCCTCACTCGCTAACTATGATGCACGGAAAGGCGAGAGTCCCAGTACGAGAGAGACCGGATTATTGGCACTGGCACATGGCCCTAGCATAGCGTCTAAACAACTCCCTCTTCTCTACCTCTGGTTCCTTCCCCATACTACCCATTACCGAGTTCCACGCGACCTCCTCGTCTTCCCGCTCGCAGTTCGGGTGCCTCAATCTTGGCACGAGCTTGCCCATAACATTCACAGTTGCCTCCATGTCTTCCTTGGTCTCCGGATATCCGCGGAGACGTAGACACGTCGCGTTCTCCAGACAACGCACCGAGTCCATCTGCGTCGATATCTCGCGGATGTTGGCCATAGACACCATTACGGGGATGTCAATGATCCTGATTTTGGGGCAGACCTGACCAAGCGCCAGCAGCTCCTGCAAAGAGAAGGCCTCCTGAGACGACGAAAGACGTAATACCTCCAGAGACGGCCAATGACACGCCAGATCCATCAGCTGCGGGTGCGTGAACGATCGTCCGTTTAAGTGAGTAGAAAGGTCCACGGTCGTGAGGCCGTAGAAGGCGACGAAGGGAAGTAGCAGGTCGTCAACAGAAGGTCGGTCCGAGTCGCGAGGGGAAAGACTGCGACCACTCGCTACGCGGAGCTCTCTCAGCGTTTCAGCGTATACGAGTTCCGGAAGAGCACTCGCGAGGTGCACAACAGAGTCGTCGGGAGATGCAATGGAAGACAGCACGCGAATGTCCACGCGTCGGACGACAAAACGCGTGTCTGGACCGCGATCGCCGAGCACGGCCTCGAGTGCTGAGATAGTATCCTTGTATTGACCACCACTAAGTATGAGTGTATCGATTTCCCGGAGCTTGTTACAAATACCCGCACGGGCGCGAGAGGGCGGACTGAACGCCCGAATCTCGAGGGTATCAAGACTCGATAACGACGCTAGGTGCTTCCATACGTGCTGGTCAATAGGGACAGCGCCTCCGATCGAGCGGAGATGCTTCCAGCCACAGATGAGACGCGCCGAGGCGTTCTGACGTATGAAACGCAATTCCTCCTGAACGTGGAATGACTCGACAAAGGGACAGAGATCGGGGGCGGACGGAGATGTTAGATTGGCGATGTCGAGTAACAAGCCGGTAGATACGTGCAGCTTGCGAAGACCGGGCGAAAGCAGCATGCGCAGAGCGGGGGCGGGACAGCCGTGCCCCAGCGCGAGTGCGCACAGATTCGGGAATAGGACTGGCACAGATGGCGCTGCGTTTACGAGGGCGTCGATAACAGACTGGTCGGCCATGATACTTTTGGGTCCTATGGACTGCGATCGTCGATACACCAAGGAGTTCCATCCCTCCGAGCTTATACGGCCAACTCCGGAATGAGGGACATGGCGAAACCCAATGGAGCGGACCTTGGCCGCTCGACTTCTCAGAAAGGTCCATTCTTTCTCAGCCATCTTTCGACGAAAGCACTGCGAAATCATGAGCTGCCAGAGGTGGGTCCCAGACACGACCACGTACCAAAGTCCAAACCCTCATCCCATTCCCACATTTACCAAACCTCCCTCCAGAGAACATTCTGGGCGAAGGCGGTGGCTTCAGGTTCCACAAACTCCGAGGCAGACACATGAAAAGCTCAAACCAGCTGTCGAGGTCCGCATATAGCGCATCGATGGCGAGGTCGCTGAGCGTTCTGGACACTTGGGAGAGTGTTCGAAAGGAGGGTCTGTCGTCGACGTGGCTGATGATGAGGGCCACTATTTCCGGAACCTCTAGACAGCGATGGGGTTTGGGGATCCTACATCCAGGAGAACAATCGAGAAACACGAGAGTGAGGGGGAGCTCAGCGACATGAGCGGAAGGGCACACCTTGATATATGCGGCTCGTCGTCTTCAAACCCGGTTATCCCTGTGCTCTTGAAGCGCGGCCAAGACTGAAATATTTCGCGAAACATAGAAGTGGGTAATCGAACAGGGAACACGGGATGACTTTCTGGAGCGAGTGTACCACTGGGCGAAGGAGACAGCGGTACAGTGCCAAGACGGTGGGGTAGGGGTAGCGTCTGTGGAAATCTTAACGCTTGATGTTATGCTCTAAGACAGCAGGAGACTAGGGCGAGGCACAAAGGAGGACGAATTGTTGACGACGGGCGTTGAGCCTATTTGCTCGGACTTGCTGTAGAGTACAGTTCCCATGACGCTGTCGGGCTATACAGTGGCTGAAGCCATCAGTCCCAGTCCGTGGATCTGGGGGAGAGACCATCATCTCAGTATCTGGGTGGATCGCGTCTGGCAACCAGCCAATATGCCACTAATAGGACCACGAAATCGTCCTCTAGACTTGGAGACCCGAGTCTTGTTCGCCTTTTTCCTAACCATTTTCTTCAGTACAATGTTCCCTGTAGGCATCCTCTTTTCTTGAAAGGCCTCTCGGGGCCCGAAGTATGTATGCAGAGTTGTAGATTGACAGCTCGGTGAACAGCGGTGAAGGTGATGACGATGGGGCTGGACGAGGGCGCTGCTTTGATGCCTGACACTGCAGACGCGTCTCACGCTAGTTTATGACCTCAGTCCCCTTGACAAATACTCAGCCGGAGGCTTCGCCCGTTGCACGCTGACAAGGACTGCTTCACTTTAGAGAGGGTGCGTTGAGAAAGAAACCACACGCGTGATATTAGTGTCTGAGGAAGGTTCGGCTAACTCCGGGACGCTCCGGCTCACCGTCACCTTTCCTCCCAGCTGAGTCTTCTGCTCGATTATCAACCTAAGCGTCTTGGTCAATCGATCGTTGTTTTCTATTTTCACCCATTGTCTCTTAAGGTTCTCAAGAACTCTCGCCTCAGCGGCGGAGGCAAGTACAGTCACCATGTCCGTGCCCGAAACGCCCTTACCTCAGCTCCTGCTTGCTCACCCGAGTCGATGGCGTGCACAGAAGACTGTGGTGAATGCTCTTTTCCCGGAGGGCAAGGAGCACCAAAGGCTTGAAGGGGTATCGGGGGTGCATGGAGCTGAGAAAACACTTGTATTTCCAGATGCAAACGATACGTTCCACTACCACTTCTTCAATACCGACTTGCCTTTGCCTCACGCCGGTACCTCTTCCCCTCACCATCCGATTCTTGCTTTGCTTCCCTCAAGCGCATCATCCAGCAATGAAAAATCCACAAAACAAGTTATCGTCCCTCCTTCGCCTCTCTCAGCTGATGTCGAACGCGCATATACCCCGATTTTCTCGCCAAGCGCGTTCTTTGCTGCTTTAGACGTCTTCAGGACCGGCCGGCAAGAGAAACGAGAGGAGAACTGGGCGCTAGGAGATGTGCTGTTCTACAGCGAGGTGGTGACAAGTACACAGACCATGCTAGACAAGTACGTGCTCCTACTATCGGAAGCGACGGCCCACGTATGCACGTGCGCTCGTCTTTCCTCGACCACAGTTCTACACTTTCTTAAAACCTGCGTCCTATTTTCACGCGTACACAGAAACCACATCCTCCTCGGGTCCCTCCCCACACCCCTCGTCTCCTTCGCAAGCACCCAGCTTACAGGTCGCGGCCGCGGCTCGAACGTATGGCAGAACATCCTCCCGGGCTCGTGCATGCAGATGAGCACGCTGATCAAGGTTGGCATGCGGATGCCGCCGGGATCGTCTGTTCAGCCCAAGATTCAGCCCGCAATCAGGTCGCATAATCTCGTCTTTGCCCAGTATCTGTTTGGGATTGCGGTCGTGCAGGCGTGCAAGGCGCTGAACCCGAGCACGAACGCGGTGCAGTGGGCGGATAGGGTGAAGTTGAAGTGGCCCAACGATGTTTATGGGCGGTTCCCCGTGCGCGGAGAAGATGGTACGCTCCGCAGGTCACCTTGTTTGAGAAGACACTAAGACAAGGTCTAATGTAGGGAAGACGACTGTCGAGCTCAAGAAGCTCGGCGGCATCCTAACGAACTCTGTGTTTGGCAATGGTACTATCGATATCATCATCGGTACGTCTTTGGCTTCCCCCCCTCTATACTATCCTAAATCACAAATCCAATAGGCTGCGGCTTCAACATCACAACGACCTCACCGTGGGCCTCGCTCTCTGAGCTCATCGCAGCCTGCTCGGCAGAGGCATGCGTACCCGTACCCGACGGCGCCGTCCCGACTGTCGAGCGCACTGCTGCGGCCATACTCGCCGCGTTTGACAGTCTTTGGACCAACTTTGCAGAAATAGACAGCTTTGACGGCTTTCTCGACGTATACCATCAATCATGGCTGCATACGTAAGCACTGCTCCGTTTTACATATTATATCGAACAGGCTAATGAGGGTTGTTTCCGACAGGGGCCAGAAGATCACCCTCACTACGACGGAACCCCATGAAGAGGTCACGATTGTGGGTCTAACACCAGACTATGGGCTTCTTCGGGCGAAGAGCAATCGTACGGGAGAGGAGTTTGCTTTGCAACCTGATGGGAATAGCCTCGATATGATGAAGGGGCTTATCAAGGCGAAGAAGTAAGGGGCGCGGATAGAGGGTGGTCACGGTATAGTGTACTTGGCTGCTGGCCAGCTAGAAGACGCTAACATCTACCAGGATTATTCGAGAACAAGTGAACTGTATGTGTACTTTTAGCGCGAGTACATTCGTAGGCGCTGCCGCCCAACGTTATTGTGTTTATGGCCTTATAAATGCTTGATTGATAATAATCCCTGCTCTCGGACCTGGCCCTCAACAGCATCATTCAATCGCACATGGAACGGCAATCGATTTCAGGTTTGGACTAGTACCACCAAGCATGAGCGCATCCTAGGGTCGGTTGAAACACGCTGAAAATGAGATGCATATCAAAGGCCCCAGAGCTTCGCGACAGAAACTGGATAAACGACGACTGCAGTGTCATTTCCGGTACTAAAGCCAATCAAAGGTTACATTGTACAGCATCAGCTTGAAATAATGTACTGCGTCGTAAATGTCACAAAGGTCCAAACCGGTCATCCCTAGCCACGGCAGTACCAAATTGGGCGGCTCGAATGCTTGCTGCCCAGCGTTGCAGCGCGGCAACACATGATACCAGCACAAGGTCGCGTATCTCGTCTGCCGCGGGCGTCAGCAGAAGGCGGCCTCCTGAACCCGTAGCGGGCTCATGCCAAGCGAGCGTGGTGTCAGCATCGCTGGCCGCGGAGAGTTTGAGTGTCTTTCCGGCGCCAACTGTCCAGTGATATTCTCTTCCAGCGATCTCAAACGTCAAAGGGCTAAGGTCGGAGGTGAAATGAGTTGATATAAGGACGAGAGACAGCATAAGACTTACAAATCACGGAACTTAGGCGCCTTCAACCATTTCTCCAACTTGTGCTTCTCCTCAGTCGCTCCATCTCCAGAAGAAACGAGGGTGATCGTGTCTGAAACTACGTCACTCCGCGTGATTGTCGCGACAACCTTGTCGGTCTGCAGATTCTTGATAATCGTTTTACTCGAAGCGAAAGACTTGTGCGTGTCGATAGCGTATGCTGCTGCGCGGCTCGGAACAACGCGAGCGGTGGAAGAAGAGAGAGGTGTGATGGTGTGATCGAAGGCGAGTACGGTGCGGACACCAACCGGGACACCTTCAGTGGGGTTGACGAGTGTGGCCTGAGAGTCCATTGTCGTTGTTGGGAAGGAAGCAATCGTTTGCTACATCGTCCAGTGTTTGGCTATAGCGGAAAGCTTGAGAGCTGCGCTGCCAGGCACATGCTGTACAGTGGTGTCAGTCAAACAGCGTCTGTTATTGGCGAACACAAGTCCCTCACTGCTGTCTTTGAGTCCGGCAGGCCGAATGGTTGTACCGGGTCATTGTGATGGTGAAAGCAGCAGCGGAAGGGAGAGAGTGTTTGGGGAAGAGGTCTGCTGCAGCACCAAACACCCGTCGACCGCGCTGATTACCGGTACTCTCGCACTTGACCGTTTTTGCTCGTCGCCGCTACAACCTGAGGACACTCTGCCAGCATTCGCATCTAGCATACACCGCCAGTGCACTTTTCGTTATCCTTACAGTCAAAAGTGATCAGCCCCGAATCGAAGAGCTAATGGTACGCTTCAGTCGCCCGAGTCTTCTGAAGACAAGTGCTAATGCTACGTCTACAACGCAGTCTCTGCACCACCTTGTCTCCCAGCGAGGCACGGCTTCTCTGCCACTCGTCCCCACCCCATCCACTCCCTCCCTTCCGCCCGAGATCCTCGAGTTCATCTTCGAGGAGTGTGTTGCACAGGCGCACGCTCACAACGGAAAGGGTTGGCAGTTCCACTATTGCGACCACCGGTGCTTGCTCGACTGGGTACAGATAACTCATGTCTGCTCCCTTTGGCGTACTATTTCTACGGAACGCAAAGGGCTCTGGAGCCATATTGTTTTTTTCAGCGCGAAATGGACGCGAACAATGCTCGACCGCGCTGGTGCAAGTCCTCTCGTTGTTTCAGCCCGCTTCGACGAGACGATTGACCACGTGGAACTACTATCATCCTTGCTGGAGAACGTGGGCAGGATAGAAGATCTCCACTTTGAGGGTTCCGAACCCGACGGGTACCGGTTGGCGCAGGCTTTGGATAGTGTTTCCGGTTGCCTCGGCACCGTAGCGCTGAGATCATTAGCCCTCTTACAGATTCCACAGGCAGATCGGACGGGGTACCACACCTCACGTCTTCCGACCTCTCTGTCACGCGATTGTACGCTGAAGAAACTATACTTGAGGGGCTTTGGGCTATCGGACAATGACTTTCGCTTAGAGACGATGAACGTGCTGGAGGAACTATGGTTAGAAAATGACATTCAATCGGACAATATTGAAGGCAGCCTGCTTCATTTGCCCAATCTTACGCATCTTCATCTCGCCGTTTCTCCATACGACTGCCCCGAAGTATTCGCCGCCCTCCGGCTATCGCGTCCGCTTCAGTACTTCGGTTTTGAGATTGAACCATCCGAGGAGCGCGGCAGTTTCCTCTTTACCGACGCTAGCATTAATTTGTCTCATTGCATTGGCATTCGCAACGTAGACCAGACCTCTGAGGGCAATCTGACTGTAGCCCTTCGCATCGGTCTCGACGGGGGCCCATGTTACGACGAATCAGAATTTATACTGGCAGCTTGGCCGAGAAACATAGCTGGCCCTTCGCATGTAATGAACTATGCCCGTCAAGGCATAATCCCCCTTCTTCCTTACGACACTGCGCAATGGTCTACAGATACTAGGCTCCAAGAAGCAGCCGAAGTACTGGAAGTCCGTTCATCTTTCACGCGCACCAATCCATGCCTGTATGTTTCCAGTTGGCTTGAAGGCTATATGGACCCCAAGTTCGAGAGCAACTGTTTACCTATGCTGGCAAAGGCATTTACGCTTTGTGACGTTGTATTTGTCAGCTTCTCCAACTGCTTTTACTTACACCCGCGCCAAGAAAACATGCGTAGCTTTTTACGGAGTATGCCTTCATTGCACATTATCGAAGGCAGATTCATTACTCCAGCACTTCTGACCATTGCTCTGGCGCCTCAGGATGGATATGTTCCCATGCCAAAACTATCCGAGGTCTGGCTCTTCAATATTTTGCGTCCTTTTCAAGCAGAGGATGACGATGATGAGCAAATGTACAGGGGGGAGATTGAAATGCAGGCATCAGCTCCCACACTTCTGGCATGTCTCACTGCACGAGTTCAAGCAGGCACTACACTGGCCAAACTCCGACTGACAAGATGCGAACCTCTGGATGTCAGAGAACGAGAATCAATAGTTGCATTAGGTACCGAAGTAGAGGAAATCCAATGCCAAGGTCCAAGTACTGCCCCGTAACTCGATGATTATTAGGTGGTGCGTAGCCCATGTTCATGTTATGGCCCACCGGTTTTGATATACGTTTTCCGGAAGATCGCTGTGACCCTACGATAGCTCTTACTACTGCACAGTTATGTAAGCAAACTTGATTCGAATCTAAGACACATATTTCGTATGGACAACAAACACAGTAGTATTTTCCGGCATAAGCTCGAACTGGGGTCAATTTGGTTGATGTGTCGTGAGCGCTTCGTGGGTGCAGCCTCTGTGAAAGGGCTCCCGGTCCTTGAGACTAACAAACTCACGGATTACTAGTGCGATGTGCATATAAGAGTGATCTTAAAGTGACGTAATAGACACTGTAGGTCCTAAAGCCTTTCCTTGACGAGGTTGAATGAGTTGTAGTCGCACCATGTACACACCGGCGCTAACCGAGGGCAAACGCGCCAAACCCTGTGAAAACAACAACAATCAGACCCAAATCAGATCAGCCCGATAGCACCTCGACCAGCCTTTACTGTGACTCGCCCCATCCCGCCACTCGCCACTCGATCCGCATGTATGTCATCGATATCACCATCCGTACAAAAAGTCATTAGCTTACTGACCTCACGATATAATAGTTTCTCATATAAACATGCAAGACGTCCCAGCTTGTCTCCTGCCGCCGGAACTCCTCCAGGACATTTTCGTCGAATGCATGAAACTCGCTCATGCGGAAAATATTTCTTGGCGCTATCACGTCTGCCATAGGAACTGTCTCTTGGATTGGGTTTATGTAACGCACGTCTGTCGCTACTGGCGTGCTGCTGCCCTTGCAAGCTCACAGCTTTGGAGCCACGTCGTCATGGTATTTCCGCAGTGGGCGGAGGCGATGGTCGAACGCTCCAAAAACCACCCCCTTACTGTCTCATGGACCGATCTCACTATGACCAGTACCAGGGCGAAAGAGTATTCCAACTTAATTGTACCAAACACCCAGCAGTTCGACGAACTACTCTTCACTGGGACCGCTGATTTCGTCTGCATACTTGCAGGGTTCATGCAATCCCGTGGAACTTCTCTGCGCTCCCTTTCTTGTATAGCCCCCATTCACCAAGTTGCTCGTCCCCTATACTTTAAATTTGCTGCTTTTCGGCAGCTGAAGAAGCTCAACCTGATGCGTGTCGATATGTCCTTTTTAGAGAACGTGTCCCAAGTATGGTCAGGGATGAGAGCATTGGAAGAATTGACACTCTTCGGAAGTTTCGCATGGTGCGACAAACTGGAAGAGCCAGTTGAACTCCCCAGCCTCAAGTACACCCACCTCCGCGGAGTGTTACGTCACATCGGACGTTTCCTCGCCTCCATCCGGACACAGTCCCCTCTACGGTATCTCGCAGCAGAGAGCGACCGCTCTGTTCGATACCTTCCATCTGGCCTTCCGATCGTATTCCGCCAGCTGTTCGTGGATAATACCCTCTGTGGCGAGATCGGCAAGGACAAGTACCCTCCCGACTTATCAGCGTACCACTGTTCCCTCCAAATCACCCTCGAGACCACCGATCGCCATCTTCCAAACCCAGGCGCTCAGGTAGCCCCTTTCCAACTCACAGGATGGCGACGTCAATGCACCAATGCATCCGAGATCATCTCGTGGGCCAAGGAAGGGAGTATTCCGTTCCTCCCTCAAGCGGACAGAAGCCATCAGCCGTCAGGCATAACAGAGTTAGATGACCTGAAACCCGCAATCCTCTTCAGCGGCGAATGCGCCGAGCGGGATCAGGACGAGATCCATATCGCCGTTCTATCCGGGCTGGCCCAGGCCTTCTCGCTCAGCAGCGTCGTCGTCCTCAGCCTCTCTGAAGGACCCTTCCTCTACTGGCCTGACGCCATCGAGGCGATGCACCAGTTTCTGCGGGGCATGACCTCCATGCAGCTGCTCGACGTAGAGGGCGTGCATCTCGGGCTCATTACCAACTCGCTGATGCCGCGTGGTAGCAATGTTCCTGCACCCCGGCTGACGCATCTCTGGTTAACGAACATCGATTTCTACGCGAGGTCCCCATTTGATCTCTACGCAGATCCCGCTGTCACCCTTTCGACGTGCCTTGCTTCTCGCGGGCGCTCTTTATCAAAGTTATGCATCAGTGGGTGTACGAACATGGATAGACAAGAGAAGGCGAAGCTTCAGCGGATGGATGTGGAGGTCTACATTTCTGAGGCTGATGAGTAGGAAGGTAAGCAGGTGAATACGAGTAAAGTATGTACAAGCCAAATGTTTGATAAAATACGATCGCTCCTACGACATATACCTAAATGCCTCCATACATGCAAGAGCCGTAAATATCCGCTGGAACTTGTTCCTCCAGCAGCTCTACGAACCGAGAAAACGGAATCCAGTCCAGGGACTGTACAGGTATTCCGTCGTGCATGACACGCACAAAGTCAAATCCACTTACATCCCGCCAAACCTTTTCACGTAGGTGAGCATGCGAAGACCAACTATGAACGATTCGTGAACAGACATACCTCAATATGGACCTCGGAGCCCATTGCGGGCCACCGCAACGGTGTATTTGCTCCAAGTCCTAAGCCCGACGCGAGGCGGATCATAGAACCGTCGTGGCCGATATACAGGCGGAGCTTGTATGTTTCCTTCCCTGCCTGAAAGCGCTTCAGGTTGTCCGCAAGCTCCTTGAACATCACGCCTATATGTTCAAATCTTTAGTCAAGAATCATCAAATTGGCGTAGTATTTCGGACGCACCGAAGGTTAGTCGCGTGTACTCGGATGCGTTTTCCGCTGCGTTCCATATGTAGCTACGAGCGCGCAAACTTGAGTTGGTGAAGTTCCGCAATGAGTCATAAACCACTAACTTATATTCCCAGTCTCCAAGTGCAAATACGCGCATAGCATCCTCCTCCAATACGCACGCGCCCGAAGCATTGCACGGAAGCGGATGTCCATGGCAAGTGCGCGAGGTGAGCGTGTCGAAGAAGTGGTCGTCTGCAGATAGCCATAACATCTAGCTAGCGACATTTTGTCCCCAGGAGGGAGGGGCTTACACCACGACATCCACGCTTGCAATCCCTTCACGCCCAGTGTCTCGCCAAGCCGCGTCTGCAGGTCCTGGTTCCGCAGGAGATGCTCAGTCCACTCAGGGGCTAATTGATACGCCGAGCGTATGGCGTTCGCGACTGGGCAGCTGTACGACGGGACAAGCGAATCTATCTGAATCGCTATAAATTCGTAGGGATAATCATGCATGCTAAAATCTTACCAGTGCAGGCTGGGTGTGCAACCTCCACCGCGCTGCCCATGTACCCGGGTCCGTGCCGTACAAGAACCCACCCGCGACATGGTGCGTCCGGGGCTCGTTGCTCGTCCGGATGTATATGTCCTCCTCCACGACTTCGTCAAGAAAGCCCAGAGTGGAGTGATACACCGACCAAAAGTCCTATTATATGCGTCCCTATCAGTCATGACATCGCACCCGAAATCAACAACACGACTGAATACCTTGCCATGTTGAACCGCATCCTCCAACCCCTCACGCGTGAGTTGACCAGCACCGCATGAGCCGTTCCATACCGCAGACGCAAAGGGATGGCCGTCGGGTACCGAAGACTGAGGAAAGACTGGGGCCGTGCCGTCGACATAGTCGAGGTATGCTTGACTACCACATTCCCAGTCCCAGCCCGAAGCAGGGTTCAGCTCGCGTTCGTTCGGGTAGAGGTTATCTGGCGTGCGCTTTCATTTGGTCATTCATCATTCATGAGGTATCAAGACGAAGACTGTGGCTAAAGGGATACCTTGTGGTGACGCATCATGCTGTTGAGGTAAACCAAGTGTGCGTCAGGGTCCGTGGGACGAGAGTAGCGCTCAGCATTGACATGAGGGGCGTTGCAGTAGTTGTAGGTGTTCCACGGAAGATGACTTGGCGTCAGAGAGCTGTTGTAAACGCCAGAAAATATGTTGCAGCCCCAAACCCAAAGGGCCAGAGCGGATTGGACTTCCATGACGGCGGCACCGTGGTCAATATCCACCAACAAAATGACGATGCGGTGACGCAACTCAAGCACCTGCCGCCGGGGCAACCCATATTCAGGTTTCTCGCGCGTTTCTTGCGGTGCATATATCCAAGTCCATTCACCAACGATAGAATTTGAAAGAGTAATCAACACACGAACATTATAAAACAAGCTATCAAATGCATGTTCCGACGATGCGTATCCTTATATCAAGAGGCCAGACGCATATAATCTCCATTCCTGACGTGCACCATGTCGCACGGCAGGCACATACATGAACTCTGTGCCTGCCTTGTTTGCGCCTGCCGTCAACCAGCGCTCTAGGGCCACGACAAGTTAGCACCCAAGAGCCGAGCCAGGGCTATCAATGCGTGCCAACGTCCAGGTCCAACCAACATGCCGAGGGGATACGTGTAAGCAAGCCAATTGAATCGCGAGACAGTCAAGTCAGGGATAGAGAGAGAAAATGATAGCTCATGAAGATTGCAGAAACAGTAGTCGTGAAGGGTATGGACTCTTGATAGAGGACAATAGGGCGCGAGGGAGAACAGGAATGGGGGTGGGGTCTGTAGCGCGTGCTCTACAAGATGACGCAGTGGTGTTTCTTGCCACCCTTGGGCCGGCTGAGGAGCGCTGCCCGGGTGGCATACTGGAACACTTCGCGGACTCCCTCGCCCGTTCTAGCCGAGCACTCAAGGTAGTGCTTGGCGCCAATCTTGTTGGCGACGGCCATACCCTGTGTCACAAACAAGCGTCGGTGAGTCACGTCACGAGCCGTGATGGCAGGGGGGTGGAGTAACGCACCTCCTCCGGCGTCACGGGACGCTGGTTGGTCTTCCTCAGCTCCTCAATCACCCGGGGGTCCCGGCGAAGATCCTTCTTGCAACCGACGAGGATGATGGGCAGGCTTGCGCAGAAGTGCATCACCTCGGAAATCCACTATATATGCCATGGCGTGTCATGGTTTCGGAAAATGCCGTTAGTCAGATACGTTGCCGTCTCGACCTTGCCTGTACAGCAAGTTTCCCAAGAAGCGGGAAAGAGGGGGTAGAGCGCACCTTCTCCTGGACGTTGTCGAGGGAGTCTGGCGAGTCGACGGCGAAGCAGATGAGGATGACGTGGGAGTCGGGGTAACTGAGAGGGCGGAGACGGTCGTAGTCCTCCTGACCTGCCGTATCCCAAAGCGCCAATTCAACGTGTTTGCCATCCACTTCCACGTCGGCAACGTAGTTCTCGAAGACAGTAGGGACATAGACCTATCCAAAGCAGTGCGCTAAGCGACCTGCTCGGGTAAAGTATGAGAGGAAATGAAACGCACCTCGGGGAAGGTTCCTTTGGAGAAGACAATCAACAAGCAAGTCTGTTGAACGATTATCGTGTAAAAAAGTGGTTAACGACGGGGCAAAAGGGGGCGTTTCCGACCTTTCCGCAGGCACCATCGCCGACAATGACCAACTTTCTCCTGATTTCAGACATTACTTGGACGTTATTCGTAGGTAGAGGATGGGAAGGAGGGCGAGCACCGCTGGAGATGGAGTTGAGCGAGCACGAAGTCGCACGATGATACAAGGCGGGCTTTTAATCGCTCTTTCAAATCCCGCCAGCAACCCCAGGCAGTGCCACAGCTGTGCCGCCTAGTTTGGCCTGTGCGTGCGAATCCCGTCTTGTCCCGGCCGGCCATTGCATTGCCCTCGTTCGCTCCTTCCATACCACCGTCCCAATGCTGTTCTCATATCGTACCACCTTTTGCATTTTCAGCCCTTCGCGGGAGCCAGAACAGTGACATCACACGTGTATATCGCACTTCCACTCGTATCAGGGCACTACTTATGTCGGTGCGAGCAAACACCCGCCGCAGCTCACATACTCTCCCTCGGACCCATAGCTGCCCATCTTGCATATTTGGATCTCCCTCACATCCCACGTCCCAAAGTTCACCCCGATGGGCTTCTTGAAGTGATCAGGTGTGGTCAAAATCGAGGGATCTGTAAAGCATGATTGGCCCGCGCTCGACGCCAAAAGCGCCTTGTACGAGAACGGCACCCGGGCACCCCTGGGGCGTGGTCTCCGATATGTCGTGTTGATCACCGTACAATGTAGCTATATATTCAGCCATGAGTGCACCCTGCTTTGTCCAACACGAGATGAAATGGCGTATATACCCACCTTCAGCGGGCGACGATCAACCATATACCCCCGATTCATGAATTCTCTATGAACCATATCTGCAGGTACGTGACGCACACCATGAGCCTCTCGGAGCCGCCACCAGCAACACAATGGTCTAGAACGACATACCGCACACGTTCTTGAGCCGCGCCGCAGCCTCAGACACTGCGTCAAGCGCTGGCCCCATCCAGAGCACGTGCGCCCGGTCGAAATCGCCCCGTTCGGGGTTCATGACGTCCATTTGCGTCAGCGGTATGGACAACTGCCGGCCATCAAGCATCTCGAGAATGCGGGGGTGGAGGCTTTGCAGCAGCGCCAGAGCACCCGACAGCGTCTTGCGCTGCCCACTGCCGTTAGAGCCCACTGCACCATCAGCCTGAGTGGACGAAGAACTCGGATTTCCAGGGGAGTCCTGATCCATGAGGCTCATCACGCCCAATGTGATGTGCAAGCGACGTGAGGCGATGGCGATGGATGGGTGCATGCCCTGGACTGGGGGCGTGGCTTGCAGTATGCCATCTGTGAACGCGGCGATGGACCGCCTGAGGGAGGCGTGATGTCCCTAAACGCAGGCAGCCTCAGTTATTGAAGTTCCGTGTAACCATGTCAAACCGAGAGAGCCTGACAATTGGGAGACAAATGACTGGGCGAAAATGCGGTCGAGTCAGACAGAACTTCAAGGTTCGTTCGCCACTTACAGTGAGTCAGCTGTTGGCCCTCTTTGTTCCGATCGACATTCCCAGCTTTGATGTTGGCGTTGGGTTTTGGACGCTGCACTGGTGGACGGGATGCGGGCAGGCGCGCGGGTGCAGAAGCAGGAGCAGATGATGACATTAGACCAAAGCCTCTAAATCTCGAGCCAGAATAGTTGCCAGGGTATAACACAGAATTCCGGAGTGCTGGTAACCCGAGCCACTTATGAGAGTCGTAAAACGCAGCATAGTACCTTCTCTCACCCAGTGTTACTTTCTCAGATAGCAAGAATAGGGTTTTGGCACAGGTGTAGAGATGATCTTCAGGGCCAGGAGTAGGGCAATACAGGGCTAGAAGCCAGAAGTCGGAAAAGGCGGTGAGGCGTGGAAGAGGAAGGTGGTCATCTTCCGGGGAGAGCGCGGAAACAACTTGCCTTTCAAGGAAATTGTGGGGAAGAAGACCGGTGAGACCCGGGAGCAATCAAGTGGGTTCCCCTGATCTGGCGGCTCTAGCCTCTCGGTGCTGCTCGGTGTGGGCACTTGAGAGCAAAAAGTCCTTGGTCTTACAGCTGAAAAACAAAGATGAAGGTGAGACTGAAGGTCATCTTGGCACCTGCGAAGGGAGTGAGCAGGTGATGAGGGAATGTATTGGATCGAGCGCTTTCAGGTGACATTTCATTCGGTGGCTTATTTGACGGGCGCTCCGCACTCTGGTGTGGTGCCTTGCGCGGACACTTTGAGCTTGTCGTCCGCTCTCTTTTCTCCTTCCTCACCGCCTCCGAGCGCGGGGCAATCCCAACTCAATCGCCTCTCCTTCTCCATCACCACCATCATCTCTTTCTTGCTCAACGCTTAACGCGACTTGTCCTCGCTACATCGGTCTCGCTCACTTCCGGTCGTAAAGCCACCGCTGATCACGAAAAGTCCATGCGCCTACTGCAAGTTCGTTCGGCCTAAACACACCGCAACTTTGTCTGTTTTTTCGCAGACACGAGTTCATTCTTGCGGCAATCTTACCTTCGGGCGCGACCGTGTTCAAGACATAAGGTTACTCTGTGCCCGACCCATCTCCAAGACCCGCGATCATGTCTCTCTCGTCTAAGTGGAAAGGAAAAGGCCGCGAAACGAATCATTTCGTCACTCGCGGGATAGTTGAGGGGGATGGAGGGTCAGATGGTATTGTTCTCAGCATGGATATGGTCCCAACGAGCTATTTTGGCGTGTACGTTCCCTCTCAGTTTCGCGTCGCTCGTTTGCACGAGACCGTATACTGAGTTGCTCACTCTCTCTGGCGTCATTTCAGCGCATATACTCTTCCAATTCAGATTGGTTCGTCACAACAATCACTGTCCCTGCAAGTTGACACCGGTTCGTCAGACATGGTGCGCATACACTCCGCTAATTCGCCGCATCTCGATGATTGACTTCGTTCCACAGTGGATCGCGTCGAGTTCCTGTTCTTCAAGTTCATGTAAGCAAACGAGCGGGAACCTATACAACCCCAGCTCCTCGACCAACACAAATAAGTCGTTCAGCATCAACTATCTCTCTGGCGAAGCGAGTGGACCCATCGTTTGGGACAAGGTTTCGCTCGGTGGCTATGAAATTCTGACTCAGGCCCTTGGTGAGCTCATTTCCGGTCCATCACCTACGTTTATGAGAAAGTCTGCTGACCTTTACCGTCCATTGAAGCCGCCGTCAACAATGTTAACAACGAACCTCTCGCCTCAAATTTCGACGGAATCCTCGGGATGGCGCTCCCCCTAAACTCGATCATCGCACAAGACCTCCCTCCGACGGAATCAAATCAGCCCGACGGCGCCTCTTTCGCCGCCAATCTGTTGTCTATGACCCCTGTCTCCTCTGCCCCCTCTCAACCGTTCTTCTCCCTCTCCCTCGCTCGTCCTGGTTCGGACAACATACAATCGCTTTTCAGCATCGGTCGACATCCTTCGTCGATTATCTCCAGCCCCTCAGAGCTCCAGTGGTCGAACCTTATCTCCGAGAATGTGGGCATTCTGCATTGGAAGACGATGGTCGCCGCCATCACGGTGTACGTCAACGGGCAGGAGATGCCAATTGCGCTTGGCACCTCGGTGACGGGAGTGGGCTATCCCACGGCGCTGTTGGACTCGGGCGTACCGCTCATAATGACGACTAGCGCGATTGCCAATGGGATTTACGGGGCTCTGGGGATCAACCCGTCGAACGACAACACATGTAAATGTTCTCCTTTATGCATCTCGGCCTTTTGTGCTCAACTACGCTTCAGATTATGTTCCTTGTGCCACTCCACTTAACATGACTATTACCCTCGATGGACAACCCGCATTTCCTCTTCACCCTCTCGACCTTACGAATGAGCCTCAGGGGCAAAGCAACGCCCAAAATTGCATTGGACTTATCCAAGCCAATGACGAGCTCCTTACTGCTTCCTCTAGTGTTGGCGACATGGTTCTCGGCGTCCCTTTTTTACGCAGCGTCTATACGGTTATGGCATACGAACACCCAAAGTCGGACGGAACTTTTAACACGTCCGTCTCGACTGGGATCAATCCTATACTGGGGATGAAGGGGTTGACCAACTCGACTCAGGCCATGCAAGAGTTCTATAACGTTCGCGTACTCAACCAGCCTTTGAGCGGTGGTGGTGGCTCACCGCAGTCGAGCTCGGGAGGAGGCAAGAAGTTCTCGACGGGCCTCGCCGTCCTTGTCGGCCTCTTGTCGTTCTTCGGTCTCTGCCTGGCTCTCTTTGGCGCCCGTTTCCTCATGATGCGTCGCAAGATGCGCCAGCAGGCTGCCCTCGCTGCCTTGGGTACGAAGGGCGACCCAGACGGCGACGCCAACGGGGGTTTCACCGGCTACCAGCTCGCGCGCCGCCATTCGCATTCACCGTCGCGCTCCAGCTACGACGCCAACGACTCCACGCTCCGCCCATCCACGTACAATTCCGACAAGGGCAGCAAGTTCGCGGCCGGCGAGTTCGGCTTCCGCAACAGCAAGCACAGCGGCGGCGACGGGAGCAACACCTCTCTGCCCACACTCAGCCCCAATGACCCGTGGCGCGGGAGCGTGCACGTGCGCGACTCCATCTTCGGGTGGCAGGAAGCCGATGACGATGATCGGGACGCGACGCTTGTGCAACATAGTAGCGCCTCCAGGAACTACCATCAGCACCAGCGGACGCTGAGCCCGCTCGGCTCTGCGCCCCTTTCGCCCCCGCTCAACTTTGGGAGGCACTCGTCGACGCTACCGCCGATGCCGATGCCGCTTTCGCCGACAACACCACGGCGTCCGTCCCATGCGCGTACGGTGAGCGAGCTTAGTAGCGGCACGCCTCCTGGTACGGCTGCGCCCCTCCTTGGGCGCGGACATTCTCGGGGCATATCGGCAGCGCCGGCGGGCGAACATGGGGAACGGGAGCGGTCAAGCATGGCCGGCGTTGGAACCGCATCGCGAAGCAGCCGGATTGACCCCGACCTGGACCGACATCGACGGAATAACAGCTCGTTATCAGGAGTTGACGAAAGCTAGGCAAATTTACAGCCCATCTCGCTCTCTAGTCTCGATCTGGGTCACCCCTAGCGCACATCAGCATCGCACAGTACCTGGTCTCCTGCGCTAACTCGACCTTGGGTCATTATTATCTCTACTTTATCTACTCTCTGTTCTTTACGACGGTCCTTTATCCTCGGTTGATTATACCTCGGACACGACACATACCAACCAGCTTTTGGTTACATTATTCACGCTCATTCTAACCATTTCTGTCATCCTCACTTTTGGCATCTATGCACTCTAAAGGTGGCCTCTGTAATTTATGTACCTGCTTCCTTATACCGCGTTATGGCAGTCAAGTGAATGAGTAAACATGAGGCATTCTGCTTTGCGGGTTAGCCGTACGATGTCATGATCGGGCCTGCGCCCTGCAGAGGTTGGTACTCGGTGATACCTGCACACATCTTGCGTTCCATCGTCTGCCTCGCATCAGGACTTGGGACTCCGAGCAAGCGTGCCTTCGCATTGGTGGGCAATGGACTCGGAGACCGTCTGCTCAATGACTGTTCACAGTTGGTCTATCTCATATTCATGGGCCGCAGCGTTAGCGGAGGTTTTCTCTTGCATATCATCAAATTCGTGTATTAACGTTGCATACGTCGATTCGGAGTCGGTCTGATAACCCCTGAATAAAAAGCAAGCACGCTCGGTCTAGCATATGGTGTTATTTGGCTGTGAACTGATGTGGTGGGCGCTAACTCGAGTCATAACTCTGCAGCTACAGGAGTGACTCGTTCCTGCGGACGAGGAAACACTGCTCTTTATACGAGGTTCATACAAAGTATTGTACACCCAGCTGTCATGGTATGCATCTACTTACGCCATTGAGACGGACTGAAGAGCCTTACCCTGGGTCCGGGCATCGTAGAACCATCGCGAACGGCAGCCACTCTCTCCTCGGAATGGCAGAACTCGAGCATCCATCTTCTTGATGCTGATTATAATCATCCGCAATGAGCCAAACCTTGCGCAAGAATAGATAAGGGCCACGTACGTTTCTTAGATGCTGCATTGAGTGCTCGCGTTGCTGCTTCGGCGTTAATTTGCTGTCCCGAACGAGGTACAGCGGGCTGTCTGGAGTGACGACCTCTCCTTCTCTTATTAGCACGGGTGGTGCAATACAATGCCCTGCTAATCAGCACTCTGTATTGCACCACCACGACACGAATACCTGCCACGCGGAGAAGAAACTCATCAAGGCGACAATTCAACGACCAAAGCATTCGTCGTTACTGACAACCGACCGATAAATAACGAGCAGGGAATCGAGACGAAGTCGAGGGCGTGGACAAAGCGTGAAAGGTTCGCCAAGGCTTGGAGATGAAGGTCGTCAGTGGTCGTTGCGGGGATGAGATGGAAGAAGAAACTTACACGGCGATCCAACGAGCAAGAAACGAGAGTAAAGACGGTGGAGGAGAGGAGGCATGATTCGCATTCGACCACGAGAAGTGGAGAATGGGGGCATGGTGGAAGCGAAGAGGCCAAAGAAGATGACGATGACGACGACGACGATGTGGAACTGCTCGTCGACGTGCAGGCTTTGCTGTTCGTCAGCTATCTTGGAAAGCATGAGGCAGAAGAAAGAGACGAACCTGTCCAGGTTGCTAAAGCTGAGGCCAAGATTCGGGGTAGAAGACAGCGTGCGGGTACTTCTTCTTGATCTGCGAGAGGAGCCACCAGCCCGGAGTGCAGTAGGTGACGTGGTTGTTGGTGGACCCGCCCTTGTTGTGGCCCGAGTGGAGCTGGCCGACGATGTAAGCCTTGCCGTCCCTCATGTGCCAAACGAGCGACCCCGAGTCGCCCTTGGCAGAGAAGGTCTCGTTCGCCTCGTTGTGGCCGGCGTTGTAGATGGCGAGTTCAATCGACTCGACGCCAACCGCGTTCCGAACGAAGGACTCGAGGCCGGCGTAACGACCGACAGTGAGATCGGTCGTGTTCCCGTCCTTGCCAACCATCAAGCAGCGCTGGCCTTCGCTATCGAACTCGGCAGGGACGGCGAGGTCATCTTTCGAAGCGCAGCCGTAGATGCGAAGCTTCCCATCGTCGGGATACTTAAATGTCATCGCACCACCCTTAATCGGATAGAGCATTTCCATAAGCTGCAGAGAAGAGTACTTGGCACCTGAAAAGCAGTGATATCGATACCTTCAGACGAGGTAAAAGCGGCAAAGACAAATCAAAACGCACCAAGGTCCACCACGTTTCCAATGAACCCGTCCTTCACCTTCGCCTCGGCAGCCTCGAACACACCCCAGTCCTCGGTGTAGCCAGTGCGGCCAACGTCAACGCTGATCTTGCGAGCATACACGACGTGGCCGATGTCGCGCTGCAACATAATGTTCGACCAATGCTTGGTCACTTCGTCGTTGAGGCCCTCGAGACGGGTGATGGCTTCGTTCGCTTCGTCGAGCTGGTCCTGCAGCCGTTGCAGCTTCTTCACGCTCGCCGGGTCCTGGGCCCCCCTCTCCTGCAGCCTGGCGATGTCTCGGGCATGGAGATTAGCGAAAAAGGCGTGGTCAGCAACGGCCTTCACGATGTCGCCGAGGCCGCGCTGGTAGCGGCGCATGCTGCAGACGCGCACATGGTCCTTGCGTGCGCCGCCCTTGTGCGTGAAATCGGAGGTGGTGGTCTTGCGAAGAACGTGGCAATTACTAAGCCCGAAGACCTTGTCGCTCGCGTTGCCGGTCTCGTCTTTGTTCTCCGCAAACCACAGGGTCAGTGTGCCCTGCGCATCGTCCTCCTCTAAGCCTTCTGTGGTAAGGGGAACGGCGAGGAGAGCAGTGAGGAAGCGGCGCGTGTGGTGGGTGGGATCGGAGCTGTCGGTGGGGAGAAGGAGTGGGGGACCTCCCAGCGTCTGTGGTTCCGCCTCTCGCCATTCGACTACAACATCCTCAACGTCGTTCTTCTTCAGGAGAGCAAGGATTTCCTGAGTGACCTCGTGGGCGGTGTCAGCAGAGGTGGAACGAGGCCGGACGCCGATCCAGATCACCACTGGGCCGAGACTCCCCGTACCCGTCTCTCCCGGCGTAGCGTGAGTGAAGAATCGCGCCGGATCAATCGAAGACCACTGTATACCGCGCACCTTGATGAGGTCAAGGATCTCGGGACCGACAGCACCCCAGACTTTATTCAGCGGAGTTTCGAAGACTCCGCGAACAGACTTGACTGGGAGAGTGAAGAACCTGTCGCCGGACTTGGGCTCGGGGAATGGCGTGGAGCCGTAGTCGGAGCGGTAGACAAGCACGGGGTGGTCGCCACCGGGAGCAGTGCCGTTGTAGAACGAGGTCGCCACGTAAGGGGTGGGAGCATGCTCAGACGTGACGGTCGTGTCGCCGGCGAACGTGAGAGCCGAGAAGTTGGAGGTCAAGGACGAGCCGGGCGAAATCGGGCCATTGTACTGGGAGCCCTGAGCATTGATACAAGAAAGGGCGAACAGAGAGAGGTCTGGACGGAAGGCGGTAAGTGCGGTATAGACGCGGAAAGATTAAAAATACTCGCTCAAAAGTTCTGGATGGGCCTTCATCGTCTGAACCGTCTGCTCGACGGACCTGGAGACTTCTATAGGGGAAACTGTAAGTACGACATGGACTTGGCAGTGAATTGATAGCGGAAAGGACGAGCGAGATGGAAAAGCGAGAAGGACGGACGGACGAGTCCCCCTCTCGGGATAACTGGCCAGCACCAACGACGCCAAAAGACATGACATTGTAAAAATAGACAAAGAGACTCGCCTTCGCCGATCAGGCCTGCTTTTTTCAGCTCATCGTCGGTGTACGGAAAAGCTGCGAATGGTCAGTTGGAATTGACAAAGGAAAAAACGATAGGACGGACTAGACGGGTCCATAGTAATGTGGTAGTCACGTATGATTCGCAAATGTGGGTGGAGATTGGTTTGGGGACGAGGTGAAGTGAAGCCCCTAGTAAGAAGTGGTCTTGCTCAAAACGAGCGAGATCTGGACGCGTCTCGCACGCGCGTCTAGTTTCGTCTAGCGGCAGCTCACACGAGTAGATCACGCTATATTCTTGAATCAACTTGAATAGTGATAAAGCGCATTTAGAGCATTTACCTCTTTATTCCGAAGTTCAACGACTAGGTGGTAAATGTTATATTGGAAGTGGTGTTATTTTAAATACTAGATTAATTGACTATTTTCAAGATTGGTATTAATATAATTAAATTTTGAGGGGGCTGTATATTATATAATTTAAATTAGTTTTTAAGAAAAGATTGAATTATTCAAATTATGATCCTTTACTATATTTCTTAATAAAGGCATAGATCTATTTTATATAAAATAAAAGTAACGATGTCTGAAACAATATCGTTATATCCCTAGTTGCCAATATAGAATGATTTTGGACGCTTATTCGAAAGCCTATGAACCCCCACACAAAGAAGACGGTAAGAAATAGCCCCTATCCATATGTGCACCGTATGAGGCTCACAACATACCAAGAGTATTAGACAGTATTGTGTGCATGTCATGGTCATGTCATCGACGTGCCATGCGAAATATCCGCCAGAGCAGCCGGTCGACAACGACTTTCTCCCTGATGGAAGCATTGAATTGCAACGGCAGACTCCATGAATCACGAGTATTAATTGATATTTAGCAGAGAGTATCACGTCCTCGCTGCACCGGGGACGGCTGATGGCTCTCAATCAACACTGGATGATAAGATTACTAGCTTGTTGAGAATTAACGAGGTAAAGAGCATACTAGTCAAACGTCGACAGCTTGATCGTAACCCTCTATGATGGCTTAAGCAACATCAAGACAACTCGTACGGCGACGCGATGCGTGAGGTACTCAACGATGGCTTGGCGGATACTGGAAGCGAAGCGTGCGCACTCGACGTCGTCCACTCTTTTGGTCTAGGCAGCCCTGTCAATAATAAACAATCTCGTCTGTATGCCACTACCTGGCATTACGAAGCTGAAAAGTAGAGGAAGGGGGCAAGTGACATGCTCAATATTGTGTACCGAACATGTAAACATATTTCACTGGATTATCCAAGCCCACAGAGAAAACCTTCAAACGATCGTTAACGGAGTGCATCAGTGCTAACGCGGAAGCATACGCTAGGATTTCGGGTCGTGTTCATGACAACCAGCGACCGTAGCCCGACGATGTCTTCGCCTTGGGACCGTTCTTCCGGTGCCAAAATCTACCCTATTTGACTTAAAGTATCTATGCTGCCCTCAAGTTGCAACTCTTGAACTCTCACGTGCTTGGATAGAATAGCCATCAGTACCTCTGCGAATGGCGGCCTGTCAAAATATGCTGAGACAGAGAAGGTCAGAGAGTGGAAATGGGCCGACGTGATCTATCATCGCCTGCGCCCAGACCAGGCAGACGAAGACGACGCGATTCTGGAGTCTCACGCGCGCGAGAGGCGCGGAGCGCTATTACTGCGAGCTTATCTACGTGACATGCATCCAGCCCATGAGGCACGGGCGAGCGCAGGTGTGGAATGGCCAGACGCGTCCATGGTGGGCGTGAGCCTGGGTGACGCACCCCATGAAGATGGTCTCTAGCATTCCAGGAGTGATGGTGGAGGGCGAGACCCGCGATACTGACGGAGAAGATCTACACGTTAGCTGCATCGGTGGTCTTTCAGACGTCATCATCCAAATAGGACTTACAGTATGACGTGTATGCTGATAGCGAACGGCATTCCTAAGGCCTCAAAGTGCTGATTGGTCAAGTAGTGTACTACTGCATGCAAGGCGAATAAAGGCCAGAAAATGCGTGTCTTCGCGATAAACAACTTGACTGATATCAACACGCTCAAATCGCGTGTTTCGTGAGATTAGAAAAGCCACCGAGAAGGGTCTCGCCTGCCACCGTTGCGCCACCGAACGGCATAATCGACTGAGACGCATCAGCTGAGTCTTATCGGGTGTACGCACCAGTGGGCATGATCATTGTTGAATGCCATGAAAAGTTGACCCGACGGTCTGGAGCACAACCTTGTTATTGTAGTTTCTGGGGAGGACCGGGAAGATACATCTGCTGTACACAGGCACGCGAACCTTGAGGTTAATTTGGGAACGTGAAAGTTGATATAAGCTTTGAACAATGATATAAATATGTGGGCACGCAACGTGCACACTTGTAGGTCTATGTGTACCCGTTAGCTTTAGTCTCGCCGGAGTGCCCGAGCATCGAGCACCGAAGTACATGGGAGGCGTCGGCGCCTCGGGGTGTTTCGATCATGTCATCGCGGGCGAAGTGCAGATCTCCGCGATATGGGGTAGACAGTCGCTAAACGCGTTATCTGTTATGTGGGTTGGTAATCGTTTCGCACTCGCGATATACGAGATAGCAAAAGTAGAGCAGGGGTGGAGCTAGGAAGAAAAATTGAGGCGAAGAAGAGGTAGCACAACTGCCGGCGAATGAGCGGGCATGAGCACCATCCGCACCGGCGGCGGGCCAGAAACCCAAACCGCAAGATAGCGGCGTTATCGTTGGAACGTTCTGCACAAGAAGAAGTCTAGAGGACGCTCTGGTTGTAAGAGGGCGGAGGCAGTAATGATCCGAGGAGAGAGCAAAAGTGTGTGATTAGCTCCATCGATCATCGGAAGGTGCTTGATCGGTGCCTTCCTTTCAAGGTTTACAACCAGTCAAGGAGGAATGGTGTCGCTGAAAGGCATCATGGGAGCATATGGATCACTTCCATTGCCCATGTTTGTGTGTGGGAGTGCTCGAGTGAGGCCACAAGGACGCGTTACATTTTCACAGTAGGAAACGATGAGAATGCAAGGAGCTCAGCTTCCCAAGCGTACAGCTAAGCAGCTTGCAAGGTGCAACTCTTCATAGTTTCATGTCCGGGCGGTTGTGCCGTGCCCCAGCTTCTAGACGTCGTCCCCGAGGCACGCGATTGGACGCCCCCGGTGGGCGAGACTGCAGTTGCGTCAAGGGTGCAAGCGCGGTCTCCTAGATAGGCGCCTATGTGCCCCAAAGGGGCATGTCGTGGGCCGTGCTTGTCGAGAATTATGTTGTTCGAAGCTTGTCGCCTGTCGTACTGTGACAGGAGAGCTGCCTATTTAGGCGGTGACGCGCCCGAGTCCCGATAGCTAAATTGGGCGCGGAGGATCTGGGCCTGTGACGTAGGCGGATTTGGTGGGGCACGGAACAACAAATTTAATGGTGAGATGGCGTGCCTGCATGCTGCCAAGCCATCAAAAACCAGCAAGGTCGGTGCTGTAAAAGCCCATGTACAATGACCACATAGCGCCTATAAGCAGCAGCGAGGCGAGAGAAGACAGAAGACACACGAAGAAATAAACAGGCCAGTTTTGGGACAAACTTAAGTTGGGTTTGAAGCAGTTTCATCTTCTCCGGATTCCGAAACCGGGAGTCGCGCTGGAAGGACGAAACGGTGTCAAAGGAGTCAAAAGGGTTAAAACGTGTACGCACACGAAAAGGAGTTTACGAAATGTAGATGGCTGGTCACCAGGTGGGCATGGGTATCAGAAGCAGTCGTAGACATACAAGATAGACGGCATAGACGGCAAGGCAGGATGGATGAGCTCTTTGACGGTGGCGGCCTGGGAAAATCATCGGAAGGGGGGATATAATAGCGTTGCCGAGGGCCTAGACCGTCGAGCTCCTATTAACTGCTCAATTCGCCATGTCCTCTTGAGCGAAACTCCTCAAATCGCCCCCATATCATATATCAGCTTCGGTAGCTTCTCTCCAGAGGACCAAAAGCCTGAACCTGTAAATCCTCTTCTCTTTTCACCCACCACCAACACCTTTTCGTCCTCCCCACCCCCACCCAATATCTACCACTCCGTACCTGGTTCCTCTTCTCCCGGCCTCCCTTCCTCCTCTTCCCTCTAACATGATGATCTGCTTCGACGACATGTCTCCAGAAATCATGGAGTCCATGTGCACACCCATGCATCGTATCCTCCCCACCAGCTCCCCCGCCTCCGTCGCCGTCCCGTCAAAGCAGAATTCCCATCCGCTCGGGAGTCTCTACTTAGGCAGCATCTCTGCGACGATGGACAGGGAGCTGCTCTCGTCCCACAAGATTACCCACCTCGTCCAGGTGCTCGATGCCCCATGGGTCCCCATCACGGAGAAGGACGGCTTCCGCTGTCTCCGTATCAGCATCCTCGACGCCCCGACCGCTGACCTCCGCCCGCATCTCGAGGGTGCATGCAATTTCATCAGCAACGCTCTCCAGGCTGGCTCGAACGTGCTCGTGCATTGCCAGCAGGTACGTCCCCTCCGATAGCCTTTGCTCACGACATCCCTCTGATGCACACAACCCCCTTTCTCCCACTCAACGCCATCCCTCTCACGCGACTCATCAATGTCAACACATCACGCATGCAGGGCGTATCCCGCTCCTCCTCCGTCGTGATCGCCTACCTGATCCACAATCTTGGCATGTCGTACGATCAGGCGTTCGCGCTCGTCAAGAAACGCCGCCCGTGCATCCGCCCCAACACAGGCTTCGTCTCAGTCCTGCGCGCATGGGAGGGCAAGTGGAGAGCCCAAGTTGCAGCCTCCACCCCGGCATCGCCTGCGACAGCTGCGCCGCAGATCAGGCGTTTTAATACGTCATACATGGGCCTGCATCACCATTCAAATTCTCCGCATTCCATGGCTTCGCCGTCGGGTAGCAGCTCGCCGGCGGCGCCGTCCTCGACTTCCGGCGCGGGCAAGCATGTCGGCGGTGCTGGATCGGCTTCGGCTTCGGCCTCGGCAGCGTCATCAACATCATCGCCTTCTTCGGGCGCGGGTGGGGCTGGTCATGCTGGCGGGATTGCTGCACCGTCGATGGCGCGGGGAGTCAGCTACGCCGGCCATGGGAATGCTCCAACGTTCACGCTCAAGGCGCCGCCTGCGTTCCACATGAAGCACAGGGCTAGTGCGGCGGCTCCCCATGCTGTGACGCCTGTGCATGCCTCCTGATGTGGACAGTTGTGCGACTATGGACATATCGTTTCCTCGTATATATTTAATTGCTGCTGTGATATTTGGTGAGTTTGGCTGTCGTGCTCTTTTTGTTGGCTGATCGTGGGCTGACGCGCTGCTACATCAATAGCTGTTTTCTCCTGCATTGTCTTGGACACTATCACCATAATCATCTCACGCATATCCCTTCCGCAAGCATGCATCGCGCTCCGGACTGTGGAGACATTCTGAACAGTGAACAGTGAAAATTCTGAAACCAAAAACATTTCGTCTCGGTGTCTCAGTACTCAGTGTCCATTTAGTCATCTTCCGTTTGCATCACCTATCACCTATCCATGGGCTACTCTGTACATAATACCACCCCGATCGTCTCATCTCCTACCTTGCATCCCCTCCCCTTCTCGGCGCATTCCCTGCTCGCGCGTTCGCACATTGTAGACGCGGACACTCATATTTGCTTAGGCTGTCGCTGCTGCTGGCATCGCACCGCACCATCTGTACTTCGGCTCATCGCATTCTGGCATGTTACATATAGTATTGTACGACTTGTACAATCACCACCCTAATGCTTGCTTCTCTCCGTCATGATCAAGACTCAAGTACATACTCAAGCTCAAGAATCGAGCAGTCGGTGCATGCAGCATGCAGTGCGTGACGTGTTCGCGGCCCCGAGAGCACGCTGCCGATCCCGACCCTGTTGTGCTCCACGGTTTCAAGTTGCCGTCTTCCATCCTCCATCCGCGTCATCTAGCCCCTGACGGTTCTCGTCGGTCGCCCTGCACCTCGCTTCCATTCAGACTCCACGCATCTGCGCTCCGTGCGCCGTGCGCCCCTTGTTCTGTGCCCCTGGGTTACCTCTCTGTTGCTCCATCGGTTCTGCATCGTAGCCCCACACTAGTTCTCGAACACGTCCGAGGAAGGATTTCAAGGATTTCCTGTCGGCAACACGGTGCTGCAGCTGTGGAGTCCATACAGTTTTTATATGCGTGTCTCTTGGATACAGCTCTACTAGATGCTATTCAGGCGATTGTTTACTATACGTATTTATGGAGTAGACATGGGGTTATCTACATCGTGCTGCGTTATCGATCTTGGTTCGTCGTCGTCCTTCTTGTGCAGTATTGAGTCGGGGATGGACAAGGGGTTTGGGATGAACGTTTTACCAGGGACGCTGGACGGATATTCTCGAGAAGCTTCGCGGTAAGGGCTTGGTGTGACGTCGATGCTTAGCATAAGTACTTACTGCCCTAAGACCCGAACAAGCGGAAGAGACGGAGGCGTTTCCCCGTTATCGCATCGGCGGTGGAATGATCCGCGTTCGGCGTCTTGGACGGAAGCATGTGTTGAGTCGCCGGTCCGGCGGCCGGCGGGAGGGCTTTCAAGTTATCTTGAGCGGGATGCAAGTACTTGTTCGTGTGAAGTTCAGCAAAACAAACGCTAGCTGTTGACTTTGCTGTGTCTACATGCAACCAACTAAAATACAAATCAGTGCTCAGTTTCGTCTTTACCGTAGCTTCCGATATAAATAGCTTCCCACCTCTTCCACGAACTATGATTTAGAGATCCGAGTCAGTGTAGAATATCATGACCGTCCCTTACGTTGAGGCCGTCGGCTCCCGAAGGAAATATCATTGAGCGTGACGTACCGCTGAGCAAAAGGTGGGCCATACAGACATATTCATTCGTAGAGGTGGATATCATAAACTACTGGCGTTGTCTTACGCCTAAGATGTCTCGAATATATACTAAAAGAATAGAAAGTCAAAGCGCAAACTGGGAACGAGAGACGTGATGAATCATGGTTTACCGCGAGCAGTATTACATTCATATCAAACCAAGAGTCGCCCGTTAGACATGCGTGTATATCTAGAGGACCGGAGCATTAACAATCACCGCGAATTATATGGCATCCGTGAAATCAAAAGCAAACGCTGCAAAGCAACGATACATGCCACTACGACACAATCGCGAATCTGATCTGCTTCAGGGGTAAGGAAGAGACGACCGCCTGTGCCGGCGACGGGTTCATGCCACGCGAGTACCGTATCTGATTCAGCGCTATCATCGGTAGCAGAGGCAGCCTTCAATACGAGCCTTCTCCCGGCGCCTAGGGTCCACACGTAGCCAATACCATTGAGCTCGAGCTGCAGCGGGCTGGGTACAATCCAAAATGGCGGCTTATTAGTTTTTTGTGGAAGAAGAGCTGCATGAAGGCACTCACAAGGGGCGGGATTTGGGCGTGTTAAGCCATTTTCCCATCTTAAACCTCTCCTCCTCGACGCCGTCCGCTGAACAACCGAACGTCGTCGTGTCCGGAAGGAGGTTGTTGCGTGCGACCGTCGCAACAACCTTGCCTGTCTGAGGGCTTCTGACTATCGTCTTCGTCGAGGCGAAGGATTTGGTGGTCTCGATGGCGTACACCGCCGTCGATGTAGGGAAAATGCGCGCAGAGCAAGAGGAGAGCAGTGTGATGGGACGGTCGAACTCGAGAACGGTGCGTATACCTGCGGGTACGCCATCGACGGGATTCACGAAGGTAAGTTCTGAGTCCATGGGAAGATGAGGCTATGGGGTCAAGAGGGTTTGATGAAGCCTCGGGTAGATGTATTGCTTAAGTGATACTCGTTTGAGGCTGCGATAAAATTTGAAGCTGCGACGAACTTGAAGATCGTATTGGGGTCGCGGTTATAAAGCGAAACGCCCTCTGCAAGACCTAAAACCACAGTCAGCTGTGTAAGTGACAATGTTACCAAGGTTGATACCAGAGAATTCTTAGATCCGAATGACTGCATGGCGTAGAAGAACCAGTGTCAGCAGACCAGCTACCCATCAACGTCGGATCTGGTGAATTTACGTACTCGTCGTCAAAGAACTCCTCAACCAGCGGAGACCAAGTCTTGCTACTCACCGAGACTATAGTACACGAACCTTCCCCGTCAAGCGCACCTCCAGTGCTGCCATGCTTGATGTTTGTGTGGCGAACCGGACGAGTCACCGAGTGCGTCGAAGCAACTGTCGAAGTTCAAAGGGGGCTCTATCAGGATAGAGTCCGAGCCCAAGGTTTTCAGTTAGTTCATCCGATATTATTCCGACGTTTATCCAAGGTGGCAGTCTTAGGCAGTCTTTGGGTGTATGTCTACTCCTTGCAACCTCAACGATGCACATGAACGGCAGTCTCCAGTAGGTACCGCAAAGTTTATAGTTTTCAGTCGTCACATAAGTGACATCGTGGAGAAGCAATGCAATGTTACATTATGGTATTGGTACATTCACGTTTGTTATCTCTATTCTCGTTTAGTGACTGGTTTCCTAATCGCCCTGACGAGCTCATCTCGCCACCAACGAAAGCCAGACTCTACTGTTGCTCTACTGACGACTCTTCAGCAGCTTATCAAACCTTTTCTCGAAGTATGGTGCGACTAGATCCTATGAATGTGTTAGAAAATCGTGGTTCAACCTATAGAACTCATCATACCTCATGCCAGGATGCCTTCACACTCGGCCGCTCAAGGACGCGATTTCCGTAGGCCACAAATTTGGCCAGCTCTGGAGACTCCAGAGCCTCCCTGGCTGCGATTATATTTTGCGCGAAAAACTCCTCTCCAATGCCTTTGTCCACGATGAGTCGCAGCCGCGCCCAAGCCGGAGCAATAACGGCATCCGCGATGGTGAACTCATCTCCGATCGCAAACAGTCCATCCTCAGGAAGCAGCGCCTGCAGTGTCTTGATCGCTTCAACGAGTCCGTTCACGGGCCCGCCTCGCATCCAACCAGCAGCCAGGGGATTGAACTTGTTGTTGACTGCGTCAATGAAGAAGCGTGCCTGCGCACGTTTGACAGGGTCAGAGGGTAAGAGACCGGAGGATGGGTAGAGGTCTGCGATGAACTCGAGGATGATCACTGATTCCGCGATCTTGGCTGACTCGGGCGAAGGCTGGTCAGGCGGGACAGATGGACCGCCATACGTGATCGCTGGGACCTGTGATTTTCCAATTTGTGAGCATGGTACAATGGAGATTGTGTGTTACGGTGAATCTCGACGACAAGATTCTTACCTTTCCGGCAGGATTCACTTTCACAAACCAGTCTGGCTTGTTCTCAAAGTCGACATCGCAATTCGTGTACTGAGCCTGCGCCTCATGAAGGGCTATCTCTGTCTGTAAACCAGTGATGAAGACCCGTTAAGATTACCAAGGGACGGATCTAAGTAGCACTGGAGTCTCACTCTCTGTGCGAATATGCTCCACTGTTGTCAAGAGAGCGATCGTAAGGTACGGAGCCGTCAAAGATACTGCAAGACTTACCTTGTTTCCGTAATACGTGAGCTGCTCTGGCATGGTGTCACAAAAACGGAAAGTCAATGTATGTTGTCAAGGTGTGAGCTCAAAGCGCACGGGATATATAGAAGCGTTTCCTCGTCCGCAGTAACGAAATGACTCATTCCAGTAGCTGCGGAGCTACTATGACTCGAATTAGCGCTCGCACAACCAAACAACACCACATGGACTGGGCGCCACAAGGCGCCTTGTGTCACGCCTTACTATTCACTCAAGCATTACCAGACAGACTCTTCACTAATGTGCATCCTACAGCTTTGAGGCGATATTCTTCGACACTTGCCTTGGCAACAAGACTAGATAGTTAGTTAACCACTTCGACGGGCCTCATCAAGAGGGTTTCTGAGTCACTTCTCCTGTCGGTCCTGCAAAGCGAATCAATACATTGTCGAATAAACTGTGCCAATTCTGGAGCGTTGATGACCTCATCCCCTGCTCTCGCATTCGCACTATTGGCGAAACAAAGTTGTTTCTAGAACATGACCTGACAGGCGGAAAATCCAAGTGCAAACGCGATGTGTGCCAACGTGATATGGTCTCCCACCGCAAACGCAACATCATTTGGGAGGAGTTCCTGCAGCGCCTTGGCGCCCTCGATAATCCCTTCATACGATGCGCCTCTGTAGAACCAAGTTGTGATCCCTGAAGCACAATCTTGAACTAAATGCAGGTTAGTTTCCTTTGGAGGACAAATGTACGAAAGGCTTAGCTATATACTCTTTGGGCGGAGGGACTGTGCTATGAGTATGTGGTAAGCCCCTCTAGTACACACGTTGAGCGCGAGGTGATCTTAGTGGAGCGTCGCAGAGTACGATTCTCTGAGTCACTTCGTAGACTGATCTGAGCTGGACGTAATAGTGAATACTTATTACATAGAAACACTGTGATGGAACAAACAGAGGAGACAGGGAAAAGCGCATGTCCTTTTCTGTAAGGAGCAAGGAAAAGCGAGCCCACTGGCTATGCTGACTATGTAGATTCAGCAACCATTGATCTATCGTAATTACGCATTCGAAGAAAGCCTTTGGCAAATCCCTAGTAGCCAGCTGCAGCGATGCTTTCACTTGGTCTTCACGATTTATTACCAGTACGGCATCCTCGCATCTTTCTCTTCAAACCTTTGCATACATAATTAGGCATCCACCTAGTAAAATACTATACTGGATGACAAGTAATGACTAAGAGCATGCCTCTCTTCAACCCGCATACTGCCAGCTCCAGACACTCATCGTCTCACCCCGATATACCGCTTTCTCCCTCTTCTCATCCCTGCAGCACGCCTACTCAGGGCCTTAGCTCCTTGAGTGCTTCCGCGGCCGCGAGGTCCTCAGCGTCGCGTTTGTTACTGTGCTCTCCACGCCAGCTCTTGCCCGCGACTTCAGCAGAACGAAATAGCGATTAGCGGAATTCCTGTTTGTAGATGATGAAATGACCAGGACTCACTGGTGACAGTTGCGTGCCAAACACACTTGTGCTCGGGGCCTATTCCGTTCGTGGCCCAAGTAGCCTTGAGGGATGACCCGTTGGGCAGGCCCTGGAGGAAGTTGTTGAGTTCCATCTTGTCTGCAGTTGCGCGAGCATGAGTCAGTGGAGGCTAAGTCTCTGGAGTTGGAGGAAAGGGGGAGATGGTTGCGTACTGTGGTGTCCGTTAGGCATGTCTGTACTGTGTATTCGATGTAGAGGTAGCTTGTTCTCTGCCATGGTTCCCTCGCCTCGACTGCGTTTTATGCCTTTGAGTGGTCCAAATAACGGACTGGTGAGTAGCCAACATAAAAAGGAAAATGTAGCCCGTAAACGACGTCCGGCTGCAGCGCGCACGAGCGTACGTGCTGAATCCTGGCCGACAGGCACGACATCCAAAGAACAGCAAGGACTCCGAGCTCCCGGATGCACGAACGATGGCTTTGGTACACACGAGCTGGTGTAGCTCGCGGGTCGTCTGAGAAGGCGGGCGTCAAGATGCAGCGGAGAAACGCGACGATGTCAAAATTAATACTTCCGGCACTGTCAAAGGCCAAGCCAAAGGAGGGAACAGGGAGGAAGACGACGATCGCCACGAGCGCCACGAGCCTACAACGTGAATCAGTGCTAGATCAATGTGATAGCGCAGTGGGAGAGGTCTAAGCGCCCGCGGAGAGTTGCGCTCGGTGTTACGCTAGGGTGCGCATCGAGCGCTATGCGCAATTGCGGCAGGTCAACCGCGATGAGCACGGCCGCCAGGACAGGAGCACTAGTGCTCGACGGTTCCTCGGAACGAGACAGGGACGTCCAATATACGGCACAATGCGAGAGCAAGAACGTGACGTCGCCATCGCAGGCGAGTCTTGAGAGCAGTAGAATGCCTAAATATACCGATGAGTCCTGTGATTTGGCGTTTGGATTGAAATCTTAGTAAAATCACAGCGGAGAGGACGGATGGTTGACTGTACATACACCTCATGGTTCCGTGCACGACTCGATCCTTTCCCTTCGAGCCGTTCTTTTGTTACGGTGAGGTCGCGACAGGGGTGCAAGGTAAGATACCGGGCACGTTCGAATTACTACGCCGGCGGTCGATAGTCTCAGACCGTGGTCGGAGGCAGATAGCCACGGCCGCGACGATTCCACATGGAACAAAGAGGTAAAGCACCACAAGGTCGCCTGTTGGCTTTTGGAGAGTTGTGCTGGCGTAGGCGAACGTGCCGGTGGATATCGTATAGACCACACGTCTAAGCCTGATCTTACCAAGACGCCGTTCCGTTGAACGGCAGTTCCGCTGCTGGATCAAAGGGGGAGAGCGCCAGAGAAGACCGGCATTGGAAGGCCTCAAGCTGGCCCATAGAGGTCCAGGTGCGCAAAGCCCGGAAGGTTATTGCATATCCATGAGCATGGTTGTCCGATGTTCATCGAGTCGACCCAGGAAAGTAATCCAAGCCATCTGTGTTCCGGCATTATCGACTGGTTCTATCCTCAGAGCAGTGATCGGCCCGTGTCTCTCGCAAGCTAGCAGGTGAAGGACGCCAGGTCTCAGAAATAGGAATTGGAGTGAAAACAATCTCATGCAGAAGGCTTCGAGCCTCCACAATCCCGAGGTCTACGACGATCTAGCGAAGGTCTGGATTGTCATCCCTCACATCGCAGGGCTGCATCCCGGCTGCATGATGATTTATTAGAACGCTTTGACCACCCGACCTCGTCAAAAAAAAGCATCGCAGCGGTTACACATACAATGGATCTGGCGACCGTGGAATATGGCTCCGATGGTCCCGTTCTCTCGACTTCTCGAGCGTCGTGTGTGCGTGAACAGACGTGATAGGTTATGCAAGGCACACTCTGAGCGCGACTCTCCAAAATACCGTTTCCCGTTGTACGATGTGGCAGCCGCGAGGCTCTAGGACAGGGTCCCGAGAAGACCGAGCACGTCCTCAAGCTGATCCGTCTAGGTCGACATATCCAAAGGCTGTATTGTGAACACCCTCAGATAAACAAAGACGGCCATGTTGAATGATATAGAGATTCGAAGGGAATCAGTATATGGATGTTCCGTTCCGCGCTTGGTTGATCCGTCCTCGGAGTAGTGATAGGTGCAAACCTGTAACGTAGCAGAGAGACAGACAAGAAAATGGTTTTGGACCCGATCAGCCCGAGGGTGACGTCGGTGGCGTATTCCGCCGGCCAACCCCTCCCGGGGAGTAAACGGGCGTCCTGGTGTCCTGTAAGGCAACCAGACATATGCTCACTGCGTAGCCATAAGCAGCGTCTCCGAGCGGCTCGGGGAGACTACCGAGGAACCCGCTGCGGACGGTGAGGGAGGAGCAAGTGGATAGAAGCGATGATGAAAATTTTTGACCGTCTCTTTAGGGTAGTGAGCGAGCCAGTGGTTGAAACAGCAGCGGGCAGCACGCAGCGAGCAAAGTGCCGTAGCGCCGAGTTGCCAGGGGCAGGGTGTGAGGCGAGCGCTTACAAGACCGACGCGAGCAGAGACACAATGAATGGTTGGTAAGAACATATGGGATTGAGCCTGCGGTGACTGCGGTTAGTGAGAAGCAGTGGGACAGTGAATGATAGTCGGAGATGTTGCAGTGCAAGGAGACTGCGGAGTCTGTTGGCAGGAGAGGATGCACTGCCACAGGCGTAGATGGATGTGTTGATTGGCTGGACATTGTCTTGCTTGTCGTTGGAGTGGACTGCCATTCGCAGACACAAACCCACTTATACTCACAGCTGCACTCCCCCAACACATTCTCTCCTCCCCATCTCACAGAACAGGCCATGTCGCGTTATCCACAAGAGGTCAGCTCCTTATCTCATTCCAGATCTCATCGTGCTCACACATCCTCCAGGCCGACGAAGCCCAGCACGGCCACTACAACGACGGCTACACTCCATACCAGCAACAGTACTCAAATCCCTACGACCAAGGCCAACACGATCCATATGCCAACGTCCCACCCCCGCCCACCCACTACGACCAGCCATATGACCAGCCCTACCCGCCTCCACCACCCCCACAGGGCTACTCTCTCCCCGATCCGTTCGGAAGCTCCCCAGCAGGATCCGCCCCCAACGATCCCTTTGCGAATCCGACCTACCCCACCCACCCGCCCCCATCAACCGACTACCTCGGCCCCAACCCGTACGAGAGCTCCGGCTCCATGCCCGCGCCCTCCCCCGGCCCATCACCCGGCGGCCACTTTGACCACCGCGAACGCGCCGACAGCTACGAGATGGTGTCGAGGCACGCTGCACTCGGCGGAGACGACATGGAGGACGGCGACATGCCGCTACTCGGCCGCGAGGGTCCTTGGGCGCCCGCTGGCGCGATCGGTATGCCTGGTGGGTACGACGACGGCGGAGGCGAGGCTACTGGGGACGATCGGAGCGAGAATAATATTCGCTATGGACATATCCCGCAGCGCGTGCCGAGGCGGTATAAGACGATGAAGAAGGTCGAGTGAGTAGCCGTTATCTTCCTTGGAGACGGAACGCGTTCTTGATCCTTGCTTGTTGATCGCGATAACTGACCCGCCTTTCCTCGCCCCCAGACTCTTCCACGGAAATCTCGTTCTCGACTCCGCCGTCCCCTCGAAGCTCCTTAACATGTGCGCCCTGCGCAACGAGCGCGAGTTCACCCACATGCGCTACAGCGCCGCCACGTGCGATCCGAACGACTTCAAGAAAACAGGCTTCACCCTGCGCCAGTCGCATTATGACCCGCCGCGCCAGACCGAGCTGTTCATCGTCATGACCATGTACAACGAGGACGACGAGCTCTTCACGCGCTCGATGCACGGTGTCATGAAGAACATTGCCCACCTGTGCAAGCGCGACCGGAGCAAGACGTGGGGCAAGGACGGGTGGAAGAAGGTTGTCGTCTGTATTGTGTCTGATGGACGGCAGAAGATCAATTCGAGGACATTGAGCGTTATTGCGACGATGGGCGCGTATCAGGATGGGATTGCCAAGGTGCGCGCATGTTCTTGAGCGGATATGCACCTTCCTTCATGACGCTCTCCAGAACATCGTCAATGGCAGACCTGTCACTGCTCACATCTACGAGTACACCACGCAGAGTGAGTCTTGCTCTTATGCAGCCCGAGCGCATCTGACCACCCCCAGTCTCCGTCACGCCCTCGATGAAGATCGAAGGCGCCGAAAAGGGCATCGTGCCCGTGCAGCTTCTCTTCTGCCTCAAGGAAAAGAACCAAAAGAAGATCAACTCGCACCGCTGGTTCTTCAACGCCTTTGGACCTATTCTGATGCCAAACGTCTGCATCCTGCTCGACGTCGGCACGATGCCGGGCCCGACGTCGATCTACCACCTGTGGAAGTCGTTCGACATCAACTCGAACGTGGGCGGCGCGTGCGGCGAGATCGTGGCGCTCAAGGGCAAGTACGGACAGTACCTGCTGAATCCGCTGGTCGCTGCGCAGAACTTTGAGTACAAGATGAGCAATATCCTGGATAAGCCGCTCGAGAGCGTGTTTGGGTATATCACGGTGCTGCCTGGCGCGTTTAGCGCGTATCGGTATATTGCGCTGCAGAACGATGCGATGGGCGAGGGCCCGCTGCAGAAGTATTTTCTGGGGGAGAAGATGCACGGTGCGGGGGCGGATATTTTTACGGCGAACATGTATCTCGCCGAGGATCGGGTGGGTTTCGTTTACCCGCCACTTTTGCTATGCTGACACGAAGGGGCGCAGATTCTGTGCTGGGAGCTCGTGTCGAAGCGCGGCGGCTCGTGGATCCTGCACTACGTCAAGTCGGCGTACGCGGTGACGGACGTGCCGGACCAGGTGCCGGAGCTGATCTCGCAGCGGCGGCGGTGGCTGAACGGCTCGTTCTTCGCGGCCGTGCACGGGACGGTGCACTTCCACTACATCTACCGGTCTGCGCACTCGGTCCTGCGCAAGTTCTGGATCCACGTCGAGGCGGTGTATCAGCTGTACAACCTGATATTTTCGTGGTTCGCGCTGGGCAACTTTTATATCGCGTTCGTCATCCTCACGACGGCGATCGAGGCGGAAGTGAGCTGGGGCGGGATCAAGTATATTAATATTGTGTTGAATTATTTTTATTTGGGGCTGTTGATTATGTGTTTTTTGCTGAGTCTGGGGAACAGGCCGCAGGGGAGCAAGTGGGGGTATACGCTTGCGATGGTCGGGTTTGCGCTCGTGACGGTGTATATGACGGTGCGTTCCCCGCTGACTGTGCGTATGTGGGTGCTGATGGGTGTGTGGATAGACGTCGGCGTTTTTATTGGCGTTCAAGGGGATTGAGAATGTGGAGCAGTCGACAGGCCCGATTAATGCGGGGTCGTTCTTTACGAACTCGATCTTTAGGAATATTGTCATTTCGCTGCTGGCGACGCTGGGGTTGTACCTCGTTGCGTCGATCATCTTCGTGTGTCCCTCTGTCTTGTTTATCGACCAAGCTGACATTGTGCAGTTCGAGCCGTGGCACATGATCACGTCGTTCCTGCAATACCTGCTCCTCGCGCCATCGTACATCGCCGTGCTGAACGTGTACGCGTTCGCGAACGTGCACGACGTGTCGTGGGGCACCAAGGGGGACAACAAGGTGTCGACGGACCTGGGCGTCGTCACCACAGGCACGGGCGCGAACAAGAACGAGGTGGAGGTGGCGGTGCCGACGACGGAGACGGATATCAATGCGGCGTACGAGGACGCGATCCATGTGCTGAGCACGAAGCCGCCGAAGGAGGAGCAGAAGGTGGATGCGGCGACGCAGCAGGAGGATTATTATAAGAGTTTTAGGACGAATGTGCTGTTGACGTGGACGTTGAGTAACGTGCGTTCTCTTTCTCTATCTTTCTGGATGTGCACTCATGTTGTGGACACTGGTAGGCGCTGCTGGCGGGTGCGGTCGTCGCTGCGACGCCTGGGAAGGGCGAGAACGCGAGTACGGCGGTGAATGGGTATATGGCGTTTATTCTGTTCTCTGTCGCCGGGCTTGCGTGTAAGTGTCTCTCTGTCCTTGTGGTGCGGCATGCTAACTAGTGGTCGCAGTTATTCGGTTCATGGGCTCGACGACGTATATGCTTATCCGGCTGTTTGCCGGTGAGTAATGGGGTACCGATACCACGTTTCGAGCGGAAGGAGGGATGCACTGGCATACCGCGGCTTCTTCTGCAAGGAAGCTGTATTCCCGTGCTGCTTTCATTCAAGGCGTGCTTGCTGCCATGATACGATCTTCGATGTAGGACTCAAGGACGTTTCTGTTTCATATTTTACGCATTCTTCATTCCTGAACTTGACTTACTGATGACGGTTGCTGATTGACGACGACGATGACGGTTCTTATCTATCGTTGCGAGTTTAAAGCTCGAGTAGCTGTATTTCCTTTGTTGTATGCATGTCTGCGAGCACGTTGTATACCACCGGTTGTGGCTGACGATGAATGAATCGATTGAACGCTCAGTTTGTACGGAAATGTACGTGGGTCAGTCTACCGGAGACAGCGTTTGAAGCGAATGGAATGTGCATGCCCTGCCGAGCTTTTCTAGTGGATGTTCCTTGCCCCTGGTCACACGGGGCTGACGCTGAAGACGACGGAGCGCGGGTGCCTGGTAGTGTTGCCGCGGTTCGGGAAACCAGTTCAAACCGACTCCTTGAAACACACTTTCTTGTCACAATACCGTCCAAGCAAGTGTTAATCTTCGCGGTTTTTAATCTCCACGCAGCGACGAGGCGTGTTATCTGGACTGATGACAAGTGCAAGTACAAGTTTCTTCGGCTTGGTTCCACCCAGTTCGCCAAATGCGGCAACACTAGTGCCTGGCGTGCTTGACGACTCAGTCCGTGTTCGACGTTCTATCTCGTTCTATGAAGAAGGTGAGGGATGGTGCCGCCGGTGACCGTTGGGCGTAAAGGTTCAATAACAATCTCCATGGTTGCGTTGCCTGATGCAGATGGCTGCGGCCGGCCCTCGAGGTGCTCTTGCATGGAAGGACTGAGCGGATCAGCAAAGGATGCTTACCTAGAGAGTAAAAAAAGAATAGTCAATGGCATGCGGCAGGTCTAAAATAGGACCTGGGCGGACACAGTCGGCGGCGCGGCATGGAGGGTTCATCAAAGGGTTTGATGCGGGTGTTATCGACTGCTTGCTGGTCGACGGCGATTGTTGGCCGGTATCTAATGTCTTCCTTTCGCTGTCTCTGGGGAAGACGTGTTGCAGTCTGGAGAATGGCATCCTTGCCGACTCGTTGAAGAAGGATCAGCTTGCGGAGAAGGGCAGTTATCCGAGGATACATGAATTTGATTGGATGACACGAGGCGCTTCTCGGGATCACCACGGCCGGCCGGAACGGCAAAGTGACTTGATATGGGAAAGCGTGGGCTCCACCCAGACGTGGCTGTCGCGAAGATGGACGTCGGTAAGGGATAAGAAGCGGCAGCTCGCAACAGCAACGGCCACCTTTTACTTTCACCACCACCTCCTCCTCTCCTCCTTCTTCCGAGCGTCTCGACTCACTTTCAGGCAGTCGCTTTCTTTTGCGTTGTCTATCACGTCGTACACAAAACTCTCGTTTAACAACACACTCCACGAACATACCCACCACTCTCTGCGATCATGTCCCGCCTCGCACTCGCCTCCTTGGCCTTCGCCGCCTTCGCCCACGCTCACTTGGTCGCCTGGACCCAGGGCATGTACTGCAAGAACGTGAGTATCCTCCCATCGCGTCTTGTTCCCATCCTTGCCGTCTCTCCCTTGGCGCTTCGGACCTTTTGCTTATCATCTCTTTTTCGGCTGTCCATCCATTCTAGGGTACTGACGCCGGCGTCGACAACGTCAACAACGACGCCCCCGTCTCCCCTCTCTACCAGCTCAAGTACTCGGACTACTGGTTCCACGGAGTCAACGGCTGCAACAACTTCCCTCCTGCTGATGGCGAGTTCCTCGAGCTGTTCGTATTATTCTTTATTCTCCCTCCCTCGTTCCACCCACGCCTTCCACAAAACTGAATCTCGGTCGTTGCTGACTGGACTGTTTTTTCTACCGTTATACAGGCCCGCTGGCGGATCCTTCACTGCCGAGATCGCTGACAACCGCGCCGCTACTACCCTTTCGTTTAACGGCGCCAAGACTAGCGACTGGCCCGATGGTGCTTGGCACCCTGACGGCTACTCCATCGAGAACACTGCCGGTGCCGTCCTTTCCGATGTTGGATGCCTCATGGAGCCGAACTGTACGTCTTCGTTTTTTTTCCCCCTTTCCCGCCCTTGCCCGAGATGCTGACGCGTCCATAGTGCACACCCAGAACGAGTCCATGGCCGCCGGCACGGCTTTCGCCATCTCTTACACCTCAGACATCACCCAGGTCAACCTCAACAACCTCGTCGTCTTCTCCGTTCGTTATATGACGCCCTACAAGCGCGTCGTCTCGTACGATGTCCCCGCTGACATGCCCGCCTGCCCCGAGGGCGGTTGCACCTGCGCCTGGATGTGGATCCCCAACGGCTGCGGTCTCGCTAACATGTACATGGCGGGCTACAAGTGCCAGGTTACCAACGCGACCTCGACCACGCCCGTCGCGACTCCCCAAGCTCCTGTATGGTGCGAGGACGACCAGAGCCAGTGCGTTCAGGGCGCGAAGGAGGTTATGATCTGGCACCAGGCCGAGGGCAACAACGTCGAGGTTGACGGCCTCGATGACTCTGGCAACTGGAGGAGCCCTGCCTACAACTGGAAGATGGGCTTCGCTGACGGTGCCCAGAACGACATTTTCCAGAACTCGGGCAGCCAGAAGCGTGAGGAGGCGGTCCTTCCCTCGAAGCGCCACACGCGCCGCGGACACGGCGCTGATGGCAAGGTTTTCTAAGCGAATTCATAATCGCTTGGTGGCTCTAGTAGCACCTTTTCATCCCCTCCCTCCTCTTGCTTCGCCGACTGCGTCGTGCCCTCACTCTCCCGTTTTCTCTTGTCTGGTCTCTCTTGCTTTTCCGCCGTGGCGTTAGCTGACATGCTCCTCCCGGTGCTCTCTTCTCCTTCACGTTTTTCCTTATGTCACTCGTGGAACCACAAAGCATAGCTAGCAGTCGTTAAAGCCGCGCGCGTTATTCTGGTCGTGACGCAGTTGTCGGTTTTTTTTTTGCTTCTTCGTTGTCGCAGTCGCATGTTATATTGCAGCATACCCCCCAGTCGTTATAGCTCGTTAGTTCGGTTTATTGATGTTGCTTGATGTAGATCGCCGACCTACACTACTCTACCTGCTTCTTCTTTTGCAGTTGTCCATAGTTTACGACTTATGGACGTTTTGCAGTTTGCGCGTTGATCGTTAAAGGATGGATTTGTTGTTAGTTGGAATTGGACCCATGAATGCGAAGTGGTATAGTGGAACTATCTTGAAATTACTCGGTCCGAAACTGCCAGGAGTCGGCGTCAAGCCAAAGGCTTGGAACAGCTTGGAATGCTTGGATGATTTCATGGATTGTCGCTTGGACATGTGGTGCTCTCGATGATGCAGTGATGTAAATATTGGAGCAGGTTGTGGTAAATCCCTCAAGCAGAAACCCAGAACCTCGCTCTCGAGGAGACCATGAGAAGGATGCGGGGCGGGGAAGCGGGGCGGGTGATGCCCATGACATCATTAATGATGCAGTCGCCACACTCGCCACTGCTCTTTTGCAGCATGATTCCGAGTTTCGTCTAACGGGGAATGAGGAGTCTCCCAGTATATAAGGCGGGTGTCCTCGGCGCAAGTGGGCTTCTTCACTGAACACCGTCGAACAACTTTACTCGACTCGATTCAACCACACCACTCTCCTATCTACTACTCGTTTGTTCGCCTATTCGTTAACTATGATGCACCAGAACTTTGTCGGTGACAAGCCCGTGGACACGTTCCCCGCCGAGGCGACAGAGAAGATCCCGGACGAGGAGCTCGCCAAGCGCGAGGCGGAGCGGCTCAAGGCCGGCGCCGGCGGTGGCGCGGGGAAGCGCGCGGGGGTGGCTTCGCGGGATCCGGCTGGTACGTATTCGTTGTACTTTGAACAGGGATGTGAGAGGAGGTGCTGATGTTTGTTGTGATGCGTGTGTTGTATAGAGCACGATCCGCGGGCGTCGACGACCGGGGGCGGGTGGGGGGATCCGAAGCCTACGACTGGTGAGTTTTCCTATGTGTGTTGCGTTGGCTGGGGCTCGGAGAGGCTGATGGTGGATGGTAGACCCGGTCATGTAAACGAAGTTTTTGGACCCCTTGTCAATCGAAACCAACCTCGCATCGATAATTGCATGATACTGTACCGTTATATTAGTAGTCGCATCGCATTTGCGCATACACTCATCTAGATACATAGGCTGTTTCGATAGTTCGGACTGATAATCGCATGTCTGTCGAAGCATTCAGAATGTCTGATCTGAGGAGCAGTGGTGTAAGTTGGCCATCGTTCAGTAGATAGAGGAGAGAGCAGTCACAAGCGCAAGATCAGAACGTCCACAAATTCTGGTCGTCATCCAGTCCATACGACCCACACAGAGAGAAGTTCGCAGGTGAAGATTGATGACATTAGAAGCATTTAGCGATCGGTACAATACCCTCTATTATTATGCAAAGGAATGTAACACCGCAAGTATTTACACTCTTGAGGCAGCTCCGGCTCGTCAACGCAGCCCTCCGTCCTGCGATGACACACGATACGGTTCATGACAGCCTTCCACCGCCACTCCCTGGAGTCGACCGCACGCTTGTCAACAGGCAGCGTCGCATCGCATGCGCTGATAGCCTCGAGCCGCGGACAAAGACCGACCGCGCAGAGATACGCAGCGACGTCCACCCCGCTCGCGATCGGCGACGCCCCGACATCGAGCGTCCGCAGCCCCCATCCGCCCCCCTCATCCGCTCGCGCCAGCCTATGCGTGTCCTCATCCCTAATACCCCGTGCGTCGAACGCGATCGCGACGTGCTCGAGCGCGCGGCACCACACCGCGAGCGCGACGAGACATATCGCCGTCGTGCGCGGCTGCGTCGTGCGCGCGACGTCGCCGAGGCGCAGGACGCGCAGGTGCGGGAGGGAGGTGGCGAGCAGCTCGACGTCGGCGTTGGCCATCGTGGCGAGCGGGGCCATGGTGAACGCGAGCGTGCGCAGCGCGTGGAAGCCGGTGGGCGCCGAGGTCCAGTAGTCCCAGCCCATGAGCATCTCGAGCGGCTCGAAGAGCGCGGGGGTGAGTGCGCGGGCGGGGTCGGAGGAGGTGAGGTGCAGGGTCTCGAGACGTGTGGGGGAGAGCTGCTCGGAGATGGCGAAGACGAGGTGGTCGAGGCTGCGCGGGGTGAATGATTCGGGCGTGCAGAGGAGGACGCGGAGAGATTTGGGTGCGGCGTTGAGGGTGGAGAGGACGTTGGCGCAGGTGTCGAGGTCGTGGCATTGGAACGAGAGGTCTTCGAGGGTGTCGCCGAACACTACGTTTGGGTCCTGGATTTCAGGTGTCGATGGAAGGATGTCGAGGGACAGTGCGCGGAGAGACGGAAGGTTCGCAAGGTGGGTCATCGCCCTCGCGTTCGGAAGTGGCACGCGGACGTTCTCCAAGCGGAAGAGCGAGCGAAGGGCATCGGACAGGGTGGCGACATCTTGAAGCTGAAGATCCGAGACTCGAAGATCGGTAAGGGAGGGGAACAGCGCAGGGAGGTATGCGAACGATAGACCGATCTTCCTAAAGTAGGCCTCGTCGGCGGAGCTTCCGGCCGTGGTATCGATAGAAGATTCAGTCCAGTTGGCCCCGTCTTTGTCGACATTGAGCTTCTTCATGAGGTAGAACCTCTTGAGGCCCTCTTCCGTATTCATGGTATTAAACGAGTGTTTGGTAGGTGAATGAGCGACGTGAGATATTAGGCAAGGAACGGTAGCTGAGATAAAGAAAGGAAAGGAAACGCTGAGCGATGGCGCACCCAGAGATGAAGCCCAATTTTTATACCATGCTCGTGCCGAGTGGCAAGAGCGTCCTTTGTAGACGAAACTTGGTGGGGAGTGATTGGCCCGCCGCTAATGCTTTTGACAGTTTCCTGTCTTGACGATGCTGTCCTATCGTGGGCCCGAAAAGGATGAAAGCGATGAAAGAAAGACAATGGAAAGGAAATCACGATTTGCTTGACCTGGGCACAAGCGGCCAAAGCGTATCATCACGGTTTGACCGAAGTGGTGAACGCGCCTAGATCTTTAGGGCCCTAGAGAGGCATCATGCACCAGTAAAGGAGCTTTAGGTTACCAAGGCTGCCGCTATGCAGCCTTAGACAAGAGAGTGACGACCGGGCGCGTCTACCGGCCCGTTGATTCTTCTGCTAGCGGAACAAAGGAAGGATAGTAGACATTCTCGGGCCAGACTCTCGGACCGGGGAGCGTGAATCTCTGCAAGCATGATGGGTTAACGCAAGTGTCAAGAGTACAACGTTGCTCAAGGTTCAAGGTTCAAACTCCGAAATGTTGCCTGTCGCCCTCCTTTCACGATAAAAACGTGGGGACCCTTGCTATGTTTGAACGAGGGTCATTTTTTTGAGGGCCATCTTGTCGAGAGCAGCTGAATTATATCGTGGTGGATGACATGGAGGGCCCTTCCGTGTACTTCACAGAACGCGGAGCCGCGTCTGGACGCGTCTGACCACGTGTTCTCCCTGCGAAAACTTCCGGGCGTCCATTCCGGGTCTTCCGCTCACCCTCGCTTGGGTTCGTATCCGCTCCTGGCACGCGTCTAGATTTCCTCCTCACCGCAATCGGGGGCTTGACACTTTGGTCCAAGCTTGAGGACAACGCGCACTCCCAACAGGGGTGAATGCTCAGTAACTGGCAACTCTTTTCTACTTTGGAGCGCATTGAACATCGTCGGGTAGGCCGTCCATATGGAGGTCCATTCCATACCTTCCTTTATTGATGAGGAATGCATAAGTTTTCAGTAGTATATAAAGCACTCCCCAGGCACTTTACACTTTCACAAACTTTCCGTCCCGCCACTCAACTTGACGTAGTTGTCATAAAGCGACCGCCTTGATCAGAGAAGTCACAAAACAATTATAAACACCGCTCAAACCCTTGCAAAGTCCGCTTTTCTCAGGTCTTGTAATCTTCTGTCATAACTGATCACCAACTCTGCTTCTTCCTAGGCGCACGATAGGGTCAAACCAGTAAGTCAGGCCGATATCACCCATTGAAGCCTACATATGTGCTTAAACTGCGGCACTAATGTTCACTTGAAACTTGGAGACAGAGGCATGCACAGGGCTCTTCAAACCCCTGAAATTACACTACTCATCGCAGATCAAGTCAGCGAGTTTGTGCGTAGCAAGAAGTACGACGATGTTCCTACAGCTGCTGTCAAAGCGGACCTTCTGCATTTCGCTCTCGCCTGCCAGATATTTCGAGATCCAGCGTTGAACTTGCTGTGGTGTGTGTTGGAAACTGTCCGCCCGCTACTACGATGTCTCCCAGCCGATTTGTGGGAAGACAATGATGGAGTGTTTGTGCGTAGTCCCCACGTTTCCCATCGGCAAACATTTTCTGACAGCTAACCGCATGGCGTAGACTCTACGTAATCATCGCAACCTGCAGGAAGAGGACTTCGCTCTCTTTCGCGAATACGGGAGAAAAGTGCGGGCGATCAGAGGTGACTGGGAGGACGGCATGTTCCCAAACGTCGACCGCGATTCTCTACGCACAATCAACGATCGTCCATGGTCTCGCACGCTGTTGCCTAACCTCAAGTGTCTCTCCACCGAGATCACACACGAAATGCAGCTCCCAGAGATCAAAATGCTCATGGTGCCCAGTCTGATGGAGATCCATCTCATGCAAGGGGACTACTGGCCCGAGGGCAAACTCGCGATTGTGTCCGCTCTGCCACAATACTGCCCTAACTTGGCAGAATTGTCTATCTCATATTATCCGGAGGAACAGCTGTACGAGTTCTCCCAGGCCATACGCGGTTTGAATCATCTGGAGGAGCTCTGGACAGACTTCGTACCGGATCTATCCGCAATTCAACATCTCGCTAATTTACCATCTTTCAAGTCTCTGCATGTCTTATTCGTGGATAGAGACCATACTCGGCCCGCTACGAAGCCTGTCGTGTTCATGGATACACTCGAGGCTATGCACATTTCCACATCTCCGAACCTAATGGGTACCCGCGCGTTTATGAGCGGCCTTGTCACTCCAGTTAAAACACTCGACATCGCTCTGCCAGGTCTAGAGTGCAGCCTTGAAGAAGTGGATTTGCTCGTGTCCCTCTTCCCCTCCCATCTCTCAAAGCTTCGCCTGGAGACCCTGCTCGTCCAATCCGAGGGCTTCATGGAGCCGCCATTGACGTACGAGACCCCCATGACCACTCTCCGTCCCGTGCTGCAGTTCCGTAACCTACGGGTGTTGGTGTGGGCCATATCGCAGATGCCGACGATGACGGACGACGACATGGAGATGCTCGGCGAATCCCTCCCCAGGCTCGAGGTGCTGCGCCTCGGCGACGGCCGCAAGGCGAACGTGCCGCCGCGCGTGACGTTGGACGGCGTCGCGCGCCTGCTGCGGCACTGCCCTGCGCTGTTCGAGCTTGCGCTCTCGGTGGACGCGTCGAACGTGCCCGCGACGATCCCTGCGTTCGTGTCGGATGGAGGGGGGATCCAGAACACGAACGTTGTCACGCTCAGCGTGGGCGACTCGCCGATCGTGAACCCGTGGCCGGTCGCGCATTACTTGTGGACGATTCTCCCTTCGATTGAAGAGGTCAAGGCGTCGCCGAGTGACTGGAGGGAGGACGGGTGGAAGGAGATTTGGGGGCGGGTGCCGGGGTGCATGGATTGGATCGGAGATAATTGGGAGACGGTCAAAACAACAGGGCTTCCAGCATTTGACCATATCTCTGGTTGAAGGCGACTGATACCGGCTGTTCATATAGAAGTTACTTGCATTGTGCGTCGGACCATGTAAATTTCTTATTCATCTCATCTCTACCACCGATACAGAGAATGACCCGACGTTATTAGCGTCAAAATGAGTTTATACGTTAGTTGAGATGAACATGTATATTGCTCGCATGATAAACACGTTCATTCATCACTAAATCGGGGGAAAAATTTCGGGGCATAAACGAGGTTATCAGTGTTATAATATTACCGTTGATAGAATCCAGTATGACCGTAAATGGCGAGGATTCAACATTGGTTAAGCGTCAGCCCACAATATGAGAACAGAATATAGTAGAATATCATATCGTCGGGATCTTACCATTGAGTATCATATAAGTGTGAGCTTACCGTGGACCCAAACTCAAGGTAAAAGGTTCCTAACAGCAATATGTGGGAGCATAACAAGCCGGATCTCATTTCGAAGGCAACATCATCATTCGATTATAAGAAACTGCTCATAAATCAGTGAGCCACTAACGAAAGCACGCTGAGTAGTAGAAGACTGACCTCTACAATGCATCAAAGCCAGCCTTGTCAGCGAGCGCTTCGTCCTCACCCCAGATACTTCTCTCATCCGCCTGCTCTGCAGTATCCATCATCAGTAAAAGTACGGTGGGATAGTGGATCAAGTGGGCGTCACGAGATGGAGTCGATTTAGGCAAGGGAAGATGACGGCTCCCGAGGCCTTGCAGGACGAACAGTCAGCTCGTTCCGGATCGTCAAAACGCGGCCAGCTCGCAAGCGAATTAATACTGCTAGACGCTGGCACTTAAACATTTAAACACCGATAATTTTGATCGTCGCTCTCCTCAAAGTAGGTTAAAGAAGCTTCTTTTTGGGTGAGTGATTATGACGAGCCGGATTTGTGGCAGATGGAATCTCTCGATGACGCGCGGAAAGAAGCTTGCTCGAATTCCTTTAACCCAGTGCAGCAGGTGGCCCGTGCGCATGCCAATATTTGCGAGGGTCAAGAGGCCTCTTAAACTAAGGGATTTTGCGCTATCTCTCTGCTGCCCTTGCTTCCCTCCCACTATCACCATGCCTCAGTACTAAGCGTTCAACGTGACCATGGTGAGTCCCTCTACTCTAAATTATCAATCGCAGCAGCTGTTGCCTGTCAAGGATGGCAACACCGCAGCAGGCGAGGCAATTCCGACTGCCACCGTGCCCTCTGGGCCACAGAGACGCCCAACGCCACTGCCAACGGTGTGAAAGAGGCTTCCAAGTCCCCTTCTCCCGAAAGAGTATATCTGTCGCAGTAGGCTGGTGCCCAGCCTGCAGTGCACCGTTCTCGCTGTCGTCAGCATGTGCAGAAAAACCCAACTCGCCCCACACAAACGCGTGGGACCATGCGCATGGTGCGTCTCCTATAATGCATCCACAAGCAATGCTGTTTTCATCTAATGCTATCAGGCTATTTACAGCGCTTGCATAAGTAGTTTTTATCGGGTCAGCTCATGGTACGTACTCTCTAGCACATAGTATCTCAATTGTTGCGTTGTATACATGCCTTACCTATGTTCTTGGGTTGGACCCTGATCATTTATATTACTGTTTGATATCGCTGTAGTATAGTAGTAGTATTTGACATGTTATATCAGACAATCAAATGTGCTGTCCCATACTTCATAAAAATTGTGTGCCTCCAACTCGTAATAGCTGTGAGTACCTATATGTTGTTATCATGTGGCCTATGCTGATGGTAAGATGGCGCTTAGATTATGATAGATGTAAGTACCCATATGTTATTATCATGCCGTATCTGCTAATGATAACACGCCCCTTCGAGTAGATAATAGATTCTTTGCTATGAACATATCCCCGCGATCTTCCCTGTATGCTAAAAACGGACTTTACATGCTACTAGTGTCGGAGTCTCACCATTTCCCCGGTGTATGTTTGTCATGATCTGTAATATCGGTCAAGGTCATTTGCTTATCATTCATCCCCTCATTTAGTGATGTTGGTTAATCTATCCTTAATACCTTATCGGGGGTTCACCCTGGCCTGTCCACTCGTTGAACGTTTTCCATTTTTCCAAGTATTCATCTGAGCACATCCTGGAAGGTGGAGTACCCATCCATCCTGTTCCTCAAGAGCTCCAAAGAGCCAATGCGGAAAACGATCCGGTTCTTCCGCCATAGCCTCGACGTCCCTCTGCTTGCCCTTAGCTGCCCCCAAATGGCCTTTACAATAAGCGTCTGTGGTAACGTTCATACGTGTACAGCATGTTTTTTGGTCTCTCAATGATCCGGCGCTCAAGGACGTCTCACGGAATTCGTCATACGTGGCTGAAGATTAGGCGCCGATGCTCAAACCGTGAGTATGATTAACTTGAACAGACTTTTTATCTGATCGTCGATCGATGAGCTACAGGGAAAATGTGCAGAAGAAGGCAATGTAAGGTAAAATGACTCATGCGACTCCATTCTTCGTTCTTCGAGCGCAAGCGTTTATACTGACCCCTGTACTAATGTTTAATTCTGTCTTTACCGCTTTAGCGAGCTTCACGGTGAATCCTGCCATGACTCGTTCAGACTTGTAGCTGGAGACGCAAGCCACGAGTTTTTGGACGCAGGATTAAGTTTTGAATCCAAGCGCACGGCTCAAATGTCGCTGTTCAAGAGAATGGAAAGGAGAATTATCCTAGCATTCTCTCCAGGTCTCGTTCTTTGGATTTTCCGTCGGTCGGAGGACAGTGGTCACCCTGCGTCCACGGCGGACCATTGGTTTCCGTTCTTGCTGAGGGGAGAGGTATAAAGACGACTTAGTGTCTGTCGAACCTCTTCAGAAAGCCAGTTTTCTCTCTGAAGTACCACAAGCCCAATCAGCACAAGCATCTGCATCGATATGTCGTCTCAGCCAGGACCGCACCGTGAGTCCTGGGTTTTCTTTAAGCTATGGTCGCGGCGATGTTGATGGTCACCAGAAAAGATGGATTTGAACAACTACTGCCAAACGAAATGGAAGGAGCAAGCCAAGGATATGGTTCAATGGAACAAATGGCAGACGGGTAAAGAACATGATGCAATCTGGCATGCGACCGTCACTAGTAAGTACCCATTTTACCTTGGGTTAGAAATAGATGGCTTACTCGGCACTTTCAGTCAATGGCAAATCGTATGAGGCCCAAGGGAAGAAATACCGCGATGCGGAGGAAGAGGCTGCCGAGAAGGCCCTGAACGCGCTCAAGCTTCAGGCGGGCCAATGAGGCAAATATCTTCACCCTACATGATAACCTTCAGGCCTGCTCTTAGTATTCGCTCGGATACGTACATCTGTAGCCATAGTCACGTCGCATACTGTATCACTATGCTAGGTGGAAGCCTAATCGCCTATAACCGTGGAGGAGTCTATAAGTAAGGCTCGTGAGTGAGGTTGAAGACGAAACACACCTGAGCGCGTCTATGCTGAGTTCCGTATCGTCATCTTCATCGCCACCCTCCTCTTCAACATTGGGAGGAGATACAATTACATCTACGTCAACGCCAGTATTCTTGAGGGATGCTAGGTCATCGGCTGTGATGCCGATACAATCTTTGAGCACAAGCTTCTCCAGCATGGCGCCTGCTTGGGCTCGGGCCCGAAGACAATCCACGAGGATCGTCAGGGTTTCTGTAGGGTCCTCTTCCCCGCCCTCTGCCTGAAAGCGTATGTTGGTCAGCCACAGCTCTTTAAGCTGAGGCGCAGGGACGAAGCCGCGTTCGTTCATCGGTGTTAATGGAATAACGAAGGCGATAGGAAGGACATTATCGAGTTCGAGAACGCGTATCAGCCGAGCCTCTGCCAAGAAGGTGATCATTGACTGTAGGTGCTCTCTTTGGTTCCCGGACACGCCGTTCGAAATGTTAGCGAAGATGACTGTCGTAAGATCGAATGCGACGGCTAACTCTCCAAGGGAGCGGGAGTCGAGATCCTCTTCGTTTTCGCCGGTGATGCCACCCGAAATGAGCATAGCTGTGATTGTGCTCCTGAAGGACGCTATGGCACCCAGTCGTTTCTCCGGAGGGATACCGAAGGGAAGCGGAGGTATTTTGCTGTCATGAGCAAACGCGGTGACTTGGTCGGGGTCAGCGGTGCCCTGGAGCCATGCAGTGAGAGAAAACTGCGGCACATGCGGGTCCTCTTCCATTCCAAGACTAATGCGGAGGGCACAATGATGCGCATTCATCTCATAGATTTTAGCGTCTCCGTCAGGGGTAACGAGGTTGACGTCGGCGAGGGGGCGGAGGTGATCGATGTCGAGCAAGTCGGACTCGAGAGCGAAATACTGAAGAGGTGGTAGCTCTGATTGACCGAGCAGCTCGGCATAGTTACCCTCCGAGTCAGTCAGGTGAAGATGGGTGAGGTGAGGGAAACGGTAAATGTCGTTCTCCATCCCGGGGGACCACCGGAGGCAGTCGTCTAGCGTCAACTCCCTCAGCTCTACAGCGTTCTGGAGTACACAGGAAGGTTGTACTTTGGCAGATACCAGGTTGGCAGCGCTCAGATAGAGTCTCTTGAGGCCATCCGTGTGGTCCAACGCAAACCCACGAGGTGCAAACGGAACTCCATCGACTGATAGGAGAGCGAGGGAATGCAGTTTGACGATGTCGAAACGACGGTTGACTTCACGTCCCGGAGCTAGAGCCTCCATGATATGTCGAAGCGCCATCATATCGCCTTGAAAACGCAAGTCTTGGACCCGTCCGACATTCTTCACCAATAGCGTGATCAGCTCCTCCGCGAATGGTATCCAATGAATGCGTGCGGAAACAGTCAGGGGTATAGGACCAGCACGGTCGATCATCTCCCGCGCCCAACGTGGGTTGAAGAAGACAACGTGACTCCAGAGCCTTCGATGCGCCAGCGCAACGATTCGCCAATAGGCGCAGACCTGAGTGACATGTATCCAGTCCATGAGGCACGAACCCGTGCATTCATAGAACGGCCAGTCTCTTCCACCGTGAACGTAATCGTGGGCCTGAGCAGCGCATTCCTCGAATATGGCCTCGAGAACCTCTGCTGGGGCGGTAAAAGGTGATACACGCCAAACTGTGGTCATCTGGCGAACGCGTAAAATGTTGTCGACTTGCTGTGCTTTACGCGTCGCTAACGTGAGCTAGGTACACGGATTGTAACCAAGGATTACTTACAGGATTATGGTGGAATCGAGATCTCCAAAGCTTTTAGACGAGTCCCGATCGAAGGAAGGGACAGGGACACCGTGACGCTAAGGACAAGACTGTGGAGGACCACGAGAAAGGCCTGGCGGATATCACGGTACCCGGACCGGTGGGCTGCACAGCCACAATATGCGCGCAAGACACGCGTGCTCCTTTGCTTTTCTTTACTCTATGTTCGTTTCATCCCAGCTGTCTGCTGTTTATCTCCCTCTTCATACTTTGTGTACAACGTACCATCCAACATAGTCGACGATTGCGATAACTTCATCGCGGTATCGTGAGGACCTGCACAGCATTGCGGAGTATGGAAAGCTTCATGAGAGGTTCATGGAGCTCGTGATCGACCTCGCCATCTACGCGTCAGTGACATCTACTCGTCAGAGTGTAAACTTCCCGCTTCAGCATTCACTGACTCACCTGAGGGTGCGGTTGATTAAGTATCTCGAGCACCCTGGTTCCGGTGTCTGGCAGAGGCGTTGTCGTCGGATGGGAAGCGGATCGGGGTAGTCTACCTGGCTTCCACTTTTGCTCACGGACAGCCGATTCTTGGGATCACGGAGTGTGGCCCTCTAACTGGCTTTACCTTCACCTTGGAATCGCTGCAGCCGCGTCTATTTATCTCCGATCACCTTCCCGGCGAATACACCCCTGGCGCAGAGATGCGAACGTGCCCGGGCTTCTTTTCTGTACGACTGCGGCTTTGTCGCAGCAAAATAGTGTCTATATCGAGTAAACTGTGTAGTCGTAAGGTGAGTTCATGGCCACTCTTCCGTTTTGTTCGCTATGATTATAATCTGGAGTATCTCCGAACGCAGATCGCAGAGGTAGGGCGTTCTCGACGGGGTCTATCAAAACCCGCCACCGAGGGTGACTTGACTCAAGTTATCGATCAACGTCCTTGTATATGGTTGAGCACTACTGCTTCTGTACTGCAGACCGCACCGGTCGCATTAATCGTATGATCGCATCCGCAGAGGGTGCTCGATGCGCTTCCTAGTGAATATCTGTGACTTAGTACATCGAATACTTTCATGGTCAGCTGGCGTTAATACCTATCGGACCAACACTGAGTAATTGATAATCCTGGTGCAGAGCCATGCAAGGTAATCCATGTCCCAATCCTTTCTGTCTGCTTTAACAAGAGCGAGTTAGCGGGATGTCCTGAATATTATCACGTTTCTGTTGCGCTTACATGTCAGCACTCTTTAACAAAGTACACGGCGAATAAGATTTCGGGAACCTTTCGGCCGTTCTTTTACCAGACAGATAGAAGTCCATACCGTCCTTTAGATGATATCACGCGTCCCCGCTCCTGCCATGCGCGCATCCTCGTATGTGCTGCGGACGGATGTGGTCTATGCATATGATAAAACGCAATGCACTTTCCCTTCATGTTGGTCAGTACTTTTCTGTCTTTTGGACGATCCAACGGAAGAAATACTCCATAAGACGGGGATGCAAACGGCAGAACACAGGTCAACTACGCATCGACTACAATCATGAACACCGGAAGCCACCGTACGCGGCAATCTTTAATTTCGTGTTAGACTCACACTGATACATGTCCACGTATCGCAGACAAGATGGAATTGAACAACTTCCTCCAAGGCCTGCCCAACGGGTCGCCACTCAAGGCGTCCGGCGCAAACTGGATTGTAGGTTACACAGGCCCTGAACATGATCGTCGTTGGCACGCGGCTGTGACAAGTGAGCCTATGCGTTCCATCTGGAGGATTTGACTCAGTGGTATTTTTCATGTCAAAAGTTGCTGGGCGGACTTGGGATGCAGAGGACGGGAACAAGCGCGATGCTCAAGATACGGCTGCTGAGTTGGCGCTCAAAGAACTGAGGGGTTTCTAGACGCACATTAGCGAAGGGTATTAAGGCATAAAGGAGAGGACATGCATACCCAGATTTATGTGTAGGTGATTCGAAGAGATGGACGCCCCGTGTTACGACCTCCAGCCTTCTCGAAGACATTGAGAGAAAGGAGTATCCATCTACGGTGCGTCTATCTACGGATCAAAAGAAAGTACGGCTTCTACGCGGCAAGCTCATAAGTTTTATGAGAAGGAATTCAAGCGGGAGAAAATTGAAGCGAGCTTTGAGCGAACGTCTACTAAGATAAGATAGGGGCTTGCTTCAATTTCGGAACGTTAGGTTGGGCGGAGTTTCAAACATTGCACCACATGTACTCCTGCTGCTTAAGGACCCTCGTCAATCAAAGCTATGTATCATTCTACGGAAAAGTCGCAATATTATGACTTTCAACTTAGCAACAACTCACCTCCGAGTTCGCTCTGCTTCATAGCCGGCGTCAACGAAAACTGACTCGTGGAAGCACTGCCTTCGATAAAGTGTGTCCAGGGACACCAAGCTGACGCTGTGATTGGCCTTTCAGGTCGCGCCATGTTCCGATCTACCATTTCGCCTCGTTCAACAGCTCCCTGTCTCCAGAAGAAGGCTCTCTCGAACGTTTTTGGCGTCGATACTACTCACTTCAACTTTGTTATATTGACCTGATGTCCCCCAGAGGCTTGGGATGGAATATTCCTTGTCGGCGCCATGTCATGCATCTCTATAACCTAGGGATTTCTGGAAGTGTTAGACGTCAGAAGACGTATAACACCGTGCCCCCGAATTCGATATATACAACCAACATTTCGCACGTCAAGGACGCACCATACACAGTAACGTATGTATAAACCCCATGATACTCGCAGTTTACTTATATATCTCTTTCAAATTTCGCTGCAAACAGGCCGTGACGATCTCTCCCTTGATGCAGCCAAGACCCCGAAATCGATGTGCTATCTCCCCGATTTGCTTGGCACGTGTCTTCAGAAAGCCGTCCACAGAACATCCACTTTGCCGAGGTGCGTGGGCAGACTGAAGACTTCTTAGACGATAGCTTCTTGATCCTAAAGATCAGCTGTGAACTCCCTTTCACCTCAAATCTCTCGGCTCTTCTCTAGCTAAATATTTCGTACGCGTAGGCATGCAGAAAGCCAGCTACACCGCTGCTCGCGGCATTGCCATACCCTCAGGTGGATATCGAGGCACATCTGGGAATCTGCAACTATTTGATGACACCGCTGGTGCTATACCAGATCAAATGAAGTACCCCATCGAGTATCTTTGACGAATGGATGGTTAACACTCCCCCAGTGATGTCTAAGTGCATGAAGGAGCGCAATCCTACGTATGTCGACCTTTTCATGAACGAGGACGGGTCACATGAACGCGAACGGAACATCCATGAGCTGATTACCTTCGAGGTTCTTTCTCATTTAACGGTTTATTTTTGCTGTTAACCCTCGTCCAATCTTTGTGTACGTCCTCGTATACGGATCAGCTTAGGGACATGATCGGTCTTCTCGGGTACCCTGACCTAGAGTCTGGCAGTGATTGCATCGTCTAACGTGGAAATGAGTTTTGGAGAGTCGTGTTCAGACCGTGCCCACAACTCTTCATGTGTGCTCGTGCCTGCACAGCGATTGAGGAGCAAGGAGAGTGGGACCCTCGGAGTCATACTGCAACTCGGAGTGCAGCCGCTGGATCGATTGTATATGTGACCACTGCGATGCTTTTTTCTGACGAGGTCGAGTTGTTAAAGCGTTCTGATCAATTTTCATACAGCCGGGATGTAGCTCTGCAATGAGATGGATGACAAAGCAGACCTTCGTTAGATCGTCGTAGACCTCGGGATTGTGGAGGCTCAAAGCCTTCTTCATGAAAGAGGTTGTTTTCCTTCTTGTTTTCCTCCCGATTTTAATTCCTCTTCATTAATTCTAGCGTCCTTCACCTGCTAGCTTGCGAGACACACGGGCCGATCGCTGGTCTGAGGATAGAACCGATTCGATAATACCAGAGCACACATGGTTTGGATATTTTTTATGGATCAGCTCGATGAACGTCAGGTATCGATATACAGTATCTATGCTCATGGATATGCAATAACCCTCCGGCTTTTGCGCACCCGGACCTCTATGGACCAGTTTGACGCCTGCCATTCCCGGTCTTCTCGGGAGCTCTCTCCCTTCGACCCAACAGCGACACTTCCATTCAACGAAACGGCGTATTCCTAAGGTCAGGCTGAGATGTGTGGTCGATACAATATCCACCGACACGTTCGTTTACGCCGACGCAACTCTCCAAAACCAACACGCGTTCCTTGTGGTACTTTACCTTTGTTCTACGTAGAACCGTCACGGCCATGGCTTTCTGCCTCTGAACACGGTCTGAGACTGTCGACCGTAACAATTCAAACGTGTACTTTTGTCGATTTCATCGCAGCAAAAAAATAGTTCGAAGGGAAAGGACCGAGTCATGCACGTAATCATGAGGCGTGTGTGCAGCTCATCATCCGACCTCTTCGCTGTGGTTTTCTGAGATTTTACTCCAACGGCCACATTACAGGGCCCGCCGGCAAATATGGGCATTCTCGACGCGTGCTATCAACACTCGTCAGTGAGGGCGACTTCACGTTCTCGCACTATGCCGCACATTGGACGTCCCGTCTCGTTCCGAGGAACTTCCGAGCGACGGGGTTCCTGCGCTAGCGACCGTGCTCATCGCGGTTGACCTGCCGAAAATGTGCACGGCGCTCGATGTACACCCTAACGCCCGGCACGCGCGTTACTCCCCGCGGGCACTCAGACTTCTCACACTACGTTATCAGATAGATCTGGCACTGAATCACGTTGCTCGCTCTGGCGCTCGTCATTTACTAGTAGCCTATCCTCCTCTTGGACATGTCCTTTGAAAGTGCCGGAAATGTTAATCTTGACATCGTCTTGCTTCCTTGTTTTGTTTTGATGCCCGCCTTCTCAGTCGATCTGCGAGTTATACTAGCTCGTGTGTACCAATGCCACTGTTTGTGGTTCCGGGAACCTGGTATCCTTGCTGTTCTTTGGATGTCATGCCCATCTACTAGGAATCCGCACGTACGCTCGTATGCGTTGCAGACGGGGGTCGTTTACGGATTACATGTCCCTCTCCATGTTGGCTACTTACCAATCCGTTATTTGGACCAGCCGAAGACATAAAAACCAGCAGAGGCGAGGGCACAATGGCAGAGAAAAAGTTACCTCTACATCAAGCACAGAATACAGGCATGCCTAACGGACAGCACAGTACGCACCCAGTTCCCCCTTCTTCCGCCTCCGCCCTGGCATGTTACTGACTCGTGCTTATGCAACCGCAGACAAGATGGACCTCAACAACTTCCTACAAAGCCTTCCCAACGGGTCGCTCCTCAAGGCGTCAGGTGCTAGCTGGGGCATGGCCGAAAAAGGCCCTGACCACGACCGCATCTGGCGTGCTACTCTTACAAGTGGGCTGTGATCATTATGTCTGGAGGGCCCTGCTGACCGTTTTATCTTCTTTTATTTCTGTCCTAGTTGCTGGGCGGACTTGGCACGGAGAGGCCAGGACCAAGCGCGACGCAGAGGACGTTGCGGCGGCGGAAGCGCTCGCGGCGCTGAAGAACCAGTAGATACGCTGCACGAAGCAGAAGAGAGAGAGGCGTTGTGTCGAGTAGAGACGACGAATATTCGGAGTTGGCTGGTGGTCGGTTGGTGATAGGCATGCTCTTAGTCAGTACTACTACTTCAGTTCTGGTATAGTACATTGCTAGGTGGATGCCTAATTATGTGTTCAAGTCGTTGAGGAGACATCAGACGGAGGGCCGCGTGTGTATTGTGCTGAAGTATGGATTGTGAAGTAAGGCTTTGCGTGGTGTGTGGCTCGACGCCAGGACCGGAGTGAATGTTTTTACCACATTTCACACCAACTCATGCAACAAAGCCTCTGACAGGGACTGAAATATCATACAATTCCATATTGAAAGTCTGAAATCCTCGTAGAGGACCTTGGTGTTGAGACATTTATTATCGGAATCAATTTAAATCCTCATCCCTTTTTCTCATAATTTTTGGGAGTACTCACGTTACACAGCGTTACAACGACGACTTGACGACACTGCAGACAAACTGTCATATTTCTGTCCCAAAAAGTCCTTGAAAAAGGCGGACAGGTGAAAGCCTTTTTCACACATCTTTTGTTGTGCGAAAAGTTACAAAAAAGTTGAACTTTTGCCTCGGAGTTTGTATTTATGAGTGGGAATGGATATAAACGCATCTAAATCAGGAAAATAGATACCAAATGCGGTAACCCATACAATTTATCAGCGCAAAATTGACCCAAAAGTCGGCTAAAAGAATACCTTTTTCCTGTGCAAAAAAGGTCCCAAAACTCGGAAGAAAAAGCTTTCATCTCGCCGCCTCTTTCTCTCGATTTCATCCCAGGTAAAATCGCTGGCTGTCTGCAGTGCGACGACTCGTCGCCGACCTGAATGGTCGGACAGGGTCGGACATAGCGGAGTTTGAAGCAACCCTCGTCTTCTCGGACGTTCGAGACGGCACGGTCCTAGACACCCAGGTAATATCACGGACCTGGACAGCTCAAACAGATAAACAATCGTCTCTAGGGACAAAGTTCGCTTCAGCACCATGGCCACGGTGGGTCAGAAGGGACTGGGTCGAGCATCCGTCATTGCATTGGCCAGGGTCAAAGCGAGGGTCAAAGCGTCCGACCAGTCTTCAGCCATGGCAGGCCATGCACTACCATGGTCCAAGCGATTGCTCTTGTGTTGGCCTTTATATTTAAGCGCCCATACAACTTCTCCTGTGCTATAATTTTGCCCTCCCTCCAGCGCTAGCGCCTTTCTCTTCTCGTACCCACTTTGTGCATCACATAATGACCAGCCCCTCTCATACGCCGAGCGCGCACAAGGTTATCAGGCTTCAAGAACTCGTCGACATCATATTTATTCAATTGGAAGGAGAAGAAAACGACACCACTGACCTCCAATGCGGTAACGACATTGAGCGGATTGACTCCCAGCTGTTTCAGACTTTGGCGAGTCTTGCACGAACGAGCCAGATTTTTCGTGTGCCAGCAACTAAGTATCTCTGGATGGTTCAGTTCAATATCAAGCCCCTCCTAAAGCTTCTACCTCAGGATCTATGGGAGGAAAATAACGGGATATTCGTGCGTCTTGGTTCTTGCATTTGGAAACTGGTTAACTTCATTATGGCTTAGAAATTCTCCGGCAAGCGAATAATAACAAGGGAGGATATGCTGCGCATCAATGAGCTCAGACCACGTGTCTTACATTTGCTGGATCTGACTGGCGACGGGCTGTTCTCGGGGATCGACACCAGTTCTATGTCCGTGATCTCGGAATTTTGGCCGAAACCACTCCTCCCCAACCTAAGGACCATACGGAGCAACTCGGCACTTGACACCATCGGACTTGACCCACTGATCTATGTCGGCAGCGCTCTCTCAAGTATGGAATTTTGCTTCGGAACATGGGATGAGAGGCGTCTTCGCGCTCTGAGACTTCTGCCTTCGGCTTGCCTCAATTTGCGTGTGCTTCGTATCGGTGATTTCGACTTCGACTGCATCTACCCGGGGGGTATGAACCCACTCGTGTCCGACCTTTTGTCGACAGCCCTTCGTGGGCTCTGGCACTTGACAAGACTCGAGACCTGTCCTCCCGACCGCATGGCTATGCAGCATCTAACGCGCTTAACTTCGCTTGACACCCTTCGGTTCGAAATCACGCAGGATGACGTTTATGTTCCCGAGGGTGGCTACACACACATCTTCCCAGAAACCCTTAGGACCCTCGAAGTGATGACTAACTCGACCGAAAGCGCCTCCAACCTTTTACGGTCTCTGGTTGCCTCCCCCGAGAACCTTGAAATTGACTTCGGCTTTGGTGATAACCTCGCAGGAACAAGAGATCTCTTGTCGTTCATCCCAATGCAAATGAATAACCGAAAGGGCGGGTTGAAGTCTCTGTCCTTGCGAGCTCGCGATCAGCAATATAACCATGCAATATCGAATGGATCTCTCTGTATGATGGACCTCGAACCAATCATGGAGCTCACACGTCTGACGACGTTGGATATATCTCTAACGCCAAGAGTCAACCTCGACGACGGCGATCTATTGCGACTCGCGCAGGCTCTTCCTCTGCTCGAAGATCTCAGACTGGGTAATGGAACTCGGACAATCACCGTGCCTACTGGTTCGCTTGAAGGGATTGGGCAGCTGTTGCGTTTCTGTCCGAAGCTGACCTCGCTGGCGATGTCGATCAACGGCACGGCTCGAGTCCCACAATTTCCTAAATTCTCGCATAGATTCTTGAATGAACTTACGGTGTATGACTCGCCCATCCGAGAAGACGCTACTCAAGAAATCGCGAATTATCTCAAAAGTGTTGCCCCTAACGCGAATCTGACGATCTTTATGGGTGATTGGGATGAAGACCAGATTCATTGTTGGCGTAGAGTAAAGGAGATGATGGGTTAGTGATGGGATTGAGATATGAGGGTATATTGGATGATTCGTAATGCAATCCACAGTGTCCGACGTGTATACGGTAAAGCTGAGTTAGAAGCATCATGTACGCATAATCCGCTTTTCTCTATCAGCTTCGTTATCAAAGACGCGGTATCTGGGTATAACGAGGCTCCACTCGATGTTACCTACGAATAAGTCCACAATGCCTTGCGCATAGCGCTCAAGAGCCGGAGCAATGTCACCACCGCGCGCCGCAATCGCGCTTCTTGCGTTATTGAACCGCTTAAGAGAAGATTCAAACAATGTGGCTGCCTCATTAATGGCACCTTGAAGGTTGGCTGCTGGAGATGTGGGTAACTCCATGAGCACTGTCAAGAAGTTATGCTGGACGTCGTTGTCCTCGTACTCCTTCTTATACGAGTATAGATCCTGAGAATCACGGTGCTCGGTGACTTAATCACCATGCAAAGAGTACAAACTCACGTTGGCCATGATGACTAACTCCTCTGCCGCTTCTTCCATTGTTGTAATGCTGACATCGTCTAGCGGCTTTGGCACTTCCGGATTGACCATAGCCCAAACGAAGACGAGGTAGGGTCGTACACCGACAGATCGGCGTCGTGTATCTAGGTAAGATTCGATCGTTGGCTTAGCAAGCTCCCTTTTAGCCGTGAGCCTCTCCTCGGCTTCTTTGATGGTCCCGTCGGAGAAGTATTTGTTTGCGCTGATAAACGCGGAGCGATGGATGCTTCCTACAACATCCATAACGGGGGATACCAGGCTGGAGAATAAGAACTGAGCGTTAGGGACTCAGCAAGAGACAACAGTTACCAACGTCCGTATGAGCTTCTGGAACTTCGGAACCGCAGCTGAGGACCCTTCTGCGCCAGCCGTAGATAGTGCATACATGAAGAGATCTGCATGTACCTTGGCCCCTTGCGGGGACTCATCATCGCTAAGTCATTTAAGATTAGCCTTGACCAATGAAGCAATAAGTGAACGGACTTGATCTTATCCAGAATAATGGTCGCCATCAAGTAGTTTACGACGCCTCGGAGTGCTACAGCATCAACCTGAGGAAACAGACGCGCCGCGAACAGAGGCATATCGGCCTTCTTCGCGGCCTACGTTGCGAATAAATGTGAGTATATGCGTTTACACAAGATATATAGTAGCCTAGCGAGTGCTCACGTCTTTTTCCTGCTGACTCAACGCGCTAAAATCATCAAGCCAACGTTCGTGCTCCTCTTTGATCTTTATGAAGGCCGGGTTTTGCGGTGTACTTTTCGCAGGGCAAACGCGAAGTAAATCAGGAAGCAGGTTTTCAGGCATTTCGAGCCTCTGGGGTCAGATGGGTGCACGAGGGTTGAGACCGATGGAGCTGTCAAGGACTTTGCGGGAAAATCCAAGTGGGTCGAGAACAAGGTCAAGAAAGAGAGATATGGCCCAAGATGAGGCCGTCGAGGATGGACAGGAGGAGCACTGATTGGCCTTCGGCCTCACCGTCACACAACTCGAGTACCTGGCGTGACGTCCTCGATTGTTCGCATTGAAAGCCGTGTTTTATCCCCTTCAGGCGTTGACCCAATGATCGGCTGCTAGCGTTGATTGGGTGTGTCGCAGGGGCGACTTGTGGTTGGTCAGACTCAATCTTGGATTGAATGGCGATTCGTCACTGACCTGGTTGTTTACCCCTGTTTGCAGCCTCGTGGCCTGGTTTTTTGGCTCCGGGCGCTTAGTGCATACAACTCATTCGCTGATGTTTTCTTCGTTATCAGCTCCAATCAGCGCACGTCGCGTTCATCTGAGTTCACTGCGGTGACAACTGAAAATAAAGTGGCTCTCCTATCCGTTGGAACGGCGGAGATGCATTGATGAGGTATGACTCTCCTGACGCTGCTGTCATAGGCAGAATTAGCGTACTGAGTTCATGCTACTTGACAGTGACTATATCTGGGGTTATCTCCCCGAGCTGGCCGTCCTCTGGGTGCCCTGTGTATTATAGCGCGGACCATCGTGTGAGGTCGTCGTGAATTAGTGAATAGGGTATGCGAAGTGCCGGGTTACTGACAGTTTAGTTCTAGTAGAGCATTTCCTTCCTTGGATGTCATCACCACACGCTATGATTCCCTTCTTGGCTGCCTACACCAGTGCACATCACAATAAGAGCATAGCGTGCTCACTGTGATTGGTACCGGATGTACTAGCGTCCCAAACTCGGGTTTATTGAGGTTAATGACGCTCGTCTAGAAACCGCCGGAAGCCTCACTTTAGAGAAGGCGACATTCCAGCTCCACCCTGCCTCTCCAACTTCTACACGTTCTCGATGCGATGCCGAGTGCGCCACAGCAGCGGTTCGAAATGATTGTCGGTGCATCACGGGTTGGCTTTTCGCGATCGTTCGCGCCTGTTCATACCCCCGTATGCTTCCGGGACCAATCACGTCCGTCGCCCGGTCTTGCCCAGGGGCACGAGGGGCGATGCCCGGGCTCTCTCACGTCAAACTATTTGCTCAGGGATCGCTGCCTTTTACATTTTTGAGTTATGGTTCGCGTTCGGGCCTATCTATATACGCAGTAAGCAGAGAGGGGTTGACTCTTGCCATCATCGGTCTCACCAGCGCTAAGCTTGCCGTCCTAGCTCATTCTCAAATCGTAAAGGTGCGGTTTCTCGTATTAAGATGAAGCGATTATCAGATATTCATTGATTGTGGCAGTACTGCAGAGGTGCGTGATCAACGTGGTGCACCAGTGACTTCTTGCACTTAAATATGCAAACCTTGTTTCACAAGTTGCTCCTGCGGCGCTATGGGTGAGCACACTAGGCTATGAGAACGCAGGCAATCAAACTCTGACCTGTACTAGGCCTTCGACTACCTTTTGACGCTCGATGACGAGGTGCGCCTAACAGGACATGTGTTGTTGTACCCCGTTTCTGAATACTCGCACAGCTGGAGATAGTATGGAAGGCAAAATCGTGGAGCTATACACATGGTATCTTCTTCATCGTGAGGTACCTGCCTGTGATTGGTTTCTTGTGTGCTATCATATGTCCGTGAATCGCACACTTTTTCTTTTGAAAGGCACTTATTTCGCTAGACAGATGCTCTCCCGAGTTTGGAGTTTCTACTAGTAAGCCCTCGGGTCGTAGGACGAAGAGGTGACTGATCATTCAACGACATGTAGTGTCTACGGCTATACAAGGTCGCCGGATGTAAGCTGGTTCAATTTTCTTTTTCTTCTTCGTTACCCTTTTTTTTCTTTGCTCACATTCAGTTTATAAACACGTTCAGGTTCGCTGCTGATACTCATGATCACAACTGAAGGTGAGCCATACAATTGAATGACACGTTCAATGTCTGTTTTGATGCTCCATGAGGTATACTATGCCTTCGCACCCTCGCTCTCTGGTACAACCATCGGGCGATCAAAGCCGCTCTGGTTGCGTTGTACTTGGTTTGTCACCACTGCCCCTTTATATTTGTCACTCAAAGACGCGCGCCCTTCAGCTCGTCTGCGTAGGGACAACTGTGTGCATTGCACTGGTCATGTCCTCAAACATGGACAGCGTTTGTTCCACATCATCTGTTCACTCGACGCCCAGCGCGACGCTCGAGACTGAGGGACGCCTTCTGACTGGGGCATTCGCTGCGGTTGCCGGATTTGAGTTTGGTACGTAAGCCGGATTACCGAGTGTCTTGCGGGAGAGGCCAATGAAAGTGAGCAGTTACTGTATCATCTGCTTGACGTTGGCACGCGGCTCTTCAATTGCTGGGATGAAACCCTCGAGCCGGCTCTTGGCGTCGTTGCGCGAGGGTAACTTGCTGTATGCGACGAATTTGTTTGGTGAGTGTATTGTGATGCTATTCTTGGAGCATTGCTGAAAAGAGTAGTTATGTCCGTTGCAAACACGGTTTTCTTCGGCCTCCCTGTGAGTTAGTTCATATAACCTTTCATTTTAAATTGTGGTCAAACTTGAGTTAATTTGATTCTTCTTAGCTCACACAAGGTTGGACGGGCCTTCTCGACGTGTGAGCTACAGTACCTACAATCCTTTCATATGACATAGCAACTTACTCACGTTCTTCTCTTGGCCGACACCTTACTTCTTGGCCAACATTTTCCTTTCTGGGCTGACTTTTCTGTTTCCGAATCACTCACTTCTAGCTTCCAAGGCGTGTTGCACGGCGTCATGGCGTCACGTATCATCCTCTCCCTACGAAACGCGGACAACCGTGAAGGCGCCGAGCGGGTCCCGGAATCACTAGCATTGAGCTCACTGGGGACCATGGAATTCGCGTCGGAGGCGTCGGAGGCGACAAAAGTTGCTAGTAACTGGTCGCGGACCGAGGTTCAAGCATAACGTTGGCGGCAGGCGAAAAGTATGCACCCTTGTGTACGTTTAGACAGCTCTTGACGCGACCATCGGCACGATCGAAGACATTCGTGATATGCATGCTGTCTATCTTATACTATTGAATAATCCCCGCGTTCGCAATCGTCGTTTGATGCGTAGTATCCCGCAGCAAGTCCTACACTTTGGTAAGCCCACCGTGAGCTAGGCTTACAAACAAAGACCAGCATCGCACTTGCTACCATAGCAATCCCATTCGGATGACGAGTCGCCGCCACTGCGGATCCCGGCGAAGCTATTTAACATAGATTGCCGATGTTAGCAAGAGGGCTGTAGACGCATTTCGGGCGGGCATGTACAGAGCTAAGGCAGGGTAGTGAGAAATCTGAGCGGGTGACACTGAGGGCTACATAATGGGAAGGGGTCCTTTCCACAATGGAGAGTTACCGTTGCACGACTTCAGAATTCGCTAAGGTCATCGACAGTGAGGATGTTTACCTGTGCAGGGCAGGGCAGGGTCCATGGCTACAGCTGAATATTTGCACGCGCACGCATACTGTTAGACGACAGAGCAGGGCTACCCGTAATTATGAGGCTAAATATAATGGATTCTCCCATGAGAAGTTTGCCAAAAATAGTGGATTGCGCTTATTGGGCCAAATTTGCGGATCCGTTGCTTGACCCTTACTGTGGTCCGAGCCGTGAGAAAGGGCTCCATATTAGCAGCCGACCGCCGCGAGCAGGTAAACCAATGACCGAAAGCGTTCAAACCTTATCACCAGTACTACACGCAACGAACTTCTGTGTTATTTCACGATCTCCTGCAGCATGCCACTAGTAGAGCAATGCAACTGCAGAATCGGAAGAGAAACAAATGGCGCCACCTATATAGACTGGAAACGTCTCGGCTTCGTGCGAGCGCTCCTAAATTTTCTTCGTACCTCCCCACCTCCCCTCGCACCTCCGGACACGGCTTAGCAATGAGGTATGTATTTTTTATCTTATGTTCTCAGTTAAATAACAACAATGTGTAGCTCTGACACCGAAGATCAATTCCACGATGCGTCCTCGGTAGGACCCTCCGAGTCTGTGACCGAGCACAGCGACTCAGACGACGCGACGCCCCAGCCACCAGCCGCCGCCAAGGAGAAAAATCCGGCATACAAGCAGCTTCAGCGCGCCCCCGACGACCCGCTATATTTTACCGAAACGCTCACGCGTCACTGGGCCACGGGAAGGATCAAGGAGCTTCTGGATTCGCACATCGAGGGTTACCGCGCCGCGCGCGGCCAGAGCACCACGCGCGCGCGCGACTACATAGATACGGTGACGAATGAATACTTCGCGCTTGTGCCTTGGCGCAACAAGGTCTCTGATCCCATCCCGGACAAATCCCCAGACGCTGTCGAAGACCTCACCGAGATCGAGGCGGCGCAGAAGGCTGCGAAAATCAAGTCGATGAAGGCTGTAAGTGCACCCGTTCCCAGTCCCGATTTCCCTTGTAGGCTATGCTCACTATTTACAGACAATAAAGGGCTGGTACGACAATCGCGTCAAAAGTATCAGAAGCGCTGGGCGACCCGGCAACAAGGAGAACGACGTCTGGACGCGTCTCTTGAAGCAGCTGGCTGGCGTCTCTCAGACGAAGCCCAAGAGGCTCTCGCCATCTCAGCGCTGGTCTAAGGACCATTACAGCGGCGCCGTCAAAGTCGACTTCGAGGCTCGATGGGCTCTCAAGAAGAACGAACTTGGCGACAACCATCGCGCGCAGTTCCGAGAGTCTGTGACCAGCGAACATTTCGCTAGGCTCTCTCTCGCGGAGCAGGCGGTATGGGCGACCAAGGCGTCGGATGAACACAAAATCGAGCTCACAAATTGGCAAACCGCACTCAAAGCCCCAATCGACACGTCTCCAGAGGGGCGACAGTGGTAAGTAACGCTTCGACCTACATCTAAAAAATCGCCAACATATTTCTCAGCGCTATTGACAATCTCCCTGGATTCATTGGCCCAATACTCGAAGGAATCCGGGAGTACACCGGATTACAAGCCAGTTTTTTCGGCGGAGGTCCAGAGCCCCGGAAAGGAGGGCGGCTCAACATCATCACGTAAGCATGGCGCCATTTATACATTCATGTCTCTAACATTTACGATCAGTACGCACGAGGGCGGCAATCTTGCTGCCACCCCTTTGAACTGGCAGGCGTCAAACCCCGCAGCGTTCAAGGTGGTTCAGAAGCTGTACCTGACCTACCTCAAAACGTGCTATAGTAAGTAACATCAGTCGAGCTCTCAATATACTTTGCTGACATGCATTTTCATAGCGCCGGCAACGATGGCGGCGTGCGCGCTCAAGAACTCAAAGGAGGTGGTCTCCGAAGCGATGCTGGCCAAGCTTCTGTCGATGGACGGCGACGAAGGGCTCGGTCCCGACATCGCTTCCGGCTCATCGACGAGTCCCTCCGAGTCTTCATCTTCGCGCCCTGCGCATGCGTCTCCTCTCCCGCCGGTGTCTACCCCTAAACCCCATCCACCTCGGTCGAGTACTCCTATACCGCCGTCGGATCTACCTCCTAACGCGATCGCGACGATCGCCGACACTACACCTAAAAGGGATAGCCCACCTGCGGGCCGCGCAACCGCGGCAGACCGCAAAGCAAAGCGCAAGGTATCCTCTATCACCTCGGAGGAAGCCTCTGACTCGAAAGCAACGGAGACGAACGACGACGGCGATACAACACCCCGGCCGGTTAAGAGACCGTACAATACACGTCTTCGCGATGAACCCGAAGCCAGCACCATTGCCAACGCTCCGCGCGCGGCCTCGGAAGGTAAATCTAATCTACTTTAGCATCTTCATTTCGCTCAAACACTGACAGTTGCTCTAGCCCCGACGGAGACGCTGTCGGACAAGGCTATTCCTATAAGGTACGACATTGTACTTATTCGTATGCCATTGGCATTCTACTGATTTTCTTTCTGTCCGTCTACTAGTAGACTCCCAAACAATCGTCGCAGGGGTCTTGCCAGACCCGCCGCTGCGACCACTGAGCTCGTTGCGTCGAGGTACGCTTTGAGCTCGAGGAGCTTGGCATGCGCTGATCGACGATTTTGATAAACCAGTGACAAAACATCGCAGTTCGTCGTCGGCGATAAGCCCGGTAAGTGACATTTCCCTAGCATGGCCTCCTCTTTTACTCATTTCCAATCAGACCCGCGGACTGGCGTAGACGCCTCCGCAAAAGTACATCTGTCGAACCTCGATCTCGCAGATGGTGCACCTCAGTGGTTCTGCAAGGCGTTAGACTACTTGAGAGCTGCAGACTCCCTGCCTTCGGCCGACCGACAGAAGGTCAGTCAGGGTAAGAAGAGTGAGATCAGCGATCGGCAAGGTTGGACTCTCCCGCTCGCATACACTCACCTTCTCGAGGAGTATCTCGTTCTCGAGAAGTCTTCGGACTTCAGTCATGGGAAGGGTTCAGCCACCGCGTTGGAGACTCAGCACAGGCCCGATCAGATCGCGACGTGGATCAAAAACGGCCGCGCTTCATCTTGCCGTCCTACTCTGCGCGACCCCCAGCAGTTTGCGAAGGGCTGGTGGGCGTGGTGGGCTCACATCCAGCCCCAGTGGCGACACATTGCCGCACCTTCCGACTCTGTAGCACCTCGGCTCTCTCGGGAGGATGGTGACTGGTCAGCATTTGATAAACCCGGGCAAAACGGGTTCTTGTCGGTGATAGTAGCGCTGAAATGGTGGGGCTCTGAGACCTCCGAGTCTAGTAAGGACCCTCTCTGGGAGGCAGCTGCTGAGGACGTCCGTTGGGTAATGGGCTGCGTCGCGCAATCTCGTTCTCCGTAAGTCAATCCAATCGCTCTCTTCTTCTGACTAACTTTAGTCACGGTCTAGAGCTGAGCAGTCGATTGTTCCCCGTGGTGCTTCGGGATCAGTTCCGAAGAAGCGTCGCCGTCAAGCATGATTGTGCGGAGCGAATGCATTATATCCGACTTAACTTCGAATTCTTATCTCTTTGATGTTGATAACGCAGCTTACATAGTGTCTTGAACTTGCTGATTGTAACCAGAGCCCTTGGCGCTCGTACAGGCGCTCCTTGCTATAATGTCACATTGCTACTAGTGTACTTAGATCCGGCGTGATAACACATTGTTGAAAGTAATCACCATCTTCAGACTTACGCGTCCAAGTACTGCTATCGTTGTGCAGCGTCCTCTGTCATACCGAGGGCGATTTTCACGTAGTCAAAGCTCCGCCTATGCGGCGATTGTTGTAATTCAAACCTTATAGTCATCATTTGATGCACCCTGATTCTCTATGTGGGAGGCTTCTTAGGTAGTAAAACTCATGGTGACCAAATTGTGGTACCACTCCTTCTGGTCTCGTAATTACGAACTGGTTGCGACACCGAAGCTCGCGGCAGCTATACTTGGTGTGGGAAGCTTCTGGGATAGCAAAAGCGATTAAAGCTTGACAGCTACTCCCTGTTTGGCACTTAAGGCTCGGTTTCGACACTGAATAACCTCGTGGCATCTATATTTAGAAGCTAATTTCTCAGTCGCACTGTCGGCTTTTGGTCTGAATGCAACGTCGAATGTACCTCCGACAAAGTGCAACATTCGAGTCCACGGTTGTAATAACCTTGATATGTACCTGTGGATGAAATACAGAATGTCTAGGGGACAATCAAGACAGGTGCTAGGCCTAGCGGTGCTTACGCAGCAGATTCATTCATAGAATGGTTCTTCGACGCGCCCGCCATATACGGTATCTTATCTACTATCAACACTAATGAACTTGAACGCTAGCGCTGAACTTTGATCTCGGGTTTCCAACTAGAGGAACGACGGACCTGAAATTTGAAATGGATTGAATTGCCCTCTGACGAGCGCTGCAGTGCGGGACTCACGGTTGTTATTGAAATTGGATGGTAATAGCAGGATGATAGAAGTCCTCTCCGACTCGAAGGATGAATCATTACTTTCAGTTGCATCTACAGTCGGATCTCAAGGGAAACCTCGAGGCTGCTCACCCCTAGAAGTATCGGCTCAACCAATTGAGGTTTAATAAGTTCCAAGCTTAGTGTAAGGAGAGATCAACACGAGTCGGCATTGGAGTTATGCGAGCAACAACGAAGTACTGTGGATCTAATTAAGGCACCTTCTCCTTCTGCCACAAGAATAGTTCGAACATTAATGACTCCAGCATATCCACCGAGCCACCGCGCACATGATTGAGGACGTCCTCCGCAATGGCAAGGTGCTTAGTGACAAAGCAACCGATATCGTCAACGTTATCATACTCGACTGACGTCTCGCCGCGAAGTTGGCGCACGGCGTTCTGCACGCGATGAACCTTGGCATGCAAGCCCTCGAGATGCCTGATGGCGCCGACAAGGATACTTATGTCCCCCTCGCCCTTGCAGGACTTGATTCCTGAAAGGTCGTAGAGAACAATGAGCATCCGACCGAACTGGTACGGATTACCTCTGACGAAGCGACGAGCGAGGAAAAGTAAATGCTCCGCCGCTTCTAAGCAGCCGTCGAGCGTCCAGCTGCATAGGATATAAGCTAAGGTGGACTATCACAGAGGCAATGGATAACTTACAGCGCGAAGGCGACGTTAGGACCGCCGTCCTCTCCGTCCTCGTCCAAGACAGCCGAAGGATCGACATGCCCGTTGGTAGGGAATACGACCGGGGGATCTGGCTCATCGGTGCGGCGTCTGAAGTCGTTCGAGTGCCGGTGCATCACGACTTTGGCCTGTATACTAAACAAACGTTGTTGAGGCGTCGCGTCAGCGCTGCTCAAATAAAAGGGAAAAAGAAAAGAGAGAGCGTACGCCATGTAGTCCTGGACGCGCTCCTTCGTCTTGTTGAGCTCGTTCTTGGTGAACGCAGCAGAATGTTTAACTTTGTTGTTCTGCATGAAAATTTTCTCGACGAGGGCGTCGAGCTCCTCGTTGCAGCGTGACATGGGTTCCATGGTGGGGCTAGCGAGGAAAGGGCGTGAGGTGCGCCCACGCAAGTGCCGAGTCTTAAGTATAATTTGGGCCCGACTTCCGAAGTAAGAGAACTTCTATAATCTGCCAGTGATGGCTTTGAGATTCGCCCGCGGTCGTAGGTCCAGCGGGCTGAGATAGATCTAGAGTGACTAGTGGACGCCTCAAAGAGGGCTTGTTCGTGTGCTGGGGTCGTAGGCGAAGCATAACAAGAAAGAATGTCATGGATTCACCTATGCGGGAGAGTCCATGGCAAACATAGTGACTAGCCGATACCTGGATGTGATACCAGAGCACCTTAGATCTGCAGTTGCTGTTTTGGTGCATGAGTCCTTGAATATCACGCACACAGAATGATACGATATAGTTGTATGTGACACCGGCGCACCTTACTCCTGTAGTGGTTGCGTTGATGCTTGAGACTCTGAAGGACATAGAATGGTATGTTCAGCACTCCGAGCCCGCTGCCCGGTTGATGAAGCGACAGATTCATAATAGCAATCACGAACCACCATAGTAATGACGCCTTAATGACAAAAGTCAACCAGAAGAACTTGAAGTCGCTGAGTTCACCAACGTGTCACGGAAAGTTTGGAACACCACTAATCGTTAAAGGCTGAGATATGACACAGCCGTTGTGTTACCTCGTCAACGGGAATTCGTTGCTCATATCGTATATTCAGTATCCAAATCGTCGGCTTCACTAGAGACGTTGAGGTAATACCGGTAATGGATCTTTAAGCTTTAAGTCCGAGTCCGCGTCAAGTCACATCCTCGACAAGTTGTATCAATTGTTCACTAGTTTGAGATATGACAGGGCTGTCTGTTACCTCGTCAACGAGAATTAGTGGCTCATATTATGTATCCAGTATCCAACTCGTTGACTTCACTAGAGACATTGACGTAGTACTGGTGATGTATCTTTAAGCTTTAAGGCCGCGTCAAATCCCATCCTCGCATCCCTTGAATGTCATCAACAAGCAAAGTTTCTGCAGTACAGAAATCAGTTAACGTCAAGCTGAACACTGACTGCATGGCTCAACATTAGATCTCAGCGAGCTCTCAGAACAGTATAGTACCAATGAAGTAGATAGTCCTGAGTTCAGGGGATAAAACTCTTAATAACGCCTTTCGATCAAAGACTCTGAGCTGCAGCCTGAGCGAAAGAGTCGAGTAGTACGTTCACTATATCCCTTCCGAGTCATCATCCCTTTATTACGAGTGGGCCATTCAACATAACTTATGATACTGCATGAATAGTACGGCAGGTGTATTTTGTCTCTGACAGTAATGCAATATCGGAGACATACTTAAATGTCAATGTGGTAGTATTCTTATCAGCTGAGCACATCGTACTTATAAAAGGCATAGGCTATCATACTCCGCTTAGGTTTTGGTGTCAAGTGTGCAATGGCATATGTACGTAAACCTGAGTACAGCGTACGCCGAGTTGAGTTCCACTTTCCACTAGCAATGTTTTCGTGTTACTTCTTGTATACGCAGACTCCGAAATCGAGTTGGGATATTGACAAGCGCACCAAGCGTACTAAAATGCCGATGATGAGATCTCACATTCGCAAGCTTAAGTCCAACATTTTAGAGGGTACTGTTTGTATAACATCGACGCGGTTTTATTTCAAGATCAAGATGGCACATCATGTAGACTATGTCATGGTATACGAAGATGCAAGGACAGCTCAAGATTTTGAATAGATGCACATGCAATATCAATAAGATCGCTCTCAACGAAGGATGCGGAAACGCCTTTCGAACAGGGCGTTCTCAAGACCGACGAACGCCTGTTCAAGCGAGCCCACCTGGTAAGCCTCTGCCTCGGGATCTCCGGCCCACAGCGAGAGGAATTTAGAGCTGCAAGCAGATAAGCGAGAGGCCAAGCACGTGTAGATGAAGCTAGTACTCACGTGAATACACCAATGGCACGCCCGTATGGCACCCAGTAGAAGGGAGCGCCAGTCCCAGTCTCAGGCGTATAGTACATGACTTCGGTATTGTCCTGCAGTATAGCGAACCTACGGGGAAGGCGGAAGACCAGGCCATGAGTCTCCGCATCGAGGTTTCGGTTGACGACGCCGTCGAGAGGAATGACACCGAGGCCCTCCCTGTTGGGGTCAATGGAGCCGTACCGCCTGGTTCTGTAGACCTGGGCTACGTTGGAAGACGGTTCCCGAGGGATCGCATCATCACGAGACGTGGATGACGATGCTGTCGTCGACGCGCGAGGAGTTGCGTCACCGCGTGCCAAGGAGGGTGAAGCTGCCGTCGACGAACGAGAAGGCGTGCGATCAGGACCCGGGGAGGGTGAAGCGACCGCTGCGCGCTGGTTTCCGGTGGGTACGTTATCACAAGCCGTGGATGCCGAAGTGGCGGGCTGGTCCCTGGCAGAGTTCTGCTGATGTATTAGTGACAGGATATGAGGCATAGCTGAATACTCACGGCGGACGCAGCAGGGACGCGAATGAAGGATTGGTGGTGCGGCTGTATGACAGCCGCGTCCCCAAGCTGTTGTCGTATTTCCTCTCTAGCGTAGCCTCGGAAGAAGCTGAAAATTTCCTAAATTAGTTCGAAATATTGGTCCTAGTTCGAGTTACATACCGTTGGAACTCTTCGTTCTGATAGATACTACGGAGGGAGTAGTTGACCGCCACCTGGATCATATCCTGGAACTGTACCTCGCGGCGATCCTTGAAAAGCAGCGTCGTCACCTCCTCGGCGACAAGTCTTACTGAATAGCCAGGACATTGAGAAGGCGAAGACAAATAAAGAGAATGAGAGAAACACGTACCGCAGCAGGTTGTGATGCAAGCGTCGACTATTTCGCGAGCGGTGCCGTTTCCAGCCACCGCCGCGCCGATGTGGCCGCAGTTGAGATTGACGATGTAGTCATGATCGAGCCGCGGGAGGTCCCAGTTGGGAGTCGGGGCCGGAGGTGGCGGCGGGCTCGGTGGAGGGGAAGGAGCATCGGTTCCGTCAGAGACAGAGGCAACGGAGTCGGGGATATGGGGAGAGAGTCTGCGTGCATCGCGAGGGAGAGACATAGTGGGGAAGACGAAGGGGGCGAAGGAACCCAAGCGAACAAGGTGGCTCTTTTATGTAAAGGTTCTCCTCGCACTCGAAAAAATTTCTCGTGGCGCCATTAGTATCATTTGGTCATACCCTTCCCAGTTCTGAGCATGGCGAATCTCATCCCAAAATAATGGATTCATCACCGCGTGCATCAGCGCATTGTCAGCGCAGAAGCGTCGGGGCCTTGTCTTCTGAGGCGAGCGCTGAGCATTGAATATTGAGATCCCGAGGAGGTTATACAGAAGCCACTCACGTTGAATTTCCTGGGCCTTGAAGCAAAATTCAAATAGAATGTAAATTGCTTCTCATTCCAAAGATGGCTGCCCTATAACCAATGTGTCAGGATGCGAAGTTGAAGCTACACCGAAGCTAGCGACTAACCAATTGAGTAAGGGTGTCACCTATATGCAAAATGAGCTGAGAGATGGTAGGTGGTGAGCGCTAACCACAGAGCCCGCCGTCCATATCCATCTCCCACCTGTGGTGGCCGCCATGCCTCGACGCAAGGCAAAGACTCAGGTTTCGACCTATAACCTACTGTCAGATGATGAAGATGAGGACCCAGAGCTTTTGAAGACTTACGCGCGCGAGGTCAAACTGTCTGTAGATGGTCGATGGCTGAGAGCTGCTGAACAGGCCAGGCAAGACTTACCTGACGTTCCAATGCTTGCTCATGATAGTACAAGCAATGAGCTCGAAGGATCCTATGTGATCGAGGAAACGTGGGATACACCTCTGGACGCAGAGATGACACTGAACAACACGGACGTACCTGAAATCGCCGACGAAACGGGACCATCTCCCCGAGAGTGTATCGTAACTGATGCTGCTCCACGAAAATCTTATTTATCATCAGTATGATCAATGTTGACATCCTCACCTTACGCTGTGCTGACAAGCGGTAACAGGACGCACCACTTCGTATCTGGGTCGGAGACAAGGACCGCCCAGGTTATAGACAAGAGTACCTGGATGAATACGTGCGCAGTGAAGGTCGTGGTTCCGCGGCATCGTTTCCGTGTGGTTGTGGTCGCGGGAAAGAAAGAGAATATCGCTGCGAGACTTGTGGAGGTCATCACATGATGTGCGAAGAGTGTTGTCTTGCGGCGCACAAGAATCTGCCGCTTCATGTGATATCGGTAAGTCCGCGTGTCATGCTGTCAAATAAGTTGATCCATAACGTCTGGATGGATACAGAAATGGAATGGCTCGTTCCTCGAGCGTGTCTCTCTGAAATCTATGGGGCTAGTAGTTCGTCCAGGCCACGAAGATGGGACTGTCTGCGTCCTTCGTCATCCAGGTCATGCCAAGTTTGTTGTCATTCACACGAATGGAGTCCACTCCGTCCGAGTCGATTTTTGTAACTGCGATAAGAAGCTTCCACACCGACAGCAGCTCCTCCGTTATGGATGGTTTCCCGCTAGTGTCGATACCCCTCAAACCGCTTGCACAGACGAGTGTCTTATGCAGTTTGGTGCTCTCATGTCCAAAAGCAAGGTTTCCGCACAAGGATACTACGAGGCGCTCGAGAGGATGACAGATCCTCTAGGCATCAGTCTTCCTTCGGTAAACTATCCCGCATACTAATTATTCCAATATCACTCATACAACCTGTTAGAGTCGGTACCGAGAATTTATCCGTACTAGCCGTCAATACGAACATATCCGTTTAATGAGAGAGGCCGGCCGTGGAAATGTCCCTAACGGGCTGGAGACCACAGGTCCGGGAGAGCTCGCCGTGCTTTGTCCGGCATGTCCTCATCCAGATATCAATCTCCCTCAGGGGTGGAAGGACATTGATATCGCCCGCAGGTGAGCTTGTGATTCATAGTTCTTCATGTACACGCGCTGAAAGGACACAGATTTTTGTACGCTCTCTTTCTAGCCATGGATGCAAATTTCCGGCTAAAAAGCCGAGACCGCGGGCCGTCTCCAGCCGATCTAGAACTTCACGACGGTCTAGCATATTTCGTGAAGACAGAACCATACAAGGATCACCTTAAACGCTTTGACAAACAAAAAGATGTGAGCTAATAACGGTGTGATTAAACGTAAGAAATGGTCCTGACATTTGAAAAGATATCAACTTGTAGTGGCTTTCGCGCCATGTCGAGCGCCGAAAGCAAATTTTCTAAAGGCTTGAAGGCGACTGGCGTTGGTGCTGTGATGTGCGCTCGGCATGAACTCATTCGTCCACTGGGAGTGGGCGACTTGCCTGGAGGAGAACGGTAATTACTAATTAGGTGTTTTCATTTGTGGTGTCGTCTCATTGATCATTTCGCCCAGGTATTGCACTATGGACTACCTATTCTTCTCGACAATAGCCCCATTGTTCCTCCTGCTCGTGATCATTTCGTACGATATTGCTTGCCAGTGGAAGATCAATCTCTTCAAATGAGTCGACTCCCTCCCCCCAGAGTTACAGATAGCCGTCGTTGAGCTGATCAACGCCCTCGTATTTGGAGTGCCCAAGTTTCACGCCCCTGGGCACGACCAAGTATGTGCTACAGTCCATTCATTCAACCTTATGGTCGGCGCGGGTCGGACGGACGGAGAGGGCCCAGAACGGGGCTGGTCAAGAATGAATCCTGCAGGTACATTCACAAAGGAGATGACGAGTGGCTTCCGTCATGACACGTTGAACATACTATTCACGTGGCACAACTTGGATAAGTATTATGGTCTCGGAAAGACTCTACGCTCTCGACTGCTTGTTGCCGTGGACTTGCGCAACGTCCAGCAGGAAGCGTTCGTTATCTTTAGCGAATCCATCGACTCTAACCTTCGTGACACATGGTCGAGGATGGTCGTTGCCTGGGAGAAAGATAAGACGAACAAGAATCCATACCTAAGTGATCGTAAGAGTGAGTGTCTAACACATGCCTATAGCTACTATGCTCATTCTTGTTTCCAGTCATCAGCGAGACTCAGGTTCGTGCAAAGTTGGTCGAAAGGGAAAGGGAGTTTACACTCCTCCCCCATGAGACAACTCCCAGCGCGTGCATCAAGATGGGACAAGCCATCGAAGATAAACAGTAATATGATTCATTGTCTCGGTATATATCATGTTGACAACAATGTATAGACGACGTTTACGCGCGGACCTGCAACGAATGAAGGAACTCACCGCAGATGAGCGTTCCCAGTTCGAGCAGCGCCGCACTAGCCTCCGTCGCGAGATATCCAGACTCCAAGAGGTCCAGCGAGCCTACATGCCTGGGGTAGAGACCTTGATTACGCAGAAGGATGGCAACAGTGACCATGAGCCGGAGAAAGTTATCCTATGGATGCCGTCGTCACTGAACGCCGAGGCACGCAAGATATGCACTCACGATATTGCCAACACCGAGCTCGAACTTCGTGAAGCCGAGTGTCACGCCGCGCTTGAGAAGATACGAAGCCTGATACAGACGAAGTATCACTTCCAGATCTACCGCAATCTGAATGTGCGAGGACAAAAAAAGAGCAGTCGAGCACGCACCTTGATCGATGAGTATGAAAGGAAGATCCGGGTCGTGCATTCCAAATACGAACATGCTCACACCGCGTTCCTTTCTCTCAAAGGGCCAGGACATTCTGGGCTAGAATTGAAAATACTCACCAAGGCTGACATTCGAGCTCTCAACGAGCCGACCATGGAGCCGGTGACACCTAGGCGACGAGCGAGAGTGGTGGAGCAGGGGCTAGGCGAAGGGCAGAGGATCATATCATGGATTTGGACAATGAAGGGTATTTCGGGCACAGATAGCGGCAGACATGAGCAAGAAGGTATGAGCAGCCAACGCATGCGAAAACAGCTCACCTAAAAGACATACAGGTCTCCGTGTCGAGTGGCTCAAGGCGCGTGCAAGGGCTCAACGGTGGGAAGAGGAGGTAGACTTGCTGAAAGAGGAGATGCGGCGAGTGCGCGCGTTCCTTGAACACCGAGCACAGTGGTGGGATGAGCGTTCTATTCTGGACAAAGATACCGCCATCCTCCAAGCGACAGAACGAACGGCGACAACGAATGCGGAGGACTCACAGACAGGAGCTACAGCTGCGCAGGCAAGCCTATCGACATCCTCGGCGCTGATACTTTCCCGGCAATCTTTCGCAGAGGGAGTCCGCGCGCATGCTCTTCGTCAAGCCAGTCAACAAAGGCGCCTGCGGGAAGAATTTACGCGTCTATGGGAGAAGAAGTGGTCGGCTGAGGAGGCAATCACCTCGTTGAGCGAAGAGGCACATTCCGACGTTGAGGATGGCGTTGAGGGCGGCGTTGAAGATGGCGTTGAGGATGACGTGGAGGGCGGCATGGAGGACGGCGCTGAATACGGCCGGGATGGGAGAAATGGGGAAGCGATGGTGGAGTAATGGCGGAGGGGAAGGGGAAATGGCGGGAGAAGCGCTGACGGGGAGAAGCGGCGATGATGGCGGGAAACGGCGGTGCCAGCTGTATATTCCGATGTCAATACCGCGTTCGCAATGAAACGGGATAGATGGTGGGAGTACCTACGGCTAAACGCAACAGTGGAGGGGTGGGCGACATCTAAACGTAGTCGCACAATGAGCGGAAGCGCCTGCGAGGGAGGGCAACGATCAACGACGAGAGCCGCGGCGGCGGCGGCGGCGAGCTCGAGGGGAGGCGACGGCGGCGGTAACGAGGGAAGGCGCGGCGTCGGTGCCGTGGTGGGAGCAGGATACCCAAATCAGGTGATTAGTCATATGTTTTGAAGAAGTCGCACGGCCGTTGAAATCAATAGAAGACACGTGAGCACTGGCTGCCCAAATGAGTGAAAATGGTCGACCCACAACATCCAGTAATTTGACCAAAGTAGCGACAAGGACAAGGAACCAGTAAAATGGTCAAAGTGGCCAACTCAGGCAAGGACCTAGACCCATTGGTTTTGGCAAATGAATGATGGTAGAAGCCATGAAATTAGCCCCAAAATCACAGCTAGTGGTGGACAGAGGTGGTGTCAATTGACAACGACTGTCAAACGAAAGGCACAGCACCATCAATATATTAATACCAACGAATGATATCAATGACGAATGAACTTGGTCCCATCGATGATAATGGTCACCATCTAATTGGGCGTCTCGAGGCGTCTCGTAAGTAGCCAGGAAGTGTCACTTGTCCTGACTCCCCGGGCCGTATTGTAACGGTGCCGGAGATCGATATCGAGACGAGAGGAGTCGAAACGAGCGAGACGAAGAGCACGAGTATAATGACAACGAATACTGGCGTTGATTCGACGAAGAAGAAAACATAAGTACGATACATGTCTTGACTACTCGTCGAATGCGTGAGAATATAAGTAAGCCACTGTACAGTTACAGGCGCGGGTGCGTCAAAACCCTCTGCGAGGGAAAGCTACCGGCCGACTACATATGAGCAATAAGACTTCGTAGCATTGTGACGGCCTACGCCGTCACACTATCCCCCTTTCAGCGTCGAACTCGAAGTGAGACTGCGAGTCTTGACGTTCATAAGTTGAGGCGGTTTGCGGGGCGTGAAACGCGACCGGAGCGAAGCGTTGTCTGCGAAGGCGGGGTGTAGTCGGAACGGGGATCTTCGTGAACAGGAGGAGGAGTCGGAGAACGCGATGGCGCCGGCGGGACGGCGGCGCGTGTACGCGTCGAGTCT